AAATGTGATGTGTTTCAATGATTGGTAATATTGAAAAATAAATAGAATTACACAGCAGGGAGTTTTGAATTTGGGTACCTGTTAATTTGGGTTTATGATTTAAGTTAAGTGTGTATGTATAAGATGAATAATCGGTAATAATGGAATCGTGGATGCACGTTTTATCTTATTTATTATGTATGTCTATAAAACTTTTTTAAGTGATTTGTCATGATTAATTGATCCAAATAAAAAAATAAAGAAGAAGAACTTGACAATCTTGTGAATTTGGAAGCACTGGACGCGAGACTGGTAGGTTCTGGGTTCGAATCTTGTGAGGTGGGATAATGGATGTGCACCTCCACTGAGGAGTCGTACAATAGGATGAAACGGCTGTCCAGTGCTTCCAGGTTTTTCATGGTGGTCTAGCTTCAATTGACTTATGATTTGAACTATGAAAATACTGAAATCTCCACAAAACCTCTTTCTGATTATAATCTTGTAAATTACTAATATAGAGAACTGCATCATAGTCATTGCTCATTTTATAATAGTCTTTAGAAGCACATTTTATGATGATAACTTATTTACAGTCTATATAGAAAGAATTATGGATTACTGTATTTGAATAACATTGTATGAACTGTTCTCATTGTTCATTAACCTGAAAACTTGTAGTGCAATGCTTCGTTAATCTTTCATTTCGATAATTCTTGTAATACAAATCTTAACGGTGCATGAAATCATAAGGTAAAGAGAAGCTGGAACTACAGTTGATTATCAGATAACGTATGCCACAAAGTTACAAGCACATGAGTAAGTATCAGCGAGCAAGCGCAAGCAATTACATAGGCAAATTTATAGTCAAATTGTATAACAGCGCAGCAAGACGAAGCAAAGCTAATAATAGGATTTGTGTGCATACATATATGGGGGGGGAGGATGGATCATCGGATGATATTTAAGCAATCAACGTTTTGGCTAGAGTCTGTCATATGCTATAGTGATCATAACATTAAAAAGAAATTTGCAAATTGTTACTATTCTAATGATAATGTCTGTTAAGTTAATAAAAGGGCTTAACCAAAATTAATCATAATCGAAATCGTGTGTAGGATAGCTGTTATAATTTTATCATAAAACGTTGTGAATGAAGTAAAATCATAGCCAGATTAACAGTTGAGTTTCATGACTAAAAAACTAAACCATTTGGATGATAAATTGATTTGGTATTGCTTGTTTAAACATTCCCATTGATGTTTGGAATTGCAATGGATTAGTCTCTTATTGACATATATGCATTCTATGTGGACTGTCTCGATATTGTTTTATGTCACAAAGATTATAAGCAAGTATGAATAGTGAATAACAGTGGAATCCAGGAGGCGCATTTTGTCCATCTTACAATTCCCAATTGGGACGAAACGTGCGTCCTGGATTCCATTGCTATCCATCATTCATATTTTGTGGAAATTTTAGTAATTTTATAAAGTTGAAATCATGAGTTGTCCAATGCTTCCAGGTTTTCCATGGTGGTCTAGCTTCAATTGACTCATGATCTCAACTATATAAAATTACTAAAATCTCTACAAAACCCCCTTCTAGTGTTAAGTAACGTCGAATTACTACTTTCCTTAAAAATTTCGGCGTCACATAGCGAGAGAGAAAGTAACTTGGATTAAGGATAAATTCGGATCATTTAAATAATCATTATCCTATTATTCATGTTTACATCTCCTAATCTAACATATTTAGCTACTATTGAGCATGAAGCCGTCATTAGTGCAATTATACAATTATGAATATTTTTCATCTACCTATTGGACTGTAGTTAAGTGTTACAGGGTGTAGTATACACAGTTATAACCCAGTAAGTATATAAGAATCTATCAATGAACATATTATAGTCACCCTTGGGAAATACACCAATTTACATTTGTCATTTGTTATCCCCAATGACTCATTAACAAAATCAGTAAATTGATTACATAAAATGTATTATTACATTATGTAACAATTATACAATATCTAAATTAATCTAATTTCATGTATCGAACCAGTTGACAATGGATGACCTATGAAATGAATTCTGTTATTTCATGTTATTTATGTAATCAGGTTCAATGATGATCATATTGAAACAATGTTTCGTTTCGAACAATATCAGTCTAAAGATAATTTATATAGTTGAGATCATGAATCAATTGAAGCTAGACCACCCTGGATGCACTGAACAGTCGTTTGGTCTTATTATGGGACTCCTCAGCGGTGCGCATTCTGGGTTCGAATATTGAGAGGTGGGATTGTGGATGAGCACTGCTGAGGAGTTCCACAATAAAACAAAACGGTTGTTCAGTGCTTACAGGGTGGTCTAGATTCGATTAATTCATGATCTCAATTATTACTATAATATCCACAAAACCCCTTTTGATAATAATTTAGATAAAACAGAATAAATATTAATAGCCATTGCATTTAATGAGAACATGTTCTTAGAATTTGTTCATTTTGAAGTTAATTTTGATTGCGAATCTATACGAGTTAATATATCATAAGTAATTTGGGAGGACTGTGTAAAAGTTGTTAAGTAGTAACTATTATTCAAGGTTGGTTATCTAAGTTCTATGGAATGTTTGTAAAGATGTTCATCTTTAATTAGTTGAAAATTCAGATCACTGAATAATTAACTTAAATGTTCATTTATTTTGCTACTATCACAAGGTTGTAGATGACGTCAAGTCTCAATTGACTATGATCACCACTACAATAAGATTATAAGCCAGAAAACGACTTGGTTCCTTCGATAGGTCATAAACTAGAAGGCCGTAATTGGTCCAGATAACGTATATTTGTTGGTGACCACGTGGTATCGAAAGAATACCGAGATGTGCCAATGAGTACAGACAATATGGCAGAGCGTAAGAAAGTTTGAACGAACAAGATGAACAACGGAACGAAAAAGTGATTTTGAAACAAAACGAATACAGTAAAACAATCACTGGTACAATTGGTTATATTAATAATAATTGTTTCCATTATACCAATCGCGTTGTTGTCGAGAAAATTAGGTCACTACAAGGTCATACAGTTTTAATCTCGATCTTACATAATTTCGTAGTTGCATACTGTTGAAAAATATTAAAGTATGATTAGATAATTGTCCTATGTTTAACGATATTTACTGGTCTTCCAGTTGACACCTGTGACTTTAACTTTAGATTAGTACTTCATATAGTCTATCTTCAGCGACTGCCCCGACGTGCAATGATTTATGGCGTAAAAGTAGGTTGGAAAAAGCTAGGTGCTGCCAGACTAAAACGTGGCACAAGTCCATGAAGTCACTGACAATTGGACTGAGCCGTGCTGGCAGGTGTAGACTAGCTGGTTGGGATTCGCGAGATGATAGCAATTGATGGTTCGAGACCTTGAATGACAGCTCAAAATCGTTTGCGATGGTGAAGGTGCATCCACTCTTTGTGTTCTACCAAATTTTAATCTTCTGAATTCTTCATGTCTCTTACTTTTTTCTCCTTCCAAATTTATTTCATTGGATTATACTCCTTCAATAACATCTTCAAACCCTAATCTTTCACATAATGCTTATACTCTTACTACTTCTACCACTATGAGATTTGAATCGACAACTGCATCTCTGTGCGAATGTGGTATGGCAACTCGAACTGAAGTATGTACGTACGTACGAAGTTTTACGTTGTGACTGACTGACTGAGTTCATAAATCATAGAGTTATCTACGATATACAGATAATAATAAGAAAAACTTTGGATGAGTTATCATTCTGTAGATACGTTTAATCCTCAATAAAAGAGTCTAATATGATGAATATAGAAGGTCTGATTACTAAATGGTTTCTATGAAATGATCTATCAATGTTATAATGAATGTATAATTTCTAGAAAACTCTGTTAAGTTGTTCTTCCACTTCTTCTTCCCTCGTTTTTTGTGCATGATCTGCCATCTGCCACAGAAAATACTTTTGTGAAATATGCAGACGATCTCACTGTATGTATGCCGATTTCTACTTCTTTACATCCCATAAAAATTAATTAGTTTTTGTCTCGTATTGAATGGTGGTCTGTTGTTAATGATCTCATACTTAATCCGTCTAAATATCAAGTTGTTAACTTTAGCCTGAGACATAAACAGCATCTAAATACCATGTTACACTCCCTCAATGTTTGTGCTATTGGAGACTCGTTGATAAATACGGTGTCGAAAGTCAATTAACTTGATGTCATCTTTTCCGCTGATCTCTTTGTCTTCTCATGTTTTACTGCTATTTATCACTCAGGATACTAGAGCCAATGTACACCATTGGTTTGGAATGAGGGTATTCCAACTACCCTAGGTGGACACTTCGTGTCCAATCCGTTTAAAGCGCCGGAAATTCGCTATTCGACTTCTCGATTTCGTAAACAACAATAATGCCACGAGGAAGCAGTGAGTAGGACTTCCCTGGGAGAGGCTATATACGCGTGGCCGTGTGAGAGCATTTCGAGAGGGAGGGAGCCCCCCCTCTTCGAGAGTGGGGAGGGGCAAACGCTTCATTTGCAAAATGTCAGTCAATCGTCACAGGTTTCATTGTTCATTCATTTCTACACCATTCACTCTCTGTTTTCATTCTCTTCTCTTAGATTTTCTCAACCTTCTACCGCCAGGTATTCCATTTTCGATTGATGATACATACTACTTATATCTATCGACATCAGTAGTACACACCACAATATCACTCTTTTCAATTTAAGAATAACATATTATATAGTTTAGATCGTGGGTCAGTTGAAGCTAGACCGCCATGGAAAACCTGGTTGGCCATTTGTTCTATTGTGGGACTCCTCAGCAGTGCGCATCGATGATCCCGCCTTGCGAGATTCGAACCCAGTACCTACCATTAAGATCTCCACAAAACCCCCTTCTGACATAGAACCATACTTACAACTCATTTAAAAATGTATTGAATATAGATATATAAATATAAAAAAATATAAGTTTATACTGTACAGAAATAGAGTTGATCATTGTTCCATAAATTGATTACCATGGTCTCCATAATCCATCATTCTCTTCTGATAATGATAATGAATTATATGATGATGTAGATAATGATGTTTCATCATTACAATTATTCGGAGAAATCAGATTTGACATGAAGTTTTCAGTTTTCTTTAATTGAATCAATGAATCTTGTGATTGTTCATATTGAATAGATGTATAGTGTGAATGACTATAGTCAGGTATAAAGTTTACAGATTCAGAGAAATCATTGACTGAAGTTTGTCCCAATGGGAATGACGAGCATGATGATGATGATGTTGTTGATGAATGGATGGTGTTCAACTTATTACTTAATATATGTGACATTGTAAGCTGTTTGGAATCAATCCATTCATTGGTAATATTAGAAAGATAATTTTGATTGACTCCATTGATAGTTGAAGATGTTATAGATTCATTGGTTCTTTGTTGATCTTCTAAATGTTTTTGAATGATACTTTTAAAAGCAGTTTCACAAGAAAGATAACCATAATAGAACATTCGGACATTGTCAACTTGTTGTGACTCTTGAAATATAGTTTGACATTTGTCTGATTGAAAATCTAAAAATGGAAGAAGAAGAAAAGAGTTTGATAATAGAATTTATCGGTTTGTGTCCCAATGAATATATATGACATGATGATGCCGCCAAATAGAATATAGTGAATTATCGACCGGATCAATGACATTGTAGATGGCATTGAGTTGCGTTTGACTTTGATTACCACTACAATGAGATTACGCGGCCAAAATCGACTTGGTCCCTTGGTATCGAAAGAGTACTGAGACGTACCAAAGAGTACAGGCAATAAGGGCAGAGCGTAAGAATGTTCGAACAAAACAAGGCGTACGACCGAACGAAAAGTGACTTTGATAAAGCTAAACAACAACGAGTACGGTAAAACAATCACTGGTACAATTGGTTATGATAATGATTGTTTCCATTATACTAATCGCGTTCTCGTAGAGAAAAGCAGGTCACTGCAACACATAAAACCCGTACGAGCAGTCTTGAGTCTCTATCGGTCCGGCTTCTCTCTTAGCCCAGCCAGTTAAGTACAGAACATCAGTAACCGTCTCTGAGATATGAATCGTATATTTTAGACATACTGGGTTCATATACAAACCAAACAGACCATGTCGTACTATAAAATAGAAAATAACATTTGTACAAGCTAAAGTCAAATATCGCTGTGAATATGGGAGACAGTAATTGATAGACTGAACATAACTCAAGAATTGTAAATTGTATAATAATAGTCTATGGGCAGTTTAGTAGTTAAGTTAGTTAACAATTATACTTTAAAAATTTATGTATAGCATTAGTCCAGAAATAGATTCCAACAGTTACCATTCATTATTCTCATCGGGATATAACAAAATGAAATAGGACAAACTCCTAAACTATCAATAGAAGATGATCGTGCAACAACGTGGATTGGTTAAAGGTGGACAGTAACACCATTGGATCCCGGCTCACTAGTCTAGAAGACAAGTGTTCGAGTGCGAGACCTGAGATCCTGGGTTCGATCCTCGCATACGAAATAGTGGATGCACGCTGCTGGGGAGCCCATGCTGGGAAGAAATGGTCGTCCAGAGCTTAGAGGTTTTTAATGGTGGTCTAACATTGATCAGTTTACAGTTTCAACAAAATTCAACAATCTCCACAACCCAAAATTTTAAAATAATAATTTATCAGAAGGGATTTTGGAGAGATTTTAGTAATTTTATAGAGTTGAGATCATTAGTCAATTGAAGCTAGACAACCATGGAAAACCTGGAAGCACTGGACGGCCGTTTCATCCTATTGTAGGACTCCTCAGCAGTGTACATCTCACTGATGACATTGGCGAATGGTTGCTCAATTTCGTGGATTGGTTGAAGTTAGAAATTAACACAGTTGGATGCCGGCTCAATGGTCTATCGGTTATGTGCTCTGGCGCGAGAATGGTAAGTCCTGGGTTGGAATCTCACGAAGCGGGATCGTGGGTGCACACTGCTGACGAGTCCTAGAATAGGACGAAACGGCCGTCCAGTGCTTCCAGATTTCCCATGGTAATCTAGCTTCAATTGACTAATGATCTCAACTCTATAAAATAATAATTTGTATACAAAAATGTGATTATATTTCTGTTCAGAACAGTAAGACAACTTGATGGTATTTCTTAATACTACAAGATAAATTGTCCGTAATTTATTGAGTTCTATAGATCTACATTCATACATTTGAACTTTGATCTAAACTTTTCCATTAGACTTTAGAAAATCCTAATTCAACTTGACTACTAATTGAATATCAACAATTTGAATAATGATTGTTCTGGTGGATGATGTCATGAACTAACAGTTTGAAAAATAAGCGTTGAAATGCTATTAGTGAGTATACTTTATGAAGACGGTGATGATAGTCATTGCACAAAATAGCACAAATCAAAGACGCGTATTTTGAAAATATTAGTTTCATTTTCTTCGCTTTGTATTGTTTGCTTGAATCTTCATACTATTGTTTAAGACTGAGATTAATCAGTCTCTTGTTGGCATATATGCATCCTATGTGGACTGCCTTGAGTTTCCATGAAGTCACAAGTTTTGTAAGCAATGATGAATGGTGGTTAGCACTGGAATCCAGTTTGACGCGCGTTTCGTCCTATTTGGGACTGGTCAGCTGGATGCACCTGCATCTCAGAGTTGATGTTCACTCTGGGACTCGAATCCAGTACCGTTCTCTTCAAACTCCACCGCGTTATTCACTCATCTACTGAGTCCTGATAGCCACCTGCTTGTGCAATGGGGCAAAGTTTAATTCACTTGCTATTATTTGCTTCCATCTTCCCATTGCTGTTTAAGTCTGGTGTTATTGTTACTAGACATAGACATATATGAACAATTCATGAATAATCACAAAACTTATCTTAGATTTATGATAAACGTTATCATGTAATTCATTTGTTTTTATTTAAGGCTATCAATAATAACAGGTACACAGATTAGCAACTAATTTTGTTGAACTGACCCTTAATTCTTTTTATCCACTTTTCAGATACCTAATTAAACAAGATGCTTTCGATTTATCCTTATCACCTGTTAGTCCATAACGAATACCACCTACAGAGTACGTCATATATATATATATATATATATATTCTTTTTAGGTAACCTATTTCTTAGCGAATCGCATTGAAGACTTATCAAGTTTTCAAGACTCTTAAAGTGTTAAGTATACACTAGAAAAATAAACAATCCGACTTTTTAAATTCCCTTAGCATTGTTTGTTTGAATCTTTCGATAGTTACTTAGGTCTGCAATTGATCAGTCTCTTGTTGGCATATGTACCTATGTGCGTATTGCCTCGATATAGCCTTAATTCAAAAGGATTATAAGCGAAGATAGATAATGGCTGGTAGTCGAATCCAGGATGCATGTTTCATCCTATTTGGGACTCGTCAGCTGGATGTATCTACATCTCAGAGTTGATGTTCACTCTGGGATTCGAACTCAGTACCGTTCACTTCAAACGCCATTGCGTTATTCACTCATCTACTGAGTTCTGATAGTCACTTGCTTGTGTAATAGGGTGAAGATTAACTTCACTTGATATTGTTTACTTGTATCTTCCCATTGTTACTTAGGATTACAGTTGATCAGTCTCTTATTGGTATATGTGCATATTGTGAGTATTACCTCGATATAGCTTTAATTCAAAAGCATTATAAGCAAAGATGGATAGTGGTTAGCAATGGATTCCAGTTGAATACGCGTTTCGTCCCATTTGAGACTCGTCAGCTGGATGTACCTGCAATGGATCAGTCTTCTTTTTTATAGAAAATGTAAGTATCGAAGTAAATAAATTCACTTGCAAAAATAGTTTTATTACAAATACTTACTATTTGTTAAATCTTTTATGAATTTCACTGTCATATCCAAAATATCAGCTTTCTCTAATTTATTAGACTGTTAGAATAAAAGATCATCATATGAAATGTGAAGGTAATATAGAATAGTGGAAATGTAAAATAAGGAAACAAATCAATAAAAAGTACTTTTAATGAATGAATTCACGAGTTGATCTAAGTTAGACCATCATTAAAAACATGGAGTCATTGAACGACTGTTTCGTTATAGTATTGGACTTGTCATCAGTGCATAACTACGACTTTGTATACTAGAATCGAAACTAGAACCTTCGGTCTTACACGTGAACGCTCAACGTCTAGACTACTTAACCGATATCCAACAATGTTAATGTCTAACTGTAATCAATTCATGGTCTTGTATATCTTTTTATTTATTGTCTAAGGCAGATAACTTTCTCACATCCGACATGAATTGAACGAATTCATTCGTTACGACTTTCAATAGTTGTCTAATTTAGATCGATTCATAAATTCAATCATTGAAAGTTTTATTACTAAAATTTAACTCTATGTATTAGTTATTCTGATATTACTTTATATTTTGAGGCTATTCTCAAAATGAATCCCCCCCCCCGAAATCATGGAAAATATTTTATTTAACAGTCAATATTAATTAACTCATAAATTGTACAACAAACAGTATCGATATAATAATAATCATTGAATCATTTAGAAAACACTTTGAAGATATATTTCATTGCTTAGTCAGATAATGCTTATTTATTTAAACACATAAATATTGATACAAGGGGGCACCAGATATATATGCGCCACACAAATCTCATTCGATTTGTGTGAGGGCTGACATACTGCTCAGGTGCCCAAACTGAAGCACGCGGTTTTCTTGAAGCCACACCCAGAGCCTTTAACCTAAAGGTCTGATCCACAAGGCAGTGGAGCATCGTAAGGAGATGTAGTACCATGGTAGCCGGTGATCAATGATTGGTTCATACGCCATTTTTCCCTTCAGGATACTGGAATCAGTCCATATGCACCATTGGTTTGGAATGAGGGTTTTCCAACTCCCTTAGGTGTACTCACCATGTCCCCCAACCCGGTTAAAGCTCTGGACATTCGCTTTTCGTCTTCTCAATTTAGTAAACACCAGTAATGCAACGAGAAGGCAGTGAGTAGGACTTCCGTGGGAGAGGCTATATACGCGTGACCATGTGAGAGCATTTCGAGAGGGTGGTTGGCTACTCATCACTCTTGTCTGTACCCTGGCATTTGAGGGCTAAACAAAGACAAGCGACACGACATTTGACACGTTTTTTCCTTTCTATTTACTAAGATCTATTATTCGATCATAAATACATATTCATATAGTTTGAAACTTTTGTTTCACATTTATATTCATAAAAGTATCCAAACAATGTAATTTATAATTTCTTAACACACAGCATGATACTTATGAAATTCAATAATAGGCACAATGTCCACTTGACTAAATATTAACCCGTTTGTATTATAATGACAAAATAAAAGACCGTATCAATTAATTAAGTAGTAAGTGGGGAAAAAAGGGAAGAAGAGAAACCCCTTCCCCCCCCAAAAAAAAAAATTGGGAAAAATTAAACTTACATGTTTAATTCTTGGTTCTATAATCAATCTTCTTAATTCTTCTAAAGCATGATTAATTCGTTGACGTCTACGTTTCTCTACTAAAGGTTTATTACGCTAATTGAGTGAAGAAGAAAAAAATGTAGTAAAATTGAATAGTAAACAAATAATTATATGATTAAGGTAGCAACATCGCATCATTATGCTTGAAGTGTTATATGTGACAAATCATTAAGTGTTCCAAGTGTATCACATAAATTAAACTTAATCTATAGTTACATTGATTTGGTGTTGTTTTACTTGTATCAGTCTCTTGTTGACTTGTGACTTCAGGCAATAATTAGGTAGTCCATAAAAGATGTAAATATGACAAGAGACTGATCGATTGCAGTTCTGAAGAACAATGGGAAGATAAAAGTAAACAATACCAAGTGAATGTGAACTTCACCCCAAGTAAGTGGCGTAAGTGGCTATTGGGACTCAATAACTAAGTGAATAACGTGATGATGTTTGAAGCGAAAGGTAGTGGGTTCGAATCCCAGAGTGAACATCAATTCTCAGATGCAAGTACATCCAGTTGAAGAATCGCAAATAGGATGAAACAAGCGTCAAACTGGATTCCACTGCTAGCCACTATCCGTCTTTGCTCACTAATCTACAGCTTTTCTGCAAAACTGAAGTTGAATTAGTCAGAAAATAATGCTATTGTTTTCAATACATTTTAAAATCTCATCCGTATGCATTTAGGAGCCATAAGTATATTGTGTGCTCATACCTATCCACATATATATATATATATAGGCCCCCAAATGCCCTGGTACGGCCGAGAGTGGGGAGAGTCCGCTCTCCCTCAAAAAATGCCCTCATATGGCCACGCGAATATATAGCCTCTGCCAGGGAAGTCCTACTCACTGCCTTCTCGTTGCATTACTGGTGTTTACTAAATTGAGAAGACGAAAAGCGAATGTCCAGAGCTTTAACCGGGTTGGGGGACATGGCGAGTCCACCTAAGGGAATTGGAAAACCCTCATTCCATTATTTATGCTAAAGTTAAATCCAAAGGTCAGACTATACTATAAGTAAATATTTTGTTTAAAACATTAGAACGCATTTCCGTTATTCATATGAGAAAGTTATTAGTTACATAATATACTCTTGTGGGCCAGGGTAATTTTACATATTGGTTATCAGGAGAACCAGAAACCATGCAGACTTTCAGGTGACAATTCGAACAGTACAGACTGATCCCGTTTAACAGGAGAGTCATACACTGCTCTGGCTTAGTAGTACAGCTCAATCGAGCCCCCCAGGGGAACCAAACAATATATGGACTACAATATTACAATCTGAACAATACAGTTCAATCCTGTGGCTCAACCATACAGGTACCAAGCACCATGGTGGACCAATTCATATGAGAAAACTATACTTTATAGGCATTGTAGGCATTAAAAGTATTATTATTATTATTATCAGAAGGGGTTTTGGTGAGATTTAGTATTTTCATATTTGAAAGCGTGAGTCAACTAAAGCTAGACCACCAGGGTAAACCTAGAAGCACTGGACGACTGTTTCGTCCTATTATGGGACTCCTCAGCAGTGCGCATCCACGACCTCACCTCACGAGATTTGAACTCAGGAGCTACCAGTCTCGCGCCAGAGCACTTAACCGATAGACCAATGAGCCGGCATCCAGTGCTTCCAGGTTTTCCCTGGTGGTCTAGCATCAATTGACTCACGCTTTCAACTATTAAAAGTACTACTTATCAAGTGATTATATCAACCATAGATATTATGACTATTATTATTAAAAGTAATACAATGAGGAGGTATGGATTCTTATATTTACTTACCTTTTTCCAACTTGTTTGAGTTCCATTAAAGTTAGAATTAAATTGAATAGTATTGGAGATATCCATTTCATCAGGTATCATTGAATGTTTTATTGGATGATTAGTATATGGAGTCGATGTATACATTCTATTGTAATAATTAACTTTCTTATTTGAATAAAATAGACTAATTATATAATCATTTATTTATGAAGTTAACCACTGAGTGGGTTGGTGTGGGGTAGTGGAGTGAGAGATGGGATCTATAATTGATTGTTAATTGATTACTGATTGGCTTCCTTAAAGAATATTGGAAAAAAAGCACAACAACAACAACATACATATTTTTGTAACCTGATCCCTTTCTTGTTCTACATTATCGACACATGTAAGAGATGACTGAAATGCCTAGTCATGTCTATATACACATATACACACATGTACACATATTTTCTTACATGAAATTGTGCCAGTTTATTAAAAAAAAATTATTCTCTCAATTTGATTTGTTAAATTAAAAGACAATGATAATGGGTTATTAGAATAGTGTTGAATGTTACATTTTTGGGGGATGAGATATGATTTTTATTAGTTATCATAGTTGCAAGCGTGTGTCAATTGAAGCTAGACAACCAAGGAAAACCTGGAAACACTGGACGGCCGTTTCGTCCTATCGTGGAATTCCTCAGTGGCAGTGCGCATCCATGATTCCGCCTCACGAGATTCGAACCCAGGACCTATCAGTTTCGCACTAAAGCACTTAACCGATTGACCACTGAGCCGTCATCCAACTGTGTTTATGTCTAACTCCAACTAATCCACGAAGTTGAGCAACCGTTCACCAATTGTCTTCAGTGAGTTCCTATCTCACAACATATGTGGTTTATTAGTTAATCAATTGAAAGAGAAGCTCACTAAAGATCATTTTCATTGTGAATTAACAATAATAACTAGAAATCCATTGTGAAGTAGAGAGGGGAATAGAGCTTTGTATTTGGTGTTCTGTCCTTGTTTACAGTCTTTTTTCATGGGATTACAACAATGACCGCACATATAGTTGATATGGTCTATCGGTTATGTGCTCTGGTGCTAGACTGATAGGTCCTAGGTTCGAATCTCGCGAGGCGGGATCGTGGATGCTCACTGACACTGAAAAGTCACATGATAGGAGGAAACGGCCGTTCAGTGCTTCCAGGTTTTCCATGGTGGTTTAGCTTTAATTGACTCATGATTTCAACTATGAAAATACTAAATTCTCCACAAAACCCATTCTGACATATAATTGAATTTAAAACCCTTAACCTTGTCATGAACATGATAGTTCATGATCAGTGGTCATCAATTTACTTCTGAGCTTATGAACTTTAGTATTCATTGTTTCATACATTTCGCTGAAGTTTAAAAAAAATAAAAACTACTGAACTTTAACTCAATAACTGAAAGGTGTTGTGCTGATCAAACGGTCAGGATTGTCATTGGCTTACGGTTGTAATGAAATTATGACCGTTCGCCTTTGTGGTGCTTTGAGCAAATTATAAAAAAAAATCAAAAACGGGTTTTGTGGAAATTATAGTAATTTAATAAGTGAACTCATGAGTCAATTAAATCTAGACCACCATGAAAAACCTGGATTGATTGACGTTAGACATTAATACAGTTGAATGACGGCTCAGTGGTCTAGAGGTCTAGCGTTCGCGCACGAGACTGATAAGTCCTGGGTTCGAATCTAATGGATTCGCACTGCTGAGGAGTCCCAGAATAGGACGAAATGGCCGTCCAATGCCTCTAGGTTTTCCATGGTGGTCTAGCTTCAATTGACTCATCAATCTAACTATTAAATTACTGCAATCTCCATAAAACCCTTTTTCTTATAAATAATTATTAAGTGTCGATATATGTTAATTACATTATAGCTAGGTTTAGTATTCAAATTTTGACTAGGAAATATTCTATTGAGATTGTTGAGATAAATTGTTACTACTTTACTAATATTCATTCACATGACTACTTAAATTGAATTAGTGAAGTTTCCTGAAAATTTGAAAAGTTTAACTTTAATCTTTGGGAGTTATCAGTGAACACAGTGGTGGTCTAAATTAGATTAGTTCATGATTTTAATGAAATTCAACAATCTTCACAACCTCATACTGAAAATTATCATGTTCTCACTAATGACTAGCTTCAAGAAGAAATTTTTGTAGTTCTAGTGACAAGCCGTGGTCAGTGGAGCTAATCCATGTCACGTGTGACATAGTTACCCACCGAAGACAATGGACACATGTCCCCGAAATATTGTGGGTTGATTGAAGTTAATCACTAACTTCGTTGGACTTTGATTCACTATTCTAGAGGTTAAGCGTTTGTGTGTGAGATCAAAGGCTCTGAATTAGATTTCTGTATGCAAGATCATAGATACACTCTTCTGAGGAGTTTCATACAACGACTAAACGGCCGTCCAATCCATGGAGTTTTTTAATGGTGGTCGAACATTGATCAGTTCATGATTTCAATGAAATTTAACAATCTTCACACCCTAATACTGAAAATAAATATTTAAATAGATTAGTCATTTATTCACAATCGTTATACTATCGTCAGTTTAGCAGTTGATTTATCAAAATCTTGATCAACAAGCTATCTGAGAAGTGTTAATTAGCAGAAAGAAGTCGGTATAGATAGATTATTATTCAGATATAACAAATATTTGAATTACAATATGATTGAAAACACTGACTTTACATTATCATCCAATGGATAATGGATGGCGGCTAGCAGTGGAATCCAGAACGTTCATTTCGTTCCATTTGGGATTCGTCAGATAGACGTAACACGCTTCCTGGATTCTACTGCTATCCATCATTCATCTTGGCTTATAATACTTGTGACTTAAAGTAATATCGAGGCAGTCCATACAGGATGTACATATGCCAATAACAGACTGATCCATTGTAGTCCTAAATATTAAATGAAAGATTCAAACAACTAATACAAAAATGAATGAAAATTAATTTCATTTAATAGTTCATCATTAACTCATGTTGATAAGGTGTATAAAATCATTATACTTTCGTTAAGTTGTTGCATATTTGGTGAATGAGTTAATATTATTGAGCGACTCACAAGCTCCACATATCTTTTATGCATGCTTATTCACAAATAGGGAGTGTGAAAATAATCAGAAAGGTTGTCAATCGTAAAATCGATTCCGAACTCTTCCAGTATGTCTTATGATCGTTTTAATAGTTGAGTTCATCAGTCTATCTAAACAAGACCAACATTGAAAGCCTGGAGGTACTGGACGACCATTTTGTCCAAAAATGGGACTCTTCAGTAGTGCGCATCCACAACCCCATGCAGGAGATTCGAACCCAAGACCTTCAATCTCGCGCGCGAACCCTTAACCTCTAAACCATTGAACCAGTATCCGTTAATGTTAATGTCTAACTCCAATCGATCAATGATCTTGAGCAACCATTCAAATTTACCACGATCCCCACAAACTCCTATTCTGATTTGTGATCGTTTATTTAGTGACACTAATAGTGAACTGTAAGCACCCAGTATTCTTCAATATAAATGTATGTATGTATAATACTTACCATTTTGTTGTTTCTTCATAATATTCTACTCCACTTTTATTTCTCATTATATAAACCTACAAGAATGTTGAAAAGAGTATTTTTCTCAGAGAAAATCAAAGCCAGCTAGGCTACTTATTACTAAAGGAAAAAACTTAAAATTGATTTCCGTCGTATGTATTACACAATAAAACTTATATAATTGATTCCTAAACCATATAGAATATTCATTTAGTATTGTTTGTTTGAATCTTCCCATCGATGTTTAGGACAGCAACTGGTCAGTCTCTAATTGGCATATGTGCATACTGTGGCTATCGCCTCGATATAGCCTTATTTCACAAGCATTGTATGCAAAGATAGATATTGGCTAGCAATGGAATCCAGTTTGATGAGCGTTTCGTCCTATTTAGGACTCGTCATCTAGATGTACCTACATCTTAGAGTTGATGATCACTGTCGGACTCGAACCCAGTACCATTCGCTTCAAATGCCATCGCGTAATCCACTCGGCCACTGAGTTTTGATAGGATACTGTTTAGAAGATAATATAGGTTAGTATCTCTGAACAGATTAAATAAGTTAGTTTCTAATCTAATAATGTTCACTGTTGTAGGTAGACGAAAATTTATAAACACAGTTGGCGGTAACATGAAGGGGGAGTGGTCGGCCTTTAATTGGATTCATGAACATGAACTGATAAGTACTGGCTAGTGTTGTTTTAATCCTCCTGTTGACTGTGTTTGCAATTACTTCATCTTTTAATTTGAGATATTGGTTTTTCATATCTGTAAAAAATTTCTATGGGTAGTAGTTGCCTCATAGGTATTTTTCAATGTTCATCAATTCTTCTTTCAGTTTGCCGATGACACATACCTTTTCTACCCTATACAATAGTATTTTGAACACTGCTTTCTTATAACCAATTAGAAAAAAAAATTATTGAAATTCATGTAAAAATCATTCCAAGTACTTTTTCGATAAACCGAACATTGAACTGTCCTGTCTTCCCCTATATTGTATGGCAATATCAATAAAGTGGAACATATCATTTTTTTTATAGTAAATTGTATGTTGAGATGGGCATTATTGAAGAGTTCGAACAAGTGAATTGCATGCTGTTTACTGTTGCAGACAATAAACGTGTCATCAACATATTTGAAGTATTCAGTTATGTCCGCTAATCGCTTGTTCAAGCACCGTATTTTCAAGATTCCCCGTAAAAATATCTGCCTTAATTGAATCTAATGGACTTCCCTTGGCTATGCCATCGAACTGACGATATATGGTGTCATTGAACTGGAATTGAACATCTTTTGTACACATTAGTAGTAGATTTTGGAATTCTGGGACTGTTAAAGGTAGGAGATAAGAATTCTGACAAATTATATCATTAGTTTTAAAAAGTGGTACCTTGGTGAACAAGGATGATACATCAAAAGAAATCATGAACTAACCGGCAATATTCGTACGATTCAGTCCACCCACAAACTGGAATGAATCTCTTAACGTATATGTTACTAATCTCTGATGTACCGGCTTTAGCTTTTCTTCTAGCGAGCATGCAAGTTTTTTTGATACGATGAATTTATCATTGATGGGATTCCACTGCTAGCCACTATCCATCTTTGCTTATCATGCTTGTGAATTTAGGCTATATCAAGGCAATACACACAGTATGCACATATGTCAACAATAGATTGACCAGTTGCAATTTTAAGACATCAATAGGAAGATTCAAACAAACAATACATTGATGGGATACTTCTAAGGGAAACGTCATTTTTGTGAACTTTTGGTAAACTATACATATAAGATAGACATGAGCCACGTGATCTTAAATCATTTTAAATAGAATTAGCAATCATTTGGAGATTAGTAATTTGTACAGGTACATAATTGTACTGGATCCTTGGTTCTAGTTGAAGGAAGATACTCTAGAAATAACTTGTCTATTTTATTTTGATTATTCCTAAAATGATGTTAATACCCCCATACTAGGCGTGGGAAAATTTGAGTATGGAACAAAAAAAAAAGACATGCAAAAAATCTGTTCCTAAGTTTCACAAATTAAACACAACTTTCATACGGTTAATATTTCATTGCAGAAAGGTAATCATCGCAATACAGTGATTTGACAAATAAATCTTCAATGTAAAATAATAATAACAATAATGAGCATTCAAATGATTCTGTGAACGTTAAGCATAACAACTAGTCTATTGATTCTGTAGTACATATAGGCTTGACTTTAATTTCATACTATCATTCAGAATATTGTACATTTTCCACTTTTATCATAGATACTAAGAAAACTAAGAGAGATTTAGTTACCATGTTTTATATTATTAAAAACAAAAGATGGTCTTGTAAGCAAAGATCGATAGTGGCTAGCAATAGAATTCAGTTTGACGCGCGTTTCATCCTATTTGGGTCTGATCAGCTGGATGTACCTGCATCTCAAAGTTGATGTTCATTCTGGGACTCAAACCCAGTATCTTTCGCTTCAAACGTCATCACGTTTTCCACTAATCTACTGAATCCTGATAGCCACTTGCTTGTGTAATGGGGTGAAGTTTAAATTCACTCAGTATTGTTTGTTTGAATTTTCCAGTCGATGTGTTAGGACTGCAACTGGTCAATCTCTAATTAGCATATATGCATACTGTGCGTATTGCCTCGATACAGCCTTATTTCACAAATAGGATGAAAAGCGCATCAAACTGGATTCCACTGCTAGCTACTATCCATCTTTGCAAAGCCTCTTATCTAAGTATACTGGTTGAGTTTGTTTCACACCGAACAGTCTATGAATATCTCTTTCTTTACTTATGTATTAATACTTTGTATTATAGATCGGGAATTGATCAAACTATTGTAACTACACTCCAATATTAGTTTTATCATTTTAATAAATCAACTAGACTAAGGATATGAATATCTATCCATTCAAGACCTGGATTAAACCAGATATTACTTCAGAAGGGAAATATATATAATAGTCATACATGCCATAATTTTGCCCTTGATTCAACATTTGCTCACCCCCAAATTATATCTAGATAGTCATCTTTCATATGACAATGGATATTTTGATAGTTCTGAACTACTGAGTAACTAGTGTGAGCTTAGCTCATCTACAATTCAAAATCTGATTAATATCTATAAATACCAATGCACGAACATCTGAGATTATGGAGTTAGGTGATACCTGTTCGAATTTCACATTCAGTATTACTACCTTCAAAATACCTCCTGATAACGAGTGTCCACTAGCAAGAAACCTAGGTCTAGGGTTTTTTAAAGACTATTTTCAACAATGTAACATCATTTTGATGTAGGTTTGTTCTCTGAACAGAATGGTTTGGTCGTAGAGCTTTCATCGTCCTTCTGAACGACATCATCAGCACAAACTTTCGGTAAAAGTGAAGTAACATCATATGTAACATCATATTTATCTAAAGCTGCATATTGATCATGATGATCTAATTAAGTAACTTTAGCCAAGTTGGTTTTAGCTAACAACAATTCTCTAACCGATATTTATTTATAATGATTCACCGATTTCAATAAAGTAACTTCTTTTGACGAATTCATTATTCGGAGCCTAATTCCATGAGGAAATGTTAACAGTAGTGATTTTATAATGTATCATAATAACAACATAAATTGAGGTGTTTGGTCATATATTCTAATGGATAATGAAATAAGATTGAGTGACTTCTAAAGGGCAGCATCATTGATGAACACGGTGTATATGATGCAGATGTGTGGACCGGCAAAGCAAGAGCAGTATATTTACAACTGAAAAACATCTGGAACTCAATACAATTGTCAACCAACACCAAGATAAGAATTTTCATTAAAGAGGTCAAGACAGTTCTACTGTATGGTGCGGAGACGTGGTGAACTACAAAAGCCATCATCCAGAAGATATAAGTGTTTTTTAAAAGTTTTCTACTCAAGATTCTTCTTATCCGTTGACCAGACACTATCAGCAACAAGTTACTGTTGGAGACAACAAACCAGATTTCAGTGGAGGAAGAAATCAGGAAGAAGCTCTGGAAGTGTATTGTTAATAATTTGAGGAAATCACCTAACTGCGTCACATGAAAAGCCCTCACATGGAATCCTAAAGGCCAAAGGAGAAGAGGAAGACCAATATTGAATAAAGCCATTAATAATAATAATAATAATAATAATAATAATAATAATAATAATAATAACGCATTACGTCGAGAAACGGAGACAGACACGAGGAGAATGAACAAAAATTGGATAGAACTAGAAAAGAAGGCTCAGGATAGAGTGTGTTGTAGAATGCTGGTCGGCGGCGTATGGTCCATTAGGAGTAACAGGCGTAAGTAAAAAAAACTAAGACTTCTGAAGGTTGTAAATAAACTGATAGTATAAGATGAATAAATCTATCATATATCATGTAAGATGTTTAGTGCTAGCTGACAAGAAACCCTGAACTTCACAGGGGAATAGTAGTCCTGGAGCCTACCTCTGGCAGGATCGTGGATGCATATTGCTGGAGAGTCCCATAATAGGCTAAAGCAGCTATCCAACGATCCCTGCTTTGAAATGCTTGACTAACTAAGATCAGTTCGTGATGTAGACTATCAAAATTTTATAATCTCTATAAACCAACTATGAAGTAAAATAAACAATTACAAATTTGTAACGAATCTCATCTAATAAGACTCATCAACATTTTCTTATCACTGAACAAAATAACTGTCAAAGTAAATAAACACAAAATACATCAGTTACCATGGTTACATGTGAATGATATCAAAATGATTATTTGGATAACCGAATAAGAAACATTGTTAAGGGATAACTGTCCAGTTTCGTATATGCAAAGTTTGGATGGTTTAATTCACAATTGGAACATTGAATACTTCTAACTGTGTTTTTTTACATAAAATAAACATTTATCATCACATTCAGTTTATTATTTTTTTAATAATTCAACATGATGTATCCAGGTTACATAAGTGACATTATTATTACTGTCGTCTTTAAAGGAAGTTACATTAATCAATTATTATATATAAAAATGTATACAAGTTGTTCATCTTATATAGTTGAAATCATGAGTCAATTGAGGCTAGACCACCATGGAAAACCTGGAAGCACTGAATGGCTTTTTCGTACTATTGTGGGACTCCTAAGTAGTGCGCATCCACGATCCCGCCTAACGAGATTCAAACCCAAGACCTATCAGTCTCGCGCGCGAATGCTTAACCACTAGATCACTGAGCTGGCATCCAACTGTGTTAATGTCTAACTTCAGCCAATCCATGAAGTTGAGCGACCGTTCACCAATTGTCTTCAGTGAATTGATACCTCACAATAGACCTGGTTGAACTCCACTGGTTACTGCTTCTGACAAGAACTCCAGGAAATACCTCGTGGTGCCAGTCACTAGTGAGCATATAATCATTATCAGAAGGAGGTTTTGTGGGGATTTTAGTAATTTTATATAGTTGAAATTATGAGTCAATTGAAGCTAGGCTACCATGGAAAACCTGGAAGCAATGGACGGCCGTTTTTTCCTATTGTGGGACTCCTCAGCAGTGCTCATCCACTATCATCCTAAATAACCAATATTAAATTAGAATCCAACATATATTTCTGGAAGGAGCATCGGCCTCGTGACTGCCAAAGAATCTTGGCTTTCATCATGAGACGTCATAATTCTTCTCTCAACTCCCAAGGCAGAGTTTAAATGATTTGAATAATTTTTTCTGGTTAGCGTTTTTTTAGAGAGTTAGTTTTCTACTGGATGAGGTCGCTAACCCCATGCCCAACCCTCCTCCTTTACCCGAGTTTCACAAGCATACTGTATACTGTGTGTATTGTCTCGATATAGCATTAATTCACAAGCATTATAAGCGACGATGGATAATGTTTAGCAGAGGAATCTAGGACGTACGTTTTGTCCCATTTGGGACTTGTCAGCCGGATGTATCTGCATGTACCTGGATTCCACTGCTAGCCGCTATCCATCTTTGCTTAGAATGCTTGTGAATTAAGGCTATATTGATGCAATACGCACAGTATGTACATATGCCAATAAGAGACTGACCAGTTGCAGTTCTAAACATCAATGAGAAGATTCAAACAAACAATACTAAGTGAATAGTCTAGTTAATATAAAATTCCCACCTAAATGAACTGGTTAACTCACACACACATCTGTGAATATCATTTTGAATTGTTTATTGAAAATGTAATTAACTAACAGTCATATTTTTGGTAATGCTGTTTTAACATCGTATATATTCATTTGATCATCTTAGGTAATTAATGATCTCTGTAATGCATGTACATAAGTATTTGATACACTATAAATGTCAAGTTTCATTAGGGATAGTCATTATTCTCGATGAGTTCTTTTTAGTTGTTACATTTTATCATTAATCATATTGTATCGGTTGTTTGAATCTTCCCGATTGATGTTAAGGATAGAAATTGACCAGTGTCATTTATCATATATGCATCATGTGTGAATTGTCTCAATACTGATATTAAGTTGCAAACATTTTAAGCAGATATGGATAGTGGCTAGCAATGGAATACAAGAAGCACCTATCGTCTAATTTGGGACTCATTAGCTGGATATACTTGCATCTCAGAGTTGATGTTCATTCTGAGACTCGAACCCAGTAACGTTAACTTCAAACACCAGTGCATAATCTACTTTGCTACTGAGTTCAGTTAGTCACTAGGTTTTGTAATGGGGTGGAGTTAAATTCATGTATATTGTATGTTAGAATCTTCCCACTGGTGTTTAGGGCTACAATTGATCAGTCACTTTTTTATTTATGTACATCCCTATTCCACAAACTCAGTAGCTAAGTGGATAACGCAATGGCGTTTGAAGTGAACTGTACGGGGTTGGAGTTCAGGAGTGACGATTAAATCGGATGTAAGTACATCTAACTGATGAGTACCAGATATGATAAATGATAAGTGCTGGACTCCACTACTAGCTACCATCCAACTGTGTTTATAATTGCGTTGCATTGTTTATTGTTTATGAAATATATAAATATTTTTGTAAAGCACAATTGGTTATTTTTGTTATATCCCGAAGAGAGCCCCCAAATACCCTGGTACGGCCGAGAGTGGGGAGAGTCACCTCTCCCTCTCGAAATGCTCTCACATGGTCACGCGTATATAGCCTCTCCCACGGAAATCCTACTCACTGCCTTCTCGTTGCATTACTGGTGTTTACGAAATGGAGAGGACGAAAAGCGAATGTCCAGAGCTTTAACCGGGTTGGGGGACATGGCGAGTCCACCTAAGGGAGTTGGAAAACCCTCATTCCAAACCAATGGTGCATATGGACTGATTCCAGTATCCTGAAGGGAAAAATGGCGTATGAACCAATCATTGATCACCGGCTACCATGGTACTACTTCTCCTTACGATGCTCCACTGCCTTGTGGATCAGACCTTTAGGTTAAAGGCTCTGGGCGTGGCTTCAAGAAAACCACGTGCTTCAGTTTGGGCACCTGGGCAGTATCTCAGCCCTCAAACAAATCGAATGAGATTTGTGTGGCGCATATATATCTGGTGCCCCCTTTTATCAATATTTATGTGTTTAAATAAATAAATAAATAAATCCCGAGGAGAACTATGATTGGTGACTTTTGAGAACTATTTATGGACCAAATATGATATGTATATTCCCTATTGTATAATGGTTAAGTAACTAAAATATTCATATTCATGTCCTTCTTATTATTAGCATCATTTTGACCCATAGACTATTACTGTACGATTTACTACTCCTGAGTTTTACCCAGTCTACTAATTATTGTTCCCCTTATTCACAATCACATTTGGCTAAATCTTGTACAAATATTATTCTCTATTTTATGGTACGATGTGATCAGATTGATTGTGGTATATAAACCCAGTATGTTTGAGAATAATGATTCATATTTCAGAGGCTGTTATTGGTGTTCTGTACTTAACTTGCTGGTCTAGGCATAAAGCAGGACTGATATGTACTCAGGGTTGCTCATAAGGTTTTTCGTGTATCATTGCTCTGATCGATAATTCACTCCACTCTAATTGGCGGGAATCATCACGTCATATATTAAAAAGAGCACTCAGGTCAATCGAGATAACAATTTTTAGCTGATCACACTTTCGACACCACCGGATAGTATTTCTGCTTATAATTCCTAAATCTTCATATTGTCACGCTACCAAAAGCTATAACCGGAATTAGTATCTAATTCTCCGAGAAAAATGCAAATACGAGTTACATCTGTGATTGGGTTCAGTGTGAGTACTCACTATCGAATAAATTGTAACTAGTACTGCTCCTCGACCGTTGCTGCAACTTTAACGTGGTGGTCGGACTTGCCTATCGTGAAGAACCAATCGAGCTATGCTGGCTGGAACAATAGTTCCTCAAGGTCCTACCATGCCAGGCATGTCGGTTGAAGAGCGGTGAGACTAAAAGCAGCAATCCCAAGGTCCGAAGGCGAAGTCGTACTGCCGACTGTACAGAGGTGTGACGGCAGTAAGGTGTTTCCTTCTGACAACCAGCATGACAGCGATGCTGCCTTCCCACAAGGAGGGGTGGGGTTAGAAAAAGTCGACCCTAAAAATGCACACCTCGCCTTATCCCACGGATTTCCGTCTCCGGCGGTAAGGTCCTTTGAAGAACGGAGCTAACACTTCAAAAATCCCCCACAAAAAGACCGTGCGTGACCGGCCTTAAGCAGTTGTCCCTTGGGCACTGCGATCACGCTCCCAGGTCGTTCAGACCAACACTAATCCAACTTCTTTTTCAGGTCCCTCAAGAAATACCCTTCCACGGTGTGGGCAGCCGGGAAGTGATAAATGCCCTCATACCCGTAGTAGCACACGAGACCAAGTTGGTCACTTTCAAATCCCGAGTACTGCTCCTAACCCTTATATAATGAAAAATATCATCAAATCAAACTTATCTCACAAATTTCTTTATCATGATGAAAGTACTTAATTCAGTTTTTGTTTATTACTTGGAGATCAATCACTTTATATTCTTCTTTTCATGAGCAGTAAATTACAGTGAATTTCTTTGTATTTAACTGATAGCTAAAAATTAACTGATTAATTATAAACGTTCTTTTATGATTGAAATCATGAGTCAATTGAAGCTTGACAATCATGGAAAACCTGGAAGTACTGGAAGAGCGTTTCGTCCCATCGTGGGACTCCTCAGCAGTGCGCATCCATCATCCTGCCTCGCGACATTCGGACCCAGGACCTATCAGTCTCGTGCGCGATTACTTAACCTTTAGACAACTGAGCCGATGTCTAACAGTTCCATGGCGGTCTAGCTCCAATCGACTCGTAATTTCAACTATATAAATTTACTAAAATCTCCACAAAACCCCTTTTCTGATAGAAACGCCATCGCACAAGCAAGTGGCTATCAGGACTCAGTAACTAAGTTAATAACGCGATGGCGTTTGAAGCGAAAGTTACTGAGTTCGAGTCTCAGAGTGAACATCAACTCTGAGATGTAGATACATCCAATTGACAAGTCCCAAATAGGAAGAAACTCCCATGCTAGATTCCATTACTAGCCACTATCCATCTTTGCTTACCATACAGTTAAAATAGTTAATTTGTAAAATAACAATCAATTGTCTCAATCTTGACTGTTTCTTCTGTAAATATCAGTCCGTCTTCTCTGATTTCATTATTCATGCATTTTCTATACCGATTGCATTTCATTCTTGTTCTTTCCTTATCAATCTTCTAATGAAATACACTCTATGTCTGACCATCATTATAAACTACTTGTGTGGATATAACTAACCCATATCACATTAATAAAGCCTATTGAGATCGATTAAATTTTAAAATAAAATAAAAAACTAAATCATAAACTTATTATTAACACATGACCTGATCAATTTAGATTCATTATTGTTATGAAATCTACTTATACTTACTTTACAAATATCCTTGATCCGATCAGAATGATTCAATGAACTGATTTTATATAATCTATTATGATGATTAACTGATTAAACCTTCTCTCTTCACAATACATGGATTCCTTTGAAGAAGAAACATCTTCAACAATATCATTAACAAGAAATAAATACTATTTAAATGAAGTAAGTTTTACATTCAGTTCATAGAAATACAAAGTTTCTTATGTATATGTTAGTAATGATATAAATTAAGAGTTCCAGTTCTAGAATATAGATCACATGGAGTTTAGAAATTAGTAGCCACTTGTAAGTAGACAAAATGTTGTAGCAGAAATGGGTAATTATTCGATATTGTTGTGAATATAATGATCTTCAATGGTGTTAGAGGTATAAAGTTGGTTATCACTTCTCGGTTGGCCATACTGGGGGAAGTGTCTTTTTAAAGGTGTGTGTGTGTGTGTGTGAAAAATAAGGTAAAATTAGTCTTAGTGACCTGAGAGCGTGACTGTAATCCCCAAGGAACTACTGCTTTATGCCGATCACACATGACTTTTTTGTGAGTGGAATTCGTGATAACTTCGTACTTGTTGCGAGCTTACCGACGGAGACGAATATCCGTGGGATAAGGTGAGGTGTGCATTTTTAGGGTCAACAATTTCTAACCCCACCCTTCCTTGTGAGAAGGCAGCATCACTGCTTGCTGGTTGTTTGAGAGAAATACCATACGGCTATCACACCATTGTAAAGTTAGCATTGAGACTTCACCGTAGGACCTTGGGTTTGCTGCTTTTACTCTTTCCGCTGTTCAACCGACCTGCCTGACATATTAGGACCTTGAGGAACTATTGTTCCAGCTAGTGTAGCTCTACTAGTTCATTAAGATAGGTAAGCCCAACCACCACGTCAAGGTAGAAGAAACAGCCAGGGATTTAATTATTAAATTTTATCATCATCTATCATGTTTATTAAATGACATGTTAGTCGGTAATAATACTTTTTGTTGAAATCATGAATCGGTCAGTGTTAGACCTCCATTGAAAACTGTGTCAGGTATGAGCCAACCACCCACCAAAGACAATGGAAAATAGCAATGCAACATCTTACACTGGTTAAAATTAAACATCAATATCTCTAGATACCGGTTTAGTGGTCTGAAGACTAAGTGTTCGCGCAGGATCTGAAGTCCTGGGTCCGGATTCCGCGTGCGGGAATGTGATTACACACTGTTGAGGAGTCCCATACCAGGACAAAGAAACCGTTCAGTGCTTTGGGGTTTTCAATGATGGTTTATCATTTATTGGTTCATGATTTTAATGTAATTCAACAATCTCCACAATTCTAAGCTGAAGATAATACTTTGAATTGCATTTGCAACTTTGAAATTTTACGGAACCATAAAATAGACTTACATATTTTTGAAAAAAATCCATAAAGAATCTTGGCTCAAGCGGGAAAAGCACGCAATAAATACAGCTTATTCGTTTGAACTTTAAGAATAGAAAGTCGGGGGTCACAGATATGAATGTCTGTTTTCAAGTTACATTAATAGGATAGTATTTCATGGATGATGTATATAACTGAAAGAATAAGAAATTACGAATAATTAGAACGTATATTTTAATGAGTAGTTTATTGAATAGCATCTAAATAGAGAAAGTTGTCATCACAGACAACAAACCAAATTCCAGCAGAGTAAGAAATCAGCAAGAAGTGCTGGATAGGACACACATTGTAGAAATCACACTAATGCGTCACAAGACATCAGGCCGAGAAATGGAGACAGACATGAAAAGAATGAAAAAAAACTGGATAGATCTAGAAAGGAAGGCCTAGAACAGAGTGGGTTGGAGAATGCTGGTCGGTGGCCTATGTTCCATTGGGATTAACAGACGTAAGTAAGTAAGTAAGTAAGTAAGTAAGTAAGTAAGTAAGTAAGTAAGTAAGTAAGTAAGTAAGTAAGTAAGTAAGTAAGTAAGTAAGTAAGTAAGTAAGTAAGTAAGTAAGTAAGTAAGTAAGTAAGTAAGTAAGTAAGTAAGTAAGTAAGTAAGTAAGTAAGTAAGTAAGTAAGTAAGTAAGTAAGTAAGTAAGTAAGTAAGTAAGTAAGTAAGTAAGTAAGTAAGTAAGTAAGTAAGTAAGTAAGTAAGTAAGTAAGTAAGTAAGTAAGTAAGTAAGTAAGTAAGTAAGTAAGTAAGTAAGTAAGTAAGTAAGTAAGAAAGTAAGTAAGTAAGTAAGTAAGTAAGTAAGTAAGTAAGTAAGTAAGTAAGTAAGTAAGTAAGTAAGTAAGTAAGTAAGTAAGTAAGTAAGTAAGTAAGTAAGTAAGTAAGTAAGTAAGTAAGTAAGTAAGTAAGTAAGTAAGTAAGTAAGTAAGTAAGTAAGTAAGTAAGTAAGTAAGTAAGTAAGTAAGTAAGTAAGTAAGTAAGTAAGTAAGTAAGTAAGTAAGTAAGTAAGTAAGTAAGTAAGTAAGTAAGTAAGTAAGTAAGTAAGTAAGTAAGTAAGTAAGTAAGTGAGTGAGTAAGTAAGTAAGTAAGTAAGTAAGTAAGTAAGTAAGTGAGTAAGTAAGTAAGTAAGTAAGTAAGTGAGTAAGTAAGTAAGTAAGTAAGTAAGTAAGTAAGTAAGTAAGTAAGTAAGTAAGTTAGTAAGTAAGTAAGTGAGTAAGTAAGTAAGTAAGTAAGTAAGTAAGTAAGTAAGTAAGTAAGTAAGTAAGTAAGTAAGTAAGTAAGTAAGTAAGTAAGTAAGTAAGTAAGTAAGTAAGTAAGTAAGTAAGTAAGTAAGTAAGTAAGTGAGTAAGTAAGTAAGTAAGTAAGTAAGTGAGTAAGTAAGTAAGTAAGTAAGTAAGTAAGTAAGTGAGTAAGTAAGTAAGTAAGTAAGTAAGTAAGTAAGTAAGTAAGTAAGTAAGTAAGTAAGTAAGTAAGTAAGTAAGTAAGTGAGTAAGTAAGTAAGTAAGTAAGTAAGTAAGTAAGTAAGTAAGTAAGTAAGTAAGTAAGTAAGTTAGTAAGTAAGTAAGTGAGTAAGTAAGTAAGTAAGTAAGTAAGTAAGTAAGTAAGTAAGTAAGTAAGTAGGTAGGTAAGTCATTACAGACTGAAAGTTTGAATAAAAGTGAACCACAAAACACATTCAACAACTACTTTATCCTAGTTTAAGTTTCATCAACAATAAGCTGTTAAAACCTTCACATTCATGAACTTAATAGTTCCAGATCTCGTGATAATCATGGCATCATTAAAATGATGAATCAGATTAAAATGGTACATATTAGAGAAAATTAGCTGTTTAAGACTAAGTTTAGCTATTTCATATTTTAGCAATAATGTGAGCTATTATATTTTATTGAATGATCCGAGAAACCTGAAAGTCCTCAATGGATCTGGGTAATAACTACACTTCCGGTTATCACTTCTCAAAGGAATGTATCCTCATCTTATTATCTCATTTACAAGTGGTTGTTTCTATTATTTTTACATTTTCTCTTTTTTATCATGTTCTATAGACGTCGAATTCAGTTGAAAATATCCAACGAACATTTTCTGAAACAGTCCTATCATCTTTACGGAACCAATCAGATCGATCTTTATATAATAGAGGTAGGACATTCTTTAATGTTCTGTCAATATAACCCTCATTTTCTTGTAAGAAATGGAGATCCACAATAGTTAAATTGAAAAAATGATTATTTCAGAAAGTTATGTCAGGTTGTATTCAGGTTAACATCAGTAACACTGCTGAATATTGACTGGAAAAACTTTTTTTATTAAGCCAGTCTAGAAACAAATCGGATGAAAGACGCAGTAGACGCCGAACTTAGGGATCAACAGGCTGGATTCCGTAAGGATCGGTCGTGCACAGACCAGATTGCGACACTACGGATCATCGTGGAACAATCAGTTGAGTGGAACTCATCACTATACGTCAACTCCATTGACTATTAGAAGGCGTTTGACAGCGTGGACAGGAGAACATTATGGAAACTTCTTCGACACTATGGAGTTCCTGAAAAGATCGTCAACATTATCCAAAACTCATACGATGGACTACAGTGCAAAGTGGTGCATGGAGGACAGCTGACAGATGCATTTCCAGTAAGGACCGGAGTCAGACAAGGCTGTCTACTCTCCCCATTCCTCTTCCTTCTAGTGATTGACTGGATTATGAAGAATTCGACATCTGAGGGGAAATACGGAATACAATAGACTTCTCAGAATCAATTAGATGATTTGGACTTCGCAGATGACCTAGCCCTCCTCTCTCATACACACGAACAAATGCAGATGAACACAGCAAATGTGGCAGCAGCCTCCGAATCGATAGGCCCCCACATTCACAAAGGAAAAAGCAAGATTCTCAAATGCAACACGGAGAACACCAACCCAATCACACTTGATGGCGAAACTCTGGAAGAGGTGGAAACATTCAAGTACCTGGGGAGCATGGTTGATAAACAAGGAGGATCGGATGCAGATGTAAAGGCGAGGATTGGCAAAGCAAGGGCAGCATTTCTACAATTGAAGAACATATGGAACTCAAAACAACTCTCAACCAATTTCAAGGTCAGAATCTTTAATACGAACGTCAAGGCAGTCCTACTGTATGGAGCTGAAACGTGGAGAACTACAACGGCCATCATCAGGAAGGTACAAGTATTTATAAACAGTTGTCTACGCAAAATACTCAACATCCACTAGCCGGATACTATCAGCAACAGCGTTTTATGGGAGAGAACGAACCAGCTTCCAGCTGAAGAGGAAATTAGGAAAAGACGTTGGAAGTGGATAGGACATACATTAAGGAAATCACAAATGTGCATCACGACTCAATCCCTAATTTGGAATCCGGAAGGGAAGCAGAAAAGAGGAAGGCCAAAGAACACACTATACCGGGAAATAGAAGCCGATATGTAAAGGATGAATAGCAACTGGAAAGAACTGGAAAGGGAGGCTCAGGACAGAGTTGGATGGAGAATGCTGGTGAGCGGCCTATGCTCCTCGACGAGGGGTAACAGGCGTAAGTAAGTAAGTAAGTACAGAAACAGATATCTAATTACATATAAAAGAATGGATCTGAGTGTTTCAGAGTTTTTAAGTGAAATAAGTATTTTAAAGTATATAAACAGGCTATCAGACAAATCAAGAGAGGCAAAGCAGCGGGACGAGACAACATTCCAGCAGAGGGACTGAAAGCAGATGTAGCAGCAACTGCGAAGATACTATATATTCTCTTCAGTAAGATTTGGAATGAAGAAAAAGTACCAACAAACTAGAAAGAAGGACTTCTGATCACAATACCAAAAAAGGCGATCTCAACAAGTGCGATAACTACAGGGGTGTCACTGTCCTCTCAATACCAGGAAAAGTCCTCAAAGGGTATTGTTAAACAGTATTAGGGACTCCGTGGACGCCTAACTTCGAGATCAACAGGCTGGATTCCGTAAGGATCAATTGAGTACAAACCAAATCGCAACTCTACGGATCATTGTGGAACAATCAATTGAATGGAGTTCATCACTATTATCTCCTGACTGAAAAGTTCTACTTATGAAAAATATAACATAATAATACATGAATTAAGGGTCCAATGAATCTGCAATTAATGGTAGAATAAAACTTAAACGAATAATAAGCATGATAAAAGTCTTCTGAATGAGAATGAGATAATATAGAAATACAATGAAATCTTCATTCACTCCAGTCACAATGATGAGTCTTAAAGTAAGAATTGAAGACTGAAATATGACTGGTTTTCCATCTCCTTAGTCCTAATAACCATCACTTCATGTAACCGAGTGTTTATACGATGTAAATGTATATTCTATTCAACAAACTATTTTTTTTATCAGAAGGAGAGTTTTGTGGAGATTTTAGTAATTTTATATAGTTGAAATCATCAGTCAATTGAAGCTAGACCACTATGGAAAACCTCGTTTAAGTGCTCACGCACGAGACTGATAGGTCTTGGGTTCGAATATCGTGAGGCGGGATCGTCGATGCTCACTACTGAGGAGTCCCACAATAGGACGGAACGGCCATTCAGTGCTTCCACGTTTTCCATGATGGTCTAGCTTCAATTGACTCATGATCTGAACTATATGAAAATATTTTTTGTTTATGTAATTGTCTCATAAATATGACATAAATACTATATTTGGATTCTACACAGAGTACAATTTGAATTTATCGTCCTATATTACCAAGTCCGATGATAAAGAGAACTACGAATCTCCTAGATCGATGCAAATGTTGACTCCCAATGAAATTATGCATAATCATGAATCTTTACCAGGAAGTCTATATGAAAGTGACCTATCTTTTCCAGTAAGTACATTTATTGCATTTGAATTAGTTCTAAAAATTCATTTTAACTACTTATGAGTAGATACATTAATTAAGACTAATTATTTATTTAAACATTAAAATTTGACTACATGATCCACTCTCAATGTGAAGTTCCTGAATGCGATATCAAATTAAGTCATCAATGTATACTGCTAAAAAGTCTCAAACTTGAACAAGTATTCAGCCTTACATGATCTTTAACTGTTCCTTGACACAAACCTCTTAGTGCAAAATGATATGAGAAATCATAATACCTGTATATTGTTGGGGATGTTAGATCCCCAGAACTCACTTGTCAACTGCCTTGTTCTTGTTTTCGCGTCAGATGCGCTCATTTTCACCTTCATGTCGTATTTTTCAATTGAGAGGTTCTTAAACTCTATTGGTTCGTAGTATCATTTAGTATGCTATTTTGTAACCTTTCCCAAGGAAAATTATATGCTGTATATATACGTTTAATTTTTTTCCTGTTGAGATTCTGACTGCTTGCGGAATATATTTTTTTCCACTTCGAACTTGGACTTCTCTATCTAGTTAGCGGGGCTGAGACTCGTTAGAATAGCTAGCTTATTGGTCTTCGCTCACTGGGTCTTTGTTCCGTTCTTAGATTAAGTGAACTCGTAATAGTTTCATATATAACATTTATAAGGAATAGAAAAGTAGAAGGAGTAAGGAAAAATTATTTTTTTTAAAGTAAAAATGGATGCCGGCTCAATGGTCTATCGATTAGGGGCTCTTGTTCGAGACTGGTAGGTTCTGGGTTCGAATCTCGCGAGGCGAGGACGAGGATGCGCACTGCCACTGAGGAGTCCCATAATAGGACGAAACGGCCATCCATTGCTTCCAGGTTTTCCATGGTTGTCTAGCTTCAATTGACTGACGCTTTCAACTATGAAAATGCTAAATCTCCACAAAACCTCTTCTGAATAAAAATGAATAAGCCTTGAATTACAGTTACCGTTACAATTACAAACTTTTAGTTATGAATTATGTGATCTTCGAACAATGAAATATCTGAAACCTCACTTAAAAAGTTGAAATTCTTTTGTCAGGGCTGAGTTTACCAATCAGTAATGGCACAGAATACTTTCTGCTACGAGTTAGAAGTTATCATCACTGACCACTAACCAACGTAAACCTTGGATGTAACTTGCTAAGTAGACAATCCATATTTTGAAACCTTACACACGGACTCAGTTACTGCATCTGATATTAATATCAAAATGTTGGTTTATCCACAATAAGTCTATGCTTAAGCATACGCTTATTCATCATCTTTGAGTTCACTCTCAGAATTACTTAGAACAGCGATTCCCATTCCACGTAAAACTCATAAGTTGTTAAAAACTTATAAAAATCTGATACTTTGGGATAGGAACTCACAGAAGACAATTGATGAACGGTTGTTCAACTTCGTGGATTAGTTGGAGTTAGTCATAAACACTATCGGTCTCCGGGTCAGTGGTCTATCGGTTAAGTGCTCTGGCGTGACACTGGTATGTCCTGGGTTCTAGTCTCGCGAGACGAGGACGAGGATGGGCACTGCTGAGGAGTCCAACAATAGGACGAATTGGCCATCCATTGCTTCCAGGTTTTCCCTGGTGGTCTAGCTTTAATTGACTCTCGCTTTCAACTATGAAAATATTAAATCTTCACAAAAACCCCTTCTGATAACAATAAAAATCCATTGTTTATTTTAACCATTTTACAATAGAATATCATTGATCATTATGATCTTTGTACATTGAATGATGGTTTACATTCACCATGGCCATCAATTGAAGTAGACCAACTGGCAAATTGGTTAATTGAGATGAATTCAATGATTTTTAGTAAACCATATATTTTTCCAAAGTCAATATGTACATCATCACAGTTCTCTTCCTCCGTCTCACAATCATCTTTTTCATCTTTAGAATGTATTGAAACTGATGAAGAACAGTTGAAGAGTAAATGTAACAACAGATCAAAATGTCGCTTGCCGAACCTTAAATTTAAGCATAAAATTATCAATTTATCAAAGTTGGAAATGATTCATAAACATTTAGTTATTATCGACTGTCGATATCCATATGAATATGATGCTGGACATATTTATAGTGCTATCAATTTATCTGATTGGCCACATCTTTGTAAATACTTTTTCGGCGCCAAACAATCTATTAGAACTTCTGAAGCTGATCTAAGTAAATCGTCGTCATCATCTTCAACTGGACCATTTGTTAAACCAAAACCATCTTCTACTTTATTTGTATTACATTGTGAATTTTCTACAAAACGTGCACCACAATTATTTCATCTATTACGTAATTATGATAGAACATTACATTTCACTTCATATCCTGCTTTAAAATATCCATTTGTTTATATATTACGTGGTGGTTATTCTGCATTTTTTAAAAATTATCCACATTTATGTGAACCTTCTAATTACTTACAAATGCATAGTAGACCAGATCTTTTAAGTATTTGGCGTAAACATTGCAATATTGTTAACAGACAACTCATTAATGATAATCCACAAGTATGTGTTTATAATGATCATCATGAAGAGTTAACCAACCAACATTCGAATTTGAACATTAAAGTACCATTGAAAAGTATTACAAATTTCAAATAACCAAAAAATATGACATTTTGATCACTCTTCGTAGAGTAGCATAGTCTGATCATCAGTATAAGCAATTCAAATCTGTCCTGGATAATACTCTTCAGGTGCTTCCAAATCCCGATGTATTATATTCTTCAACCTTTATGTTTTCCGCTTGCATTCAGGATTTTAGATTAGCGCTTGCTTCGTGATGTAATTCCATCAAGTGCAATGCTACTCACTTGTTAGTTATTTATTTTTTTTTAAAAATTATTCAACAAAATATTTTTTTCCATCTCATTTCTTCTACTCATAATTATTGATATAAGTAGTATACATTTCATTTTTAAAATGATTTTACAAAGAAAAAAAATGTATCACTTAAAATACTGATTCAATTCATTAAAATTGGAACCTGATAATATAAGCTATTCAATATTAAACACTTTTGTTTTAATTCAATAATTATCATAATTTGTTGTTATAATATTGGTGATCTTGAATGCTGTTAACAGTATTAGGGCAGTTATCACTTCACGGTTGCCCATACCGTGGAAGAGTTCTACTGGAGGTACCTGAAAAAGAAATTGTGTTAGAAGTGGTCTTAATGACCTGAATGCGTGACCGCAGTATTCAAGGGACAACTGTTTTAGGTCGGTCACACACGACCTTTTTGTGGGTAATTTTTGTGTTAGCTCCGTACTTGTTGAGACCTTACAGCCGGAGATGGATATCCGTGGGATAAGGTGAGGTGTGCATTTTTAGGTTGAACCTTTTCTAACCCCACCCCTCCTTGTGGGAAGGCAGCATCACTGTCATGCTGGTTGTCTGAAGGAAACATCTTACTGCCGTCACATCTCTGTACAGTCAGCAGTACGACTTCCAACCCTAAGTTTGCTGCTTTTAATCCTACCGCTCTTCAACCGACATGTCTGGCATGGCAGGACCTTGAGGAACGATTGTTCGAGCCGGTATAGCTCGATTGGTTCATCACGATAGGCAAGCCCGAACACCACGTCAAGGTAGCAGCAACGGTCGGGGTTGTTATAATATACATTTATTTTATTTCATTGTTTGGTTCGTTGGAATTGAAAGAGAAAAGCTTGACAAAAACTGAATTTATACTTACTTACATATATACATCTGTTATTCCTTCTTGAGGATCGTAGTCTGATCATCAACACTCTTAATCCAGTTATGTTCTGAGCATTCCTTTCCACTTATTTCCAGTTACTATTCATCCTTTTCATGTCTGCTTTCATTTCACGATGTAGTGTATTCTTAAACCTTCCTCTTTTCCGACTCCATTCAGAATTCCAAGTTAGGGCTCGCCTTGTGGTGCAGTTTGGTAATTTCCATAGTGTATGTCCTATCCACTTCCAAAGTCTCTTCATAATTTCCTCTACAGGTGGAAGTTGGTTTGTTCTCTCACTGTATGTTGTTACTGATGGTATCTGACCAACGGACATTGAGTATCTTGATTAGACAACTGTTGGTAAATACTTGTACATATTTGAGGATACTTGTGGTGGTTCTTCAAGTTTCAGCTCTGCACAGTAGGACTGTCTAGACGTTCTAATTGAAGTTTTTTACTCTGAAATCAGTTGATAGTTGCCTTGAGTTCCACATATTCTTGAATTATAGGAATGAGACCCTTGATATTCCAATCCTCACCTATACATCTCCATCGAATCCTCTTTGTTAATCCATTATGCTATCCAAGTACGTGAAAGATTCCACAACTTCCATATCTTCTCCATCAAGTGTGATTGAATTAATGTTCTCCGTGTTGTATTTGAGACTCTTGCTTTTCCCTTGTGTATGTTGAGGCCTATTCATGCAGTGACTGCTGCTACACTAGTTGTCTTCATCTGGATTTGTTGGTGTGTATGAGAGAGGAGGGGTAGATCATCTACGAAGCCCAAATCATTTAATTGATTCCGAGTTGTCCATTGTATTCCCCCGAGAAAATTGTTGAAATTAAATAATGATTAACCTTTATATTTAAGAATATGATGTGATAAATCGTAGAAGAAACCGCTCTTTAAATGGGAAGAAATAAATTCATATTAGAAATGTTTATTATATGAAGTAAATTTCATATAAAATTCATGATTAGCAGTAAAGAAGACTGTAAAACTTTTAGAGGACTTAAAAATATACTACACAAAATTTTCACTACACTTGTAGTGTAGCTAAGTGGATAACGCGATGGCGTTTGAAGCGAATGGTACTGGGTTCGAGTCTCAGTGTGAACATCAACTCTGAGATGCAGGTACATATAGCTGACGAGTCCCAAAAAGAACAAAACGCACGTCCTGGATTCCATTGCTAGCCACTATCTATATTTGCTTATAATGCTTATGATCTCACGCAATATCGAAGCAGCCCGCATAGGATGCACATATGCGGATAAGAGATTGATCAATTGCAGTCCTAAATAACAATGAGAAGATACATGTAAACCACAACAATTGACTTGTAATGTTCATTCAATATTTTTGGATTTTCACTTAATGATCAACCTTCACCTAATAACTAATGAATTTATTTAAGTTCATCAAGCATTTCGGGATTGTATTAACTAGATGATAAGTAAATTTCATGTTTGATACGAAAACCATTTAAGATTTATATAAACCTATCAGATTATGTAAATTAGAAGTAAACTGTGTTATATTACTTAGCTATAGGATACTTACTTACTTGCTTACGCCTGTTACTCCCAATGGAGCATAATCCGCTGACCATCATTCTCCAACCCACTCTGTACTGAGCCTTCCTCCGGGGTCTACTGCCGCTTCCAAACTCGGGTAAAGGAGAAGGAATGGGCATGGGGTTAACGACTCCATCCCGTAGAAAACTAACTCGCTAAAAAACGCTACCCGTAAAAAATTATTCAAACCATTTAAACTCTACCCTAGGAGTTGAAGAAATAATTATGACGTCTCATGATGAAAGCCGAATTCCCTCGGAAGTCATGAGGCCGATGCACCCTCTAACAACCAGAGCAATAAATTTTTAGCTATAGGATATGATGATCATAAGTGTAAAATCTAGAAAACCACTATGTGATCGTTTGTGTTTTTAATGAACAACAATTATTAACTGGTGTAATACGGAGTGCTAAGGGCCCCTGGTATGGACAAGGATGGGGAAAGTCCGCTCTCCCTCTCCAAATGCTCTCATATGGCCACACGTATATAGCTTCTGTCAGGGAAGTCCTACTCACCGCCTCCTCGTGCTATTACTGTTGTTTACGAAATTGAGAGAACGAAAAGCGAATGCCCGGCACTTTAACCGGGTTGGTTGACTGGCTGGCTGGCTCCAATATCCTGTAGGAACAAATGGCGTCTGAACCAATCGTTGGTCACCGGTTACCATGAGACTGTATCTCCTTACGATGCTCCACTTCACTGCCTTGTGGATCAGACCTTTAGGTCAAAGGCTCCGACAGTGGCTTCCTAAAAAAAACCACCTTCTTCAGTTTGGGCACCCGGGCAGTATCACAGTCCTAACACAAATCAAATGAGATTTGTGTGGCGCATGTGTATCTGGTGCCTCTTTGTACCAATAATAATGTGTTCAAATAAATAAATAAATGAGTGCCAATCATTAAATTACATTAGTGAGCAAGTAGCTTATTCATAACTTTGGTACTTTGGGCACAAGATCATTTTTGAAGGGACCAAAATGCTGAGGAGTCCCAGAATAAGACGAAATGGCCTACTAGTGCTTCTAGGTTTACCATTGTGATCTAGCTTCAATTAAAATGGTATACCACATGTTAGTTTCCATTAGATCTATGAATTATAATTATCTTCACTCTTTTATATAGATTAATGTATCCATATATTAATTATCAGAAGGGGTTTTGTGGAGATTTAGTATTTATCATAGTTGAAAGCGTGAGTCAATTGAAGCTAGACCACCATGGAAAACCTGGAAACACTGGATGGCCGTTTCGTCCTATTATAGGACTCCTCAGTAGCAGTGCGCATCCACGAACCCGCTCTCGCGAGATTCGAACCCAGGTTAAGGGCTTCGGCTCGAGACTGGTAGGTCATGAGTTCGATTCTTGCGAAGGCGGGTTCGTGGATGCGCACTGCCACTGAGGAGTCCCATAATAAGACGAAACGGACGTCCAGTGTTTCCAGGTTTTCCATCGTGGTCTAGCTTCAATTGACTCATGCTTTCAAGTATCCATATATATACATGTATACCGATGATATTTACAAGCTTTACCCAGTGTTCATAAATTCAACCGAAATGACTTAATTTGCATAAAACAACGTTAAAGAAATAAGACATTATAACAGTACATATCTATATACAAAATTTCAGCTTTATCCTATCAACAAAATTAAAAGGGAACATACCAATAGTTCAATGATATACGGATAACTAATCTATATATATGTAGATGTATACTAATGTAGGTTATGAATCTGATTATATAGATACAAATGACTGGGTTTCTATAATCTTTCTTTGAACGATTAAGAGAAAGGAGTTTTCCACTATTTTTGTTGTTGTTGTTGTTCGAATCATTTTGGGGCTAATTGATATGAGGTAAAATGTAAATAAGATTGTCATACTAAAAAAAGAATGAAATAACACTGTCTATTACCTTGCTGACATTTTGTTACATAACTACTTGCGCACACACACACACACACACACATACACACACATACACATACATAATAATAGATGTATATTAAATGTCTATGTTAAGTATTCACCACTTTATATGGTTTTAAGGAATAGAGGTGTCATTCTTTCTCTATTTATTGTTGATCAGTTATTTTAATAATTTGGTAACTACAGCAACTGATGTCGCATAAAAAGTATGATTAGTTGTGTATCGTATAGAATATCTGGTTTATCTCAAATTACTTATTTTAATATATATAATAAAGTAGATGATACTAATGGTTTGATACAATACTACCTGTTAACGATAATGAATGTAAAACCTGTTTCATTGCCGAATCTAATTATTTAATCAAGCAGATTACTCGAAAGATAATCCATTTCAGGTAGAGACAGGTATCTACTTTAGTAGAATGAAAATTGGTCGCGCGATTTCGTGGATTGGTTGAGGTTAGACATTAACACCATTGAATGCCGTCCCAGTGGTCTATCAGTTTAGTGCTCTGGTGCTTAACTGGTAGGTCCTGTGTTCGAATTTCATGATGCGGAATCGTGAATACTGAGGAGTCCCACCGCTGGATGAAACGGCCGTTCAGTACTTCCAGATTTTCCATGATGGTCTAGCTTCAACTGACTTATGATGTTAACTTCTGTTACTCGAAAGCTGTTGATTGTAAATCTTGAGATTATCTAAATTATCTTCACACAGTAGTCATCGTCACTTACTTACTTACTTACTTACTTACTTACGCCTGTTACTCACAATCGAGACTAGGCCACTCGCCAGCATTCTCCAACCCACTCTGTCCTGAGCCTTTCTTTCTAGTTCTATCCAACTTCTGTTCATTCTTCTCATGTCTGTCTTCATTTCTCGACCTGATGTATTCTCTGGTATTCCTCTTCTCCTTTAGCCTTTAGGATTCCATGTGAGGGCTTGTCATGTGACGCAGTTAGGTGATTTCCTCAAATTATTAACAATCCACTTCCAGAGCTTCTTCCTGATTTCTTCCTCCACTGAAATCTGGTTTGTTGTCTCCCACAGTAACTTGTTGCTGATAGTGTCTGGCCATCGGATAAGAAGAATCTTGCGTAGACAACTTTTAAAAAACATTTGTATCTTCTGGATGATGGCTTTCGTAGTTCTCCATGTCTCCACCCCATATGGTATAACTGTCTTGACGTTTGTATTGAAAATTCTTATCTTGTTGCTGGTTGACAATTGTATTGAGTTCCAGATGTTTTTCAGTTGTAAATATACTGCTCTTGCTATGCCGATCCTCGCCCTCACATCTGCATCTGATTGTTAGTCATCGTCAGTATGTATAAAAAGTAAGTCTTTCAATTAAGATTATGACCTCTGAATCAATAGAAATTAGTTTTATAAAGTAATTTATGAACCGAATAGCTTATTTTTATACATAGACTCAAAAATTCCCAAATATTACTGATCATATTTGCTTCAAATGTTAACCTCAACCCATCACTATAAAACAAAAGAATATATAGAAAGTAGACCTTAATAATTTTAACACCTTAAGCTCATATATTCGAAAATGGTTGGTATCTGGTAAATCTTCAAGAGATGTACAACGTCATTTCAATTAACTATAAGAAATTGGAGAGGGTCGCACCTACAGACCACTTTGATAATATAAGTTACTCATCAACCCTATACAGGCAAGTTGTAATATCATTACTTTAATGAAGCCAATAACTTGCTTATTTTTTGTCAACTTTAAATCAAATAAGACACCTTCATCGATCGAACAAATAGTAGACATATATCATACAACAATCTACTCTGATACTGTACGGTTATTAGATATTGTCAATGAGAAAATAAATTGTATTGATTACAGTGATTTAGTCATTCGTATATTAAAGTACTAATCATTAACAATGATGAAACTCCGTTTCAATGGACTTTGTATACTTTTTAAAAGAAGTTAAGTTATTCAATGAAGTTATAATTCCCTGATATTGGTCATCTAACTATTCATTTCAAGTGATGTGTTTTTATCTACAGTTTATCTGAGAATATTTGTATTTCTTTTTAATAATATTAAATTATGGTATTGTCAATGCTGACAATTGTATTCAGTTCACTTGCCTAATTAACTCTATAAGTTCAATATATATAAATTATAATAGTTGAGATCATGAGCTACACTACCATGGAAAATCTGAAAGAACTGGACGGCCGTTTCATCCTCTTGTGGGACTCCTCAGAAGCTTTAATTGATTCATAATCTTAACTATTAAAATTACTATAATATCCACAAGAAAACCCTTTTAATATATAAATTACTTTGTGTTTGTAATCCTATGTAAACTATCCAAATAGTAATGCAGAAGAAAAGAAATTATTGAAATTCACTTGGTATGGTTTATTTGAATCATCCCATTAATGCTTAGGATAGCAATTGATCAGTCTCTTATTGAAATATGTACATCCTGTATGAATTGCCCAGATATTGCTTTAAGTCTTAAGTAATAAAATCACAGATGGATGGTAGTTATCAGTGGAATCCATGACGAGAGTTTCTTCCTATTTAGGACTCATCATCTAGATGTACCTACATCTCACTCTGGCTGATGAGTCTTAAATAAGACGAAACTCTCGTCCTAGATTCCACTGATAACTATCATCCATCTTCATTTATTAACCAAAATGAATTCTTTTTCTTACTTTTTTTTTATTATAAAATATTTATTTCTTTAAACAAGATTAAAGATAAATCAAAATGAAAATGAATTAAATAAGACACATGAATCAACTATCAGAAAAAACAAAACAAATTAAAATAGTCTTTATAATACTTCATTCAAATGGTGTTTATTCCGCTTTAATATTTCTTATCACCATGGTAACATCACAATTTGTAGGAAAGGTATTAATACTACTATTAATACTATTATTAGTAGTATTATTAATAGTAGTATGTATGTTATTGATAGGGTTAATATTAGCTGTTGTATAAGTCAATCTCATTGAATAGTTATCATTTAATTTTGTATTAGATTCATCATTATTTTTAATTGGATGATTTGAACGTTTATGATTTTCTAATGAACGTGATTGACAAAAGCCTCGATGACATATTGAACAAGAAAATGGTTTCGATGTTAAATGAGTATAACTAAATAAAAAGAAACAAAAGAATAGATGACATTAAAATGATTATGGTTGTTTTTCTTCACGTTAAATGATAAATTTTAAAGGTATGACAATAATTCCTTTGAAAGAATAGTGTCTATATGAAGTGCTATCCTAATGTATCTAGGTTCAAACAGTTCCTCACTGCCCAAAAATGCCCTGGTATGGTCGAGAGTGAGGAGAGTTCGCTCTCCATCTCGAAAAATGCTATCACATGGCAACTCATAAATAGCCTCTGTCAGGGAAGTCCTACTCACTGCCTTCTCGTGGCATTACTGTTGTTTACAAAATTGAGAGGACGAAAAGCGAATGTTTGACCCTTTAACCGGGTTGGTGGAAACGGAGGGTCTACCTAGGGGAGCTGGAATATCCTCATTCCAAACCCATCGAGTGCATGGGCTCCAGTATCTTGAGAGAACAAATGACGTATGAACCAATTATCGGTCACCGACTGCGATGGGATCGCATCTCCTTACGATACTCCACTGCTTTGTGGATCAGATCTTTAGGTCAAAGTCTCCGGGTGTGTCTCCCTAAGAAAACCATGTGCTTCAGTTTGTGCACCTGAGCAGTATCACAGTCCTCACACAAATCAAATGAGATTTGTGTGGCGCATACATATCTGGTGCTTCCTTGTACCAATATTTATGCGCTTAAATAAATAAAATAAGCCAGTGGTTTGACTGACCATTATTTTAACACCTGGCTAATAACTATTATTTCCTGAAAAAAAGAATATATATGAAGTATTCAATTACCTGTGATCTCTTAAATGATCTTTACGTCGAAATCGTCTTGAACAAACATCACAACCGAATGGACGTTCATCTGTATGAGTACGTTCATGTATTGTTCTATTATATGCTTTACTAAATCCTCGACCACAATGTGAACATTTATAAATTGATTTTTTAATATTCATTGATAATGTTGTTAATGTAGGTTCAGTTTTTGATCTAAAATGTATTCAGATTTTATTTAGAGACTTTAACGATATATAAGCAAAAAGATTTTGTTTAAATAGAAGTTAGATATAATCACAGTTAGATGGCAGTTAAGTGGTTCGCACGCGAGGCCGATAGGTCCTGAGTTCAAGTCTGGCGAGCGAAATCGTTGGTGCGCACTGTTGAAAAGTCCCATACTGGGACGAAACGGTCGTTCACTGCTTCCAGGTTTTACATGGCGGTCAAGCTCTAATTAACTAATGAATTCATATATTAAATTACTAAAATCTCCGCAAAAACTCTTTTCTGAGAATAACATCCACTATTCAAAAGAAATTTCGTTTTAGTTATGATCCACTTTTTTATTAGATTTAAATGGCTGGCTTCTTTGAAATGCAAAAATTTATTTAAAAACCTAACAGAACGATATATAAACTAAGCAAAGATGGATAGTGGCTAGCAGTGGAATCCAGCTTGATGCGCATTTCGTCCTATTTGGGACTCGTCATCTGGATGTACCTGCATCTCAGAGTTGATGTTCACTCTGGGACTAAGTGTATAAATGAACTAGTTCACATGATTACATAGTATAGAAAATTTAAAACCCTTGTATACATATTAAAAGTGCTTTAATCTAGCCTACATTCCCTTCATATTGTCTGTGTATAAGCCTGTCAATCGGTCAACTAAATGAAACTTCTATGCATTAATCATTCATATGGAAATATATTTTAGAGATAACAATTTTCTTAATTATGGATGTAATTGTCTACTTTATTCGTGACTTTTTTTTATAGTGATCTGTTCCAAATGTCAATGATCTATTATGGTTATAAAGTATATCACTAACTAACTCCTTTTTAACATTCCTTCACTTATTATCATATGCTCACTAGTGACTGACTATAAGAAATGTTTCCTGGAGTTCTAGTGAGAAGCAGTGACCAGTGGAGTTCAATCAGATCTGTTATCAGATATCAACTTACTGAAGACATTTTTAAATGGTTGCTCAATTTCGTGGATTAGTTGAAGTTAGACATTAATACCATTGGATGCCATCTCAGTAGTCTAGTGGTTAGGCGCTCGCACATGAGACTGTTAGGTCCTGGGTTCGAATCTTGTGGGGCGGGATCGTGGATGAGCACTGCTGATGAGTCTCAGAATAAGACGAAGCGGCCGTCCAGTTCTTACAGATTTTCCATGGTGGTCTAGCTTCAATTGACTCATGATTTCAACTATGAGAAAACAAAAAGATGTCCAGAATTACTTTTCTTTTTTACTTACCTTGTGAAAATATTTTTGTTTTCATTGGTCATTTCATAGGCTTTAATTGAACTTTTAATTCTATATGATTCTGTGTTTAACACTTTTTGAGTATTGGTAAAATGTAATGCATTCGGTAAATAATTAATAGGAGCATGAATAGTAGATGTAGTAGTAGTAGTAGTAGTAGCACTACTACTAATACTACTAGTATTAGTAGTAATACTTGTAGTAGAAGTCGTAATGTTACAATCTGATGAATTCAACTTCATAGCTAGATTTAATGGTGTTGTTTGAATGGATGTAACATTTTGATCAGATCCAGAAGATAAATTCATTAAATGATCCCAATTACATAAATATACTGAATTGAAATGATTCATATTGTTTATTGATAATGTTATTGGAGTTGGAGTGGATAAAAAGAAAGGTAAAGAAAATATGGATTTAGTATGATCAAATGGTTTATGATCATTTTCATTTAACATTAGATTTCTTAAGAGGCTTCTCCATATACGCCAACCAATAGTTGTTTGATTAAATTGTGTCATTTGAGATGGATTGATTAATGAAGCTGAAGGGGAAGTATATGATAAGTCATATTGAAACGGTATTCATTAAGAGTCTTTTTAATAAAGAGAACCATTGAGAAGGGATTCAAACTATGTGACTACTTTAGGCAGTTGTGAATCTACAAGTTTCAATCAAAGTTATAATCTTTACCAGTCAGTGTATTCGACTTCAAAATACTATAAAAAAATAATATACAGTCTGATACACCGTTGGCTTTCGAGTCACTGTTCCTAGAGATTAAGCTGTCACCAAGAGATAAGAATGTTCTGGGCTTGATTTCCGGCAAACATTCACTACTGCAGAGCCTTAAACAAGAACAAAACATCAGTTTAGTGCTTCTTGATTTTCCAATAACTGCCTAACTAATTAAGGTTAGTTCGTGATGTAGACTATGTAAATTCAGCAATCTCAACAAGCTCTTCAGGCAAATTATATAAGTACTAAACAGTTGGGTACTCTATATACTCTTTACTATACTATTTACCGAACCGTGTCATCAAACAGCGAATGGTATGTATTGCTAATTGGTTGAAATTTATATAATTAGGTTTGTAGTGACGATGGACAAGTGATGCGACCGAATGTCACAAGAAAGCAAAGAGGATAGATGAAGATCTGCCATACACTAAAAACAAATTACAATTATGATCCGGAATAGTGCTAATTTAACGTTGTATTTAAATTGTTGAACGGTCAGATATTGGATAAATTCAACGGAGCAGTACTTCACGGTGAATAATCAATAACTGGTTGTGTGAGATATATGTATGATCACTCTCTCTTAACACCTTCCCCATTTTAGATTCAACATAGACAACAAATAATTTGTCCAAGGTAAATCACCTTGAGTAGCCACCAATCTTTGAGATGGTAGAGAAGATTTGTAGCTCCAGTGGGTGATTTTGATGGATTTTTTTTTCTCTGAGCTGAATGGTTTGGTCGTGGAGCTTTCATCGTCCTTCTGAACGACATCATCAATAAGAACCAATCAACATCGAGGTACATAGGACAAGCTGTGAAGAAATTCAAACACCTCACTTCTACCTGAAGTTTGTGCTGATGATGTCGTTCAGAAGGACGATGACAACTCCACGACCAAACCATCCAGCTCAAAGAATGAAACTCCATCAAAGCCACCAATCTTGTTTATAACACTGATACTTTTAAGAAAGGTCATAATTCATGTTTATATATATATATATATATATATATATATATATATATATATATATATATATATGAAGTGTGTGGATCAAAATACTGTATATATCCAGTTAACCCTTTTTCTGAGTGACTGTGAGCCCTTGGAAACTCTTCAATGAATCAAACAAAAGCATATAAGAACTTTCAGTCTTCTTTTTGGAGCTAGAAGAAATGAATGAAATCTACAACACTACTCAATACCTAATATTTCATAAGATCTGGCATACATTTATATTTCTTACCTTACGGAGTGATGAATTTTTCAGGATGAAAAAACAACGTTCAGCACCAACTACTCCTCGGATGACTACTAACTTTATCATTCAGTTATCAACGTCTAAGATTACCTACTTTAACTCGTATGTCCAAGACTTAAACAGAACGCTGATCATTATGTTTTTATCGTCTGAATTTGAATTATTCATATATTTATTATAAATGTATATAACTCATCAAATAATCTAATGAACAGATAACATGATTGTCGTTTTCATTTAGGATTCTTATCACACTCTATCTGTTTCATAAGAGAGAGTGTTGCTTTGGTTGTTAGAAGGGGCATCGGTCTCGTGACTTACGGAAAATCTCGACTTTCATCATGAAGCGTCATAATTCTTCCTTCAACTCCCGGGGTAGAGTTTAAATGGTTTGAATTATTTTTTTCTGGTTAGCATTTTCTTAGCGAGTTAGTTTTTCTACGATATGAGGTCGCTAAACCCATGCGCATTCTCCTCCTTTACCCAGGCTTGGGACCGGCAGTAACTCTAGAAGAGCTACAGGCGGAAGCACCATTGATAAACATGGAGGATTGGATGCAGATGTAATGGTGAGGATTGGCAAAGCAAGGGAAGTATTTCTACAATTGAAGAACATACGAAACTCAAAACAACTGTCAACTAATTTCAAAGTGAAAATCTTTAATACGAACGTCAAGATAGTCAGTTCTACTGTACGTAGCTGAAACGTGGAGAACTACTAAATCCATCGTCAAGAAGTTATAAGTATTCATAAACAGTTTTCCACGTAAAATACTCAACATTCACTGGCCGAATACTATCAGCAACAGCGTTTTATGAGAGAAGACAAACCAGCTCCTAGACGAAGAGGAAATTAGGAAAAGACGTTGGAAGTGGATCGGATATACATTAAGGAAATTATCAAACTGTATCACAAGGCAAGCTCTAACTTAGAATCTGGAAGTGGAACGGAAAAGAGGAATGACAAAGAAAACATTATACCGGTAGATCGAAGCAGATATGAAAACGATGTTAACTGGAAAGAACTGGAAAGGATTGTCAAACTGATATCCTTTGAACAGTTATAAGGTACTTGATAACATTGTGTTCAAATTGTTTAAGAGTCCATATATTTAATTTCAGTTTGAATAAAAACATACAACATTTAATTCTTTTATACAGACCTAATATTGCTTAACATTCCTCCACTCATACCAGTATATAATGGAATATAACTTGAATTTCATGAATGACATGTTTAAAATTGTTTTCATAAGGAGTTTTGTGAAGATTTCAGTATTTTCCATAGTTGAAATCATGAATCAATTGAAGCTAAACCACCATGCAAAACCTGGAAGTACTGGATAGCCGTTTCATCTTATTGTGGCACTCCTCAGTTGCAGTGCACATCCAAGATCCCGCCTGACGAGATTCGAACCCAAGACCTATCAGTCTCGCGCGCGAGCGCTTAACCTCCAGATCACTGAGACGGCATCCAATGATATTAATGTCTAACTTCAACCAATCCACGAAATTGAACAACTGTCCATCAGCGGTTAAACTCCACTGGTTACTGCTTCTCACTAGAACTCCATGGATCGTGGATGCGCACTGCTGAAGTGTCCCATACTAGGACGAAACTGTCATCCAGTGCTTTCAGGTTTTCCATTGTGGTCTAGCTTCAATTGACTCATGATTTCAACTATGAATAATATTATTTTACTCATTTGAAGAAAAAAATTAAAACCTTTGTTTATAATAACTTACATGAATACATATTAAAAATATTATTTAAATATGGTAACCAGAATAATGATATATCTGATGAATTGAAATTGTTGAAAGAATCATTCTCTATTATTGAGTTCTGATTAATGACTTTTGTTAAGTGTACAGCTGATGTTGTTGTTGAGGATACTTCTGTCTTTGATGATGAAGATGATGATGAGGATGATAAAACTTGGCTCATTTGATCTTGTAAAGTAATTTGAGGATAGATGACATTTTCATTAGAGAAGTTATTAAGTGTATCAATGAAAGGCGTTGTTGATAGATTTGTTTCGTTTACGACAATATTAGTAGTAGGAGTAGTAATATTAGTAGTAGTAGTAGTAGTGGTAATGGAAATAATCGAATCATCTGAACTAGATTGGAATGAATTCAATGAAGGTTTATTCAATATTTCATCAATATCATATTTATTTATAATAGGGGAGGTAGATGAAGAATATGCTGATCTATTAGAGAAATCATTTGTTCTATTCAAATGAAAATTAATCGGTGTAGATGTATATTGGCTTGCAGATGATAACGCTGCATCATCAGAAGTTAATGGGGTACTAAATTTTTGAAAAGAGGTAAAAAGTAAAAAAAGTACAATTACAATTAGACTGATTGATATCTAGGTTCCTTATACAAATACTGGCATTAAGTGTAATAATGAATTAAACGAATAATTTATAACATTTGAAATAAGCAATGGATATGGAATTATTATCAAGAATTTCTAACAAGTGTCACTTACAGATCTCTGAAAGAGTTTTGTGGAGAATTTAGTATTTTCATAGTTGAAAGCGTGAATCAATTGAAGCTAGACTACCATGGAAAACGTGGAAGCACTGGATGACCGTTTCGTCCTATTGTGGCACACCTCAGCAGTGCATATCCACGATCCCGCCTAGAGTTCTAGTGAGAAGCAGTAACCAGTGGAGTTCAACCAGGTCTATTGTGAGATATCAACTCACTGAAGACAATGATTGACGGTTGTTCAACTTCGTGGATTGGTTGAAGTAAGACATTAATACTTTTGGATGCCGTCTATGTGGTCTAGAGATTAAGCGCTCGCGTGCGAGACCGATAGGTCCTGGGTTCGGATATCATATTTATCATATTTAGTACTTGTTATTCATGAATCCAATAACTATATAGAACTAATACTTAAATTTTTGAAATAATATTAATAATCAATAATCGATCAATTAGTGATTATAATTGATCATTATCATAATACATATAATTGGATTTATAATAAAGTTCATTGTATTACTCGGTTAAATGAATAGAAACACTTGAATTAAGGTTAGAATCATCATTTTACTAGTTGGAAACTGATTATACTCTAACACAACTTTTATTCCAGAAAATATTAGGGTATATTCTAATTCATAATAGTCTGAAAACATTCAACTGACTTACATGCTAAATTGTTGATTACAAATATTATTATTATTATTATTATTATTATTATAAACAAAGATGGATGGTGGTTAGTTGTAGAATTCAGGACGTGGGTTTCATCAGATGAACTTACTGAATCATATATTTGATGTTCACTAAAGGACTTAGTAGATAAGTGGATAATAAGATGGTGTTTGAAGCGAGAGGTACTGGTTTCGAGTTCCGGAGTAAACATCAACTTCTGGGATGCAGGGACATCCAGCTGACCAGTCCCAAATAGGACAAAAGGCGTCTTCTAGATTTCACTGATAGTCACTATCCATCTTTGCTCATAATACCTGTAGCTTAAAGCGATATCTAGGAAATCCACACAGGACAAGATACTAATCAACTTCAGTTTTAAATAACAATGAGAAGATTCAAGTAAACAATAACAAGTTAAGTATTGTTAATAATTGAAAACGAAATTTAAAATAAACTATAGTTGAGTTTAAGCTGTAGGCTAACTAATGTGTAAATAGCTGTACGTATGTCCAACCACCAACTGCCCGGTCGTGCTATGTTTCATGGCGCAAAAGTAAATTGGAAGAAAGCTAGAGGCTGCCAGACCATGAAGTCACTGACAATTGGACTGAGCTATGCTAGTAGGTGTAGACTACGTGGTTGAGATTCGCAAGATGATAGCAATCGATGGTTAGAGACCTTGAACGATATGGCTCAAAATCGTTTGCAATGGTGAAGGTCCATCCACTATTTGTGTTCTACCAAATTCTAATCTTCTGAATTCTCTTTGCAAATTTATTTCACTGGATTATATTCTTTGAATAACATCTTCAAACCCTAATCTTTCAGATTACTGCTTATACTCTTACTACTTCTATCACTATTGGCTTTGAAACGACAACTGCTAATGAGGTATGTCAACTCGAACTGATGTACGTACGTACATACGAAGTTCTACGTTATGACTGACTGATATGTATATAATGAATTGTACAAAAATTCACAATAATCTTCAATTAACTTACCTAATTTGATCTGAAAGACTTTTAATTTGTGAATTGAAACAATATGAGTTATAATTTAGCGTACTACTCATAATATTATCATGAATAGTATTATTATTCTGACTATTAAATGTTGGCTGAAATAACATTGTCTCAAGTAAATATTCAAAAAGATAAATGCAACTGGAAATTCTCCACCGGTTACATCATCTTATATATATATACCTGCAGATGTATGTACTCCTCTTTATATAAACAGTTCAAGTTACTATGGTTCCCTTATTCACTCACTGACTTGTTGATATTGACCATCATGGGATATGAACTTATATATGCAAATACTTCTCTTTTTTTTTCCTGTTCCCCCACTTCTTTCGACGGTGTAGAAAAAAGATCATACATCCATTTATATATACAATTGTCTAATATTACACTTACATTGTATCTAATTATACAGGTTCTAATTCATATTCATCCCATCACTATAATAATCATCATTATTTACATGATTATACTGTCGAACTCAATTGTTATGCATTAGATGATTGCCATTCTTCAATGTTTCTAACAATCCTTGGTTATATCTATATCAATCCATGTAGACCCAATCATCTAATAATCCCCCCTCATCTTTTTTTTCTTTCTATTCGAACGGCACATTAAAACATTCAATAAAGAAAACAAACAAAAAAAATATGGTGATCATTTTTCTATCCCTATACATGCTAATAAGTTACCCTATGGGTTATCTACATTAATTGTTTATACTTTATACTGAAAGTAATCCATTTTGGTTTTATTTTAACAAACAAATTGTGGAATAGTTAATTATTATGCATATATAAATGTGTGAGTGTAAGTGTGGGGTGGAGGGGTTTGGGTGTAGATTACATCATCCATCGCACAAGGGAACTGAAAACGAGCTAAGGAGTGAAAATATCAAAATGACAAAATAGGATAGTGACGGTGATAAAAAAATGTTGGATTAGGGATACTGTATTTTCAGTAAAATTAAACTAATGTGACAAGATTTATAAGATGAAAGGAGGAAAAGTGTAAAATAAAACTCTTTACTCTGATAAATCAGTCTTACGATGGAATCCTTTCATCATCATCATCATCATCATCATCATCATCATCATCATCATCATCATCATCATCATCATCATCATCATCATCATCATCATCATCATCATCATCATCATCATCATCATCATCATCATCATCATCATCATCATCATCATCATCATCATCATCATCATCATCATCATCATCATCATCATCATCATCATCATCATCATCATCATCATCATCATCATCATCATCATCATCATCATCATCATCATCATCATCATCATCATCATCATCATCATCATCATCATCATCATCATCATCATCATCATCATCATCATCATCATCATCATCATCATCATCATCATCATCATCATCATCATCATCATCATCATCATCATCATCATCATCATCATCATCATCATCATCATCATCATCATCATCATCATCATCATCATCATCATCATCATCATCATCATCATCATCATCATCATCATCATCATCATCATCATCATCATCATCATCATCATCATCATCATCATCATCATCATCATCATCATCATCATCATCATCATCATCATCATCATCATCATCATCATCATCATCATCATCATCATCATCATCATCATCATCATCATCATCATCATCATCATCATCATCATCATCATCATCATCATCATCATCATCATCATCATCATCATCATCATCATCATCATCATCATCATCATCATCATCATCATCATCATCATCATCATCATCATCATCATCATCATCATCATCATCATACTTAAGGTCAATCAATTTGATTATACAAACTAAGGAAATGATTAATGGTTTAAGATTTATATACAAATTGAATAATTTATTTATAATAATGAATAGAATTTCATAACAGATTTACAATAGTACCATGCTATGAAGGCCAACTCCATAAATCTTAATTGATAAATTGGATTTTGGTTAGCTCTAAAAAAAAATAATTAGAATTGTAAATCGGGAAATATGAGGTTACATAACCCTGATAGGAAATTTATTTATTTGTTTAAACACATAAATATTGGTACAAAGGGGCACCGAATACATATGCGCAGCACAAATCTCATTTGATTTGTTTGATGGCTGTAATACTGCTCAGGTGCCCAGACCGAAATAGGTGGTTTTCTTAAAGGGCCACACTTCGAGCCTTCGACCTAAAGGTCTGATCCACAAGGCAGTTGAGCATCGTAAGGAGATGCAGTCCTATGGTAGCCGGTGACCAACTATTGATTCATATGTCATTTGTTCCCTCAGGATACTAAATCTAGCCCATGTGCACCGCTGGTTTGAAATCAGAATTTTTCAACCCCCCCCCCCCAGGTGAACTTTCCGTTTCCGTCAACCCGATTAAAGCGCCGGGTATTCGCTTTTCGTTGTCTCAAATTCGTAAACAATAGTAATGCCACCAGAAGGCAGTGAGTACGATTTCCCGGGGGGGGGGCTATATATGCGTGGACACGTGAAAGCATTTTTCGAGATGGAGAGCGGACTCTCTCCACTCTCGACCATACCAGGGCATTATTGTGGTGTATGTTACCGATGTCAATAGATTTAAGTAGGATGTATCATCAATCGAAAGTGAAATACCTGGTGACAGAAGATTAAGAAGATAAAAACAAAGAGAATGGGAACAGATAATGATTGGTGTGGAAATGAAGGAATAGTGAAGTTTGAGGTGATTGACTGACATTTTGCAAACATCGCTAGTTAAAAAAGGATAAGATTCGAAGATGTAAACGAATAGTTTACTGATGTCTGTTTATATATAAAAACCCAACTTATCCCCAATTCACTCAAAGTCTTTAACACTTTACTTTATAATAAAGACCGACTTTTATTTACTAAAGGAATATTAAAACTAAAGATCTTTCGCACACTTCGTCCGTTCAAAGCTGGATACAAGGATTTGTATCCTTGTGTGGTGTTGGATGCTTATATCCACATAAGTAGTATATAACGATGTTCAGGCACTGAATGTATTTCACTAGAAGATTGATAAGGAAGGAACGGAAACCAAACTGATATTTGCAGAAGGAATGGTCAAGATTGAAACAATTGATTGATAGTTTGCAAATGAAATACTTACTGAATGGTTGTCAGATTTTAGTGAGATATTCTGTAATTTTGTGCTCGAATACATTCGATTGTTCCCATTCGTGTTCTTGATCACTACACTTTTATTCCTCCAGAGGGTTAGTGATCCTACCTATATCCTTGATACATACTATGTGGGATTCGAATATTCAACTTTGTGATAGAAAGTTATGTGTTTGAACCACAATATCATCAATCTGCAAGTAGTCCGGATGGTTTTCCAAGTACAGGTTTGGATATAATGCTCGGCATCGTACACTTTGTGACAGAGATATGGGGGTACTAATCGATTATCCAAAATGAAGTCGGTCGACTGCGATCACAATAAAGCTGTTGCATGATAATCAGAACCTGATAAACAGTGTAACAATTTAAAAAACAACGATAATTCAAACAACCTGACAAAATAATTGTACTACAACGTATTGTGATTGCAGATACAACTGATAAATTGCTACTGTATAACGAAACAAAGACTGTTATTGCTCAACGCATACAGTAAAAACTGAAGGTTTCAGTATTCACGAACCATAAATCCACGACTAATCAAAACGACATCAGAAAGTCACCATGATATAGGTCATTTTAAACATCCGGGCATTTAATAGATTTGAATACTTCGAACCGAGAGTAATTGATATTGATTGATCAATAATTTGGTAATGTGCGCTTAAACTGAGAAGTGTAACTAAATACTGAATGACATATTCGTTTTCCTATTACCGGTAAAAATAAATGACTGTTTTTTAAACTAGTCCTTCAAAGGTCTATGGATCCAAAGTGACATCCTTAAAGCGATTATCGATAACCGTTAAGTACATTTCATTCTATGGAATTGAGATCATGAGTCAATTGAAGCCAGACCAACATGAAAAAACTCGAAGCACTGGATGGCCGTTTCGTCTTATTGTGGGGCTCCTCAGCAGTGCGCATCCATGATCCCACCTCGCGAGATTCGAACCCAGGACCTACCAGTCTCGCGCCAGAGCATTTAACCGATAGACCGTCCCACAATAGGACGAAACGGCTGTCCAGTGCTTTCAGGTTTTCCATAGTGGTCTAGCTTCAATTGACTCGTGATCACAACTCTATAAAATAACTAAAATCTTCACAAAACCCCTTATGATAATCATTTCTTCTGTTTATCCTGTTCTCATTTCACACATTATTTGTGTATCGCTTTATACTACTTATCCAATATTCTGAACGCATGATGCAACATCGGTTTATCTTTTGTTAGTGTTCTACAGTATTTACATAAAATTATAACATTTCCTGTATTTGTCACTTTGATCAACTTCGTCCAACCTTCTTAGGAGCTATTTTCATTTGTTTTAATTCTTTAAATCTTTGTTTAAATGCGACAGCATCCATATTGTTCATTGATTAATTGTTGTTAACACTAAACCTAGCTATCAGTTATCATTTACGTTATCATATGTTGTGATTACTCTAAATGTTAACATTACAAGGAGTTTTCATCTTTCTAAACATACAATCGCCCTAGTCGTCATAGATAAACTACGATTTAAGGTTTGTAACCAATTTATGTATATTCTTTAATAATAGAACTATTCCTTAGACAAATCGTTGTTTCTTGAACATTGGTTTCACGCGTATCTCAGTCATGCAGTTAGAAGCTTCGATAGAACTTGCAGTGATAATAAATGACCTCTCTCAAATGAAAATTCAGTAATAATTTGATTAATAAGTATTTTTCGAACTACTATTTTAGGCAATAAATCATACATCTAAAAATATGAAATGTGATACGTAATGGAGATCTATCGTTATTATTTCTCCTTACATTACTTGTCTACTGCTGTTATCCTCGTGGAAGAGTATAAACCATCCATCAGGATCCTAGAACCAAGACAGTTTAACTATTTCGTGAGCTACCCTTTCTGGTTTTCCCCAATTGGTATTCACTCTTTTGATGTCTGCCTCTAATTAGCAACACAAAATGTTTTTCGGTCTTTCTTTTTTCCTTTTACCTTCGGGATTCCAAGTTAGGGCTCTTCTAATGATACATTTTGATGACTTCCGCAATTTATATCCTACCCCTCCTCCAGTGTCTTCTCATAATTTACACTCCATATGAAAGTTAATTTGTTCTGTGCACCAACGGACGTTGAGTCTCTTGCGTAGACAATTATTAATAAATGCTTGTTCTTTTTTATGATGGTTGTAGTAGTTCTCCAAGTTTCAGCTCCGTATAATAGAATTATTTCTAAATACACATAAAATTTCCTAGGATGAGTATTGAAAGAAATTATAACAATACTACTTGATAGTAGTTTAAGTCATTTACATCTATATATTGACTATTTTAGGCTGACATGGAATTGACTTATTTATATTCACTTAGTATTATTACTTGTTTGAATCTTCCCATTGATGTTTAGGACTGCAACTGGTCATTCTCTTATTGGCATATGTGCATACTGTGCGTATTGCCTCGACATAGCCTTAATTCAGGTAACTTGGTGTTTGGAGGTGGTCAACAGGAAACCCTGGACCCGGGTTTCGTGCTACTTGGCACTCATCAGCAAGGTGTACCTGTAATGTTGAGGGAACTGATGCACCCTGATGGATTTTCTATCCCGTGTCACTCAGCTTCACAGTCAGAGACGTTACCACTGAGCTATTCGGGCCGCGACCGACCTCCTGTAGGACTGAAATGTAATCACAATTGATTGATCACTGGGTGGTGATCAATCTCATGCGTGTCAGGTCCTTAGTGCTGATAGAATGCTATCGATCAAGTTGCAATGTGGCCACCAGTCTAGGTGGCACGAAACCCGGGTCCAGGGTTTCCTGTTGACCACCTCCAACCACCATGTTACTTTAATATAAATAGTGGACGCAATGTTTAGCCACCTAGACTGGTGGCCACATTGCAACTTAATCGATAGCATTCTATCAGCACTAAGGACCTGACACGCATGAGATTGATCACCACCCAGTGATCAATCAATTATGATAGCCTTAATTCACAAGCATTGTAAGCAAAGATGGATAGTGGCTAGCAGTGGAATCCAGTTTGACGCACGTTTTCGTCCTATTTGGGACTCGTCAGCCGGATGTAACTGCATCTCAGAGTCGGCATTCACCCTGGGACTCGAACCCAGCACCTTTCGCTTCAAACGCAATCGCGTTATCCACTGAGCTACTGAGTTCTGATAGGCACTTGCTTGTACAATGTTGTAAGTGGTTAAGGAAATAAATGAATCTATGATATCCTACTACTATTGTTGTTCTGTCATTATTTAAAATCGAATTGTTTAAAAATGGTTCAAATAAAGGAAAATTTATATTGACCTAATTCAGTTCTGAATATAATTATTAATAGACATTCGAGTATGTTAAACACATTCAGTTTATATATTTTTCCCCAAAAGTAGCCAGAAATTCAAGGTGATTCGTCAGTCAGTCAACTACAACGTAGGACCAGGCACATATATGCATCCTTCCAAGTTGTCAACGCGTTCGACTACTTCACTCCCTATCCTTAGTTCAGGTGTTGACGCAGGCCAGTCCTGGAGTAACAATTTATATTTAGGTGGGGAGAAACGCATCCCAAACATCCTGGCATTATTACTCAGTTCTAACAGAAGAATCTGCATTTTGTCAGCGTCTTCACCAAACAGGACTATGTCATCTGTGTATTTTAAGTCGATAAGTGGACCCTCCTGATAAGAAATCAATTCCTGAAAATTCAGTCGAAGAGTGTTATTTCCAGCAATATGTCTATAATGAAGTTAAAAAAAAATGGGGATAGTGGACAGATTTGTCTGACACCACTTGAGGTTGTAAAATCAGATAAGGGTTGTTTATGGACAATTAGTTTGAAACTATGCTAATTTCAATCAAGCAATTAAAACTTTATACACACGACCAATCAGTAATACTCAGTATGGTGTAAGTTACTTATATCCACATAAGTAGTGTACTATGATGGTCGTGCGTTGAATGTATTTCAGCAGAAGATTGATAACGAAAGAACGGAAACGAAACGCAATTGGTATAAAAATGCATGGACAATAATGATAGGAGACTATGAACTGATATTTGCAGAAGGAACAGTCAAGATAGTAATAATTGATTGATAGTTTGCAAGTGAAATATTTAACGCTTTCAACTGTGATATAACATATCCAAGAAAGAGTAATTTTAATTTCAACTTATTGAATCTCAAGCAAAATGTTTTTTTTTCTTTGACCATTACGAGTACTTAGTCATGGTTTGGCCCACAAATACCCTGGTACGGCCGAGTGTGGGGAGAGTCCGCTCTACATTTCGAAATGCGCTCACACGGACACGCGCATACAGTCTCTGTCAAGGGAAGTCCTACTCACTGCTTTCTCGTGCCATTACTGTTGTTTACAAAACTGAGAGGACGAAAAGTGAATATTCGGCACTTTAACTAGGTCGGTGGACATGGAAAGTCCACCTAGGGGAGTTGGAAAACGCTTATTCCAAACCAATGATGCATATAGACTGGCTCCATTATCCTGAAGGAACAAACGGCGCATGAATCAATCGTCAATCATCGTCTACCATGTGACTGCATCTCCTTACGATGCTCCACTGCTTTGTGGATCAGATCTTTAGGTCAAAGGCTTCGAGTGTGGACCCTTAAGAAAACCATCTGCTTCAGTTTGTGCACTTGGTCAGTATCACAGCCTTCACACAAATCAAATGAGATTTACGTGGCGCATATATATCTTGTGCCTCCTTGCACCAATATTTATGTCTTTAAATAAATAAAGTCATGTTTCTACAGTTTCTTATCAAAGAATAATAATAATAACCATATTATTATTATTAGCTTTATTCAATATTATATTTTTGGTACAATATAGAATTATCAGAACAAAGTACTTCAACAAGTTTCCGTTTCTTACTTCTTCGTCCTTCCTGACGATAAATATTGAGTGATCGCCAGTTAGAAGTTAGCAGTTCAGTCAATCGACATCTGAATAATGTACATTCTTTTCGCTACATATTGCCAGAAACCACGATATCTCTGATTAGGTCTTCTGTAACCTTTACATCGAAAGGTTGTACACTTTTCAGAAACTCACCTGAAATAGGTTGTGCGATTAATAGGCATAATGATGTATTAAAACAAACGAAATTAGATAACTTTTTGAAATATCTAGATGACAGGAGCAGGTAGCCCAGATGCTTAAACAGGCCGCTAAATCCACTAACAAATATAATAAGATAGTTTGACTTTTTCTATTTTTCTTATAAAAGGAAAGATAACCTAGATTAAACAAATATGATGAATAACTCCAAAAATCAAAGGTCATATTCAAATAAAAATTGATTGACAGATATAATAAAGAAATAAAAATACCATTTATCAAATATATCCCCCCAAAAAATCCATTTTGGTTACTCCTTTTCTTGTTTTTGTTTTGACCAATTGAATTGGATATCAATCAATCAATAAACAAACAACTAAATGCATTATATTCACTTGGTATTGCTTGTTTGAATCTTCCCATCCATTTTGTTAGGACTGCAACTGGTCAGTCTCTAATTGGCATATGTGCATACTGTGCGTATTGCCTCAATATAGCCTTAATTCACAAGCATGGTAAGCAGAGATGGATAGTGGCTAGCAGTGGAATCCAGCTTGATGCGCATATCGTCCTATTTGGGACTCGTCAGCTGGATGTACCTGCATTTCCATCGCACAAGCAAATGGCTATTAAGACTTAGTTGCCGAGTGGATAACGCGATGGCGTTTGAAGCGAAAGGTACTGGGTTCGAGTCCCAGAGTGAACATCAACTCTGAGATGCAGGTACATCCAGCTGACGAGTCCCAAATAGGACGAAATGCGCGTCTTGGATTCCACTGCAAGCCACTATCCATAAATGCATTATAGTTTGAGTTCAATGTGTATCCACTTAAAAAAGAACAATACTGTCCAAATTTTTTTTAACAATAAGCACATAACTATATTAAACTATTGATGATGAACAGTATAAAGATAAAACTTTTAAAAAAAGAAAAGATATTTATCATTGAATATTGATCGATTTAAATTGTTCCGCTCTTTTTGAAAATTGAACATATATATATACATATATATAGCCAATATATATATATATTCTGGTATGATCCTTTCCTATTTACACAGTTTGTAATACAAAACTACTTGAACAAAAGAAGGATGTTGATACTAATTGATTAGAAAGAAAGAAACAAAGATCGAATCCCTATCACATGAACTAAAGATTAAAGAGGATATGACTGCTGATGGTGGTGGTGGATGAGCAGGGAAACCCAGTACAAACACTGTCAACACAATTACATCTATATTGATTTAATTTTGTTAAAACTTTAAAAAAAAAACATAAATATTATTATGAATCATATATAATAGAATGAGTTAAAAACAATAAAATGACAAATTCCATAGTAACTAAATAGAAAATACCTAAAAATACAATTTTCTAGTTTCATTTATTTGTTACCATAAGAAAGAAAATAGAATGAAGTGAAAAAAAACATAACCGAAGATAAGGTTGACAATCTTTATGGATAAGTGTGAGTGTGTGTGTGTGTGGGGGGGTTGGTTTGTTTTCGTTTAAACAAATATTCGTTAGTTAAAATGGTAAGAAACAATTTAGAAAACTTTCATTCATTATTTGAATGACTTTCTTTGTGTATTTTTGGTTACTGTTATTGTTGTTGTTAAAAAAAGGTAAAGAAAGAGGGTATATCATATATGAAATTGTAGATCTACACAATATAACAATAAAATTGATCGATATTGTAAAGAAGAAAATATGAAGGAGAGAGAAAAAAAACAACAAAAAATAGAAAATAAACAATAAATTTATATAGTTGAAATTATGAGTCAATGGAAGATAGACCACCATGGAAAATCTGAAAGTACTGGACGGCCGTTTTGTTCTATCGTGGAACTCCTCAGCAGTGCGCATCCACAACCTTACTTCACGAGATCTGAACCCAGGACTTACCAGTCTCGCGCCAGAGCACTTGACCAATATACCACTGAACTGGCCAGCATCCAACAGTGTTAATATTTAATTTCAACCAATCCACGAAATTGAGTAACCATTCACCAATATCTTTAGTGAGTTGAACTCCACTGATGCACACTGCTCAAAAGTTCCACAATAGGATTAAACAGCTGACGACGGTTTCCAGGTTTTCCACGGTGATGGTCTAACTTCAATTAACTCATGATTTCAACTCTATAAAATTACTAAAATCTCCATAAAACCTCCTTTCTAATAATAAATTTTGAACTAAATTATTCATTTATACCAATGAATACAAACAAATTTAATGATTTAAATTAGAATAACTCGGATTCAGTATGAATCTATGAATGAATTACCTGAATATAAAGATTTTCTATTCATAAATCATATTTACATGTTTATTATTATTATCTAAATTTATATAATTATCAAATGTAATTGATTGAGTACGTTTAATAGATTTAAATGATTTACAAAAGGATCTAGAATAATTTAATGATATTGAAGGTAATGAAATAGAATGAGATAATATTTTATTTGTAAAAGAATAATCAAAATAGGAATAATTTGTAAATGGATCAGTATACTTTTGATTTGAATTATATTCATGTATTGGTTGATGATCTATACAATAATGAATATTATTTATTATATTAATAGAATGATTATTCATTGTATTGTATAGATCATTAGAATTAGATTCATAAAATGTTTTACATTGTTTTAAATATAAATACCAATTATAATTAATTAATTGTTTTTTATTAATTAATGAATATATATCTGAATGATTTTGTTTATGTTTATGAATATGATGATGTAAACAATTTTGTAAACGTTCAATAGTATTAATTCTTCGAAGATTATGTAATGAAGTAGTCTCTGATTGTTCTATACATTCTATATTATTGTTATATATTTCTTCTTTATTTATAGGATTATTAATCTATTCGAAATAATAAAAAAAAATCTGAGTAAGTATTATAAGCAAAGATGGATAACAGTGAAATCTAGGATGCGCGTTTGTTTTTAACTTAAGATTCATCAACAAAGGTGTAACTGAATTTGAGTTGATAATCACTTTGGAACTTGAACCGAGTAGCATTCGCAGGGGTGTTGTTTATGAAATTGAGAGGACAAAAAGTGAATGTCTGGAGCTTTAACTGGGTTGGTGGATACGGAAACTTCACCTAAGGGAGTTGGAAAACCCTCATTCCAAACCAATGGTGCACATGGACTGGCTTCAGTATCCTGAGGGAACAAATGACGTATGAATTAATCGTTAGTCACCGGCTATCATGGGATTGCATCTCCTTATGATGCCACACTACCTTGTGGATCAGACCTTTAGGTCAAAGGCTCCGATTGTGGCCCTCTAAGAAAACCATCTGCTTCATTTTCGGCACCTGTTTAGTATCACAGTCCTCACACATATCAAATGAGATTTGTGCGGCGCATATATATCTGGTAAAACGTCATCGTGTTCGTGTCAGGAAGTGAACATCAACTCTAAGGTGCAGCTGACGTGTCCCAAAATAAGATGGAATGCACATCCTGGATTCCACTGCTAACCATTATATATCTCTGCTTTTATAACGCTTGTGAATTAAGGCAATATCGAGGCAATCCATACACCGTCCATATAAGCTGATAAGAGACAGATCTACGGCAGTTCAAAACATCAATGGGAAGATTTAAACAAACAATACGAAATAATTACAAATAAATTTAAATCCAGCAATGTAAGAAACACATTGTTTCATGTAGGAAGACTTAAAAAATAATTCAGTGAAGAAAATCTTCGTTTCAACGCTGTTGTTTACTCGAGCTGTACAATCACATGTATAGTTAATTTTAAAAAAAAAACATAGTAGTCTATGATAAAACAGAAGTCTGTTGAGTTATTCAAAACAATAATCATGATTAAAATAGTATTGTATCATAAGCTGTTTGGAATATCAAATGGAGGTTATGTGAAGAAAATGTTTGGATGAAAGTCAGTCAGATACAACGTAGGACTAGGCACATATATGCATCAGTCCAAGTTGCCATACCTCGTTAGCACAACAAGATCAATACTGGATTCATAGAAGTAGTTAATTTAGTGGTGGTAGTATTTAAAAGAAAAGTTGTATATAGGGATATAGTATAGGAAAGAAGAAAGTTATGAAACAATTTTAATCTCAAGGTTTAAGGGAAGATAAAGAGTTTATACACCTTCGCCATTGTGATCGTAGGTGGATGAAAGTGGTTTATATATGAGAGTGATATTTGTCCACTAAATGAATATGACGAACAGAATGATCACAAAGGTTGTAAAAACAGTTAACTAATAGTTGTTAAAAAAATTTGGAAAGCAGGAAAAAAAACTATCGATTATTCAAAATGGAAGGATAGACATTATATTCGTGTATTGATGATAATAATTTATAATGGTTGTTTTGATTAGCCCAGATTTCTTGTCTATGCAAGATACGTCGGATCCGTTGGCCAGACACTATCAGCAACAAGCTACTGTGGGAGACAACAAACCAGATATCGGTGGAGGAAAAAATCAGGAAGAAGCATCGTAAGTGGATAGAGGACACACATTGAGGAAATCACCCAACTGCGTCACAACACAAGCCCTCATATGAAATCCTGAAGGCCAAAGGAGAAGAGGAAGACCAAAGAACACATTACGCAGAGAAATGGAGACAGATAAGAGAAGGATGGAAAAAAAACTGGATAGAACTAGAAAGGAAGGCTCAGGACAGAGTGATTTGGAAAATGCTGGTCGGTGGCCTATGATCCATCGGGAGTAACAGGCGTAAGTAAGTAAGATTTCTTGTCAAACACAGAGATAGGATCTTTTATTTGACAGATTAAGCTTTTAAACTAGATTTTGGTTATTTTTACATTGGAATAATTTATGATGCAATACCACTTTTATTTTGGATAATTTTAAGTTGTGCAACACCTATTTGATTTACAGACTATTATATTTCATATGTGAATCATTTAACCACTAGTTATAACTCTATTAAACAAAAAACCAACTGTGTCAATGTAAGGTTGTGGATATTGTTGAGGTTCATGGAAATCATGAACTGATCAATGTTAGACTACCACTGAAAATCTGGAAGCACTGGACATCCGTTTCATCTTAATATAGGACTTCTGAGAAGTGTGCAAGAGGCCGAAAGTCTTGAGTTCGATTCTCGCGTGCGGAGTCGTGGGTGGTCCAACATTGATCGGTTCATAATTTTAATGAAAAATAACTCTATATTTAATTACAGGCTGCTATTTTTGAAGAAAAACTAGCGAAATATACGATTGTACAGTAAAAGTAAATAAAATTGTCGAAGAGGACATTTCCTTTGCTGAACTGTCATTTCTTCTAACAGTATACTTCTGAATTGGTTTACATGTTTCACATGATCAAATAATTGAAAAAGCAGTACCATTAAAACTGTAGTGAACAAGAATACGGGTGGAGACAATCGAATGTATTTAAACACAAATTACAGACTATCTCACTAAATTCTGATAACCATACAGTAAACAGTTAATTTGCTAAATAACAATCACTTGTCTCAATCTTCACTGTTCCTTCTGCAAATATCAGTTCGTCTTCTCTGATTTCATTGTTCATGCATTTTCGTACCGATTGCGCTTCATTCCTGTTCGTTCCTTATCGATCTTCTGCCAAAATACATTCTATACCTACCTATACTTACATCATATACCACTTATGTAGATATAAGTAGACCACACCACAATACTACTATAACATAATTTGAAACAATTGAGGATAAAAAAAATTCGCCCGTCATTCAAATCTTGACTATGTTAAGACTTAATTATGAAGCATAATTAAGAGGAGATTATGAATTGGATTTTCGTACGCTTTATGTTATTATTCATACAACAAACAATTGGCGAACAAATGTTTCATTTAAATTTCCTATTCGTATGATTAAACAGAAAACAGGAAGGCCAAACAACACACTGGGTCGAGAATTAGAAGCAGACATGAAAAGGATAAATAGCAACTGGAAAGGATTGCACGGGATAGAGTTGGATGTAAAATGCTAGTGGGTAGCCTATGTTCCTCCGTGAGACATAACAGGCGTAAGTAAGTAAGTAAGTAAGCAATGGTAAAACTGTTCCTGGGGAAATGATCTAGCGCAATACCAAAACGTTTGTAATGAAACACAGATAGTTGATAGTATATCAGTACGACAACCTTTTTGTAAATAGTTTTGAATTAAATTTCTCTCCAACTTTAATCATTACTTATTTGTAAAATAAACAATGTTGAATAATGATATGAATTGACAAATAATAAATGAAATTTTACCTGTTGATGTGGTCTCAACCATTCAATTGGTAGTGTACGTTCAATAAATGGAAGTTTAGAACCAATTGTAGCTAATCGATTTATCCATTTAGGTAAAGATCGACCACAAAGTAACTGAAGAAAGCAAAAAAATCAAGGTATTTATTCAATATATAGAAACTTATCAATTCAGATAGGTTTAATGGTATTATTCACGCTTTATAATTTCATTTAATTAGTACGATACTATTGTTTAAATCGATATGATAACTTTCTTTTGTAAATACATATGCTACGCGCATGGATCTAATTGGCGGCCTGCTCGAACATCTGGACTACCTGTTCCTGAGACCTAGATATTTCAACAATTTATCTGTTTGTTTATTTTAATACATCATTATGGCTATTAATTGCACAATATGTTCAGGTGGGTTTCTGAAAAGTGTACAACCTTTCGATGTAAAGGTTACAAAAGGCCTAATCAGAGATATCGTGGTTGCTGGCAATATGTAGCGAAAAGAATGTACATTATTCAGATGTCGATTGACTGAACTGCTAACTTCTAACTGGCGATCACTCAATATTTATCGTCAGGAAGGACGAAGAAGTAAGAAACGGAAACTTGTTGAAATAATTTGTGCTGAGAATTCTATATTGTACCAAAAATATAATATTGAATAAAGCTAATAATAATACACTGATTATTGTTCAATATAATACATATGCTACTCATCGTACTCAGAGTTTTCTGGATCACAATTGTCATTAACACATCAGGTCCCTGACAAAACTGTTCGTATGTATTAATTATTAGTAGTATTATTGGCTTTATTCAATGTTATATTTTTGGCACAACATGGAACTCTTAGCACGAAACATTTCAAAAGGTTACTTTAACAAAAAAAGAAAAAGAGTAAACGAACCGAGACCATATGCACCACTGGTTTGGACCCTCCGTGTCCACCAACCCGGTTTAAGTGCTGGACATTCACTTTTCGTTCTCTCAATTTCGTAGACAACATCCCATCCCCTCGAGTAGGAAGTAAGTAGGACTTCTCTAGCAGTGGCTGTATGCGCGTGGTCATGTGAGAGCAATTAGAGAGAAAGAGCGGACTCTTCCCACCCTCGGACGTACCAGAGCATTTGGAGGCTACACATATTCCCATTCCATTAATGAAAACTAAGTCTACATGATCATTCAAACGAGTGAAAAAATTTACCACATTTCGGTGATGTAATGATGAAAGAAAGCTACGGTCATATGAATTAAAATCACCACATACAATTGAAAGCGAACCATTGAAGGGAGTAACAGCAAATCCAGTGAATTAATCAGCGAAAACAGATATTGCAGGTGATGTGCAGTCTAAAGTCACGTAGATGTTGGTAACATAAACGTAACTGTTTTTTCAAGTGTTTGGACGACATCTTAAAGTTGAACAGTTGATAAAGTCCTTTCTAAACTTAAGACATGCAAAATCAGATTGACACCACTTCACATTTACAAATGTAACTACATCGCTACTACACTTTTTGATTACTCGATCGATCATGACGATAAACATTGTAACCCTATAATGATACTAAACAATCGTTTTGTAAATTATGTAACCAGGATTCTTGGGTTGTGATTATCCCACAATTACGATACATGTTTAGACTTAGAAGGAATTGAAGATAGTTCGCCTAGCCAACTAGTGATCGGCAGTTAGAAGTTAGTATTTCAGGAATCGACATATGATTAATGTTCATTCTTTTCAATGCATATTATCAACCACGACGATATCCTTGACTGTATATTTTTGTACCTTGTACAATGATAAGTCGCAAACTTTTCATATACGCACCTGAGCAGATTATGCGATTTTTTTGGCCCACCACTGATTGAATGCAGAAATATTCGCCAACCAGATTATATTCTTTATATATAAATTCAACACATCTAGTCAGTCAGTCACAACATAGAACTTCGTACGTACGTACATCAGTTCGAGTTACATCCACACATCCGCACAAGCTGATCACCCATTAACCAAATAATATGTATTTAAAAACCATTACAATGTAAGGCGGTATATACTAAGCCCAAAAATACTCTAAAGCAATCATACATTAGAGTAAAAATCTATCGTAATCTTCTCTTTTCTTGATTATTCTGAGTATCCTAACATGAGAAAAACATTTCTCCATTTGATACTATATTAATAAACAGAATCCTTCTAATGATCACGGTTACACTGGTGTATTGATAGTGAAGTGTATATCTCCGAAGTTTTCTTTAATGAACAAAACAAATCAATAACATAGAAATACAATGTAAAACCAACCTGAACAAATGTATCAGAGAAATGATTACAATTTTTATTTAATAAATGATATTGATCACCACGATAATCTGTTGTTATATTCTCCAGTAATAAAGTAACGTCGGAAGCTGTGAAATCTGTATATCCCATGGACAGTGTCACTCTATAAGATATAACATGAAAGTTAACAATGATTTTCGATAGTAATTTCATTTAACGTATCTCTATACAATGAACTTAACAGTGAAATAACTAGAAAAATTTGGCTTCCTCGGCACCGTTGTAACTGACTAGCCAGCTATTGTATATAAAAATTAGTAGTTATTATATATGTAACGACTCGGTTAAGTTTTCAGACTTACTGCTTATATTGGGAAACGAGAATCGCTACAATTCCAACGGTGCAAAGTAAGAACACGAAAGACAGATAAAATGAAGTTTTATTAACTCTCCAAAAACACGTCTCTACACAATTCCCAGAATTAAATCTTCCTTAGACCATAATCCAATCATTTGCATATGGAATTTCATACACGATAATAATACAGTGGAGGGAAGTATATAGAGTTACAGTAGAAAAAAATAAATATAGTTCGCCTGAACCAATACAGGGAATAAAATTGTCATATTGAACGAGAGTTCAAACTTGTCATATAGAAAGAAGTTTATACCAAATTGATACAAGAAAATATTGACTTTAGGACGTCACTAACTTTAGTGAACGAAGATTGTACCTGTCACCATGACGGAAAATCATAGTGAATTTATGGCCCCCAAATGCCCTGGTACGGCCGGGAGTGGGGAGAGTCTGCTCTCCCTCGAAAAATGTTCTCACATGGCCACGCGTATATAGCCTCTGATATAAAAGTCCTACTCACTGCCTTCTCGCACCACAGGTGTTGTTTACGAAATTGAGAGGACGAAAAGCGAATGTCAGGCGCTTTAACTGGGTTGGTGGATACGGAAACTCCACCTAGGGGAGTTGGAAAACCCTCATTCCAAACCAATGGTGCACATGGGCTGGTTCCAGTATCCTGAGGGAACAAATAGCGTATGAATCAATCGTTGGTCACCGACTACCATGGGACTGCATCTCCTCACGATGCTCCACTGCCTTGTGGATCAGACCTTTAGGCCGAAGGCTCCGATTGTGGCCCTCTAAGAAAACCATCTGCTTCATTTTCGGCACCTGTTTAGTATCACAGTCCTCACACATATCAAATGAGATTTGTGCGGCGCATATGTATCTGGTGCTTCCTTGTATCAATATTTATGTGTTTAAATAAATAAATAAGTGAATTTATGCAAAAGATATTTACCTAAATAATGTCACCTTATCCCATCATATCAGAAACATGACTAAACATGATGAAACTAACATGGTGAAACTCCATCTGAGTTCGAACCTGTTGTAAATTCTTTTATTAAGATCAGCTATTCTTAATGCTTAATCCTCTTGGATACTACTTCACTAAACAAGTCACTAAATCAGAACACGGTTGAACAGGAACGTAATTATACTCCGAATACAAAAAAGTTGTATGAAAGTAGCAATCACAATCAGAAAAACGTTTATATATTAATCATTTTTACATAAGAAGATTCTACAGTCTTTTCCAAGCACCCATTAGTGTTGATTGATTAAAAATAGCTAATCAGAGTGTTCTAACATAATCCTACACAAAACATGCTTTAATCCAATCTATATCCCACTAACAGAACCCATTCCCAAATACTTTCATATAAACAGTAGGAAGATTAATCTTTACAAAGTGTGACCAAAAGCTGAGTAAAGAAGTCTATACTAGTGAAATGAGTAATATTAAGTGGAATTCAACACATTGAAAACAATTAAGTTTCTGGAGTAATTTACAACACCCTCGAGGCAGCGACGTTACACCAATTCAGACATACGTAAAGATATTTGAAGGATAAACTTAATATTGTTGCTCTTAAATAGTTCCAATGACGCTCCAGAAGAAAATACATAAATATGATTGGTGGCACTATTTGAAAATACGTTTTACTATGACTAAGGAAAAATATCTATTAACGTCCAAAAGCTTATCAAATTTATTTCTTTGAAAAACGTAGCGGGTCATCAGTCATAAGCAGCAACGTAGAACCTGATATGTGCGCATCGGTTCAAGTCATCACATCCCATTAGTACAGTGACATAAAGTTGTGACGACAAATTTTTAGGTAGCTGAAATAGTAACAGCATCAGTAGTTGTAAAAAAGACAAGGCATAGAAAAATGAAAAAAAGTAAATGGAGATTTCAGGAAGGCAGAGTATGAATTCATCTGTGCCGTTGAGACCGATTCTAATCCATGCCATGCAACATCTCTAGCTGCTAATTACTATAGTCGCCCAGACTCCAACCATGTAGGCTATACATATTAACATGACTCAGACCAATTGTCAGTAACTTAATGGACTGGTGCTATGTATTCATTTATCCGCACCTTTTTTCTTCCAGCCTACTCCTACTTCTATACACAACAACTTCATCCGCAAAGATAGGCATAGGTAGGGCATGCGTAACACATATTGCAAACACTCCAACTGACGATTCACTAACTCATCAATCGATTTGCCAAACAAAACTTTCTCCATATCATTGACTTTGTTCCAGACAACTATATTGAACAGACAATAGGTAATAAATATATGTCAAATAATTAACTTATGTGTAGACCTGGACAAATCTAAAAATATATGATAATGTGGAGAAAATTTCTTCACGAAATGACGGCTACAGAATAATAGAAATTCGGAGAGCATTAGATACGTGATTTGTACTGGCTGGTAAGTTGTACGTAGGATGCAGATACTAAACCAAACAAAATTTAAGCTCGAAGTAACTTATAACTTCGACGATATGTACCGATTTCTAAGATAAACTTTCCAAAATTCTAGTATAAAGTCGATAAATTTGTAGAGATGTAGCAGTTACTAAGTGAGGCTTGTCGATGAGGATTGCAAAATAAAGCTAACTGATGAGAGTCAAAAAATGTTAAACTGTTGGATTCCTATTCTGTTGTTCAACAGAATATCGACATCGCTAAGGTATTAGGAGATTCTGGAACTATATCATAATATGTAAGGCTACGTGAAGTGTACTGTTGAAGAGTTGAAAACTAGTTGTGCCTGAAATTTATACAAAATTCTTGCATAAAGTAGATAAGATTGTCCAATGCGAAATGACATTCTGTAAGTGTAAGCCACACTGTTCAAGTTGTTTGAATTCAGAGAATTCGGTGTGCACATCACATATTCCGTTAAAATGGAACACATTAATTCAGTAAAACACTTTGATGGAAGTCATAAACCGAATATTCGATCCTCTGATATAGAATGGATGGAATGTGGCTGCTAACAGTGAAATCTAGGACGCGCGTTTTGCCCCATTTGGGACTTGTTAGTTCCAGCTTGTGTCACAACGGCTATGTCGAGGCAGTCCGCACAGGATCCCAATATACCAACCAAGACTGATTAAATTACAGTCAAAAATATCAGCAACAGTATGAATCGTACCATTTCAAACCAACTTAAATTTCATTGTCTGTTCTGGACTCTTTAAAGATATAACTGAACAGTTTTATAAATCTTTTATTACTGACATATAACAATAAATCACATGAGAACAGAGAATAGATATTAGCTAGATGAAAAAAAAGATACAAATCGAAGTTGGATTACGAGAGTACTTCACAAATACGCACACGCCCTCATTAATGTTAGTACATATATCTACTTAGTATTATTAGTTAACAATTATCGAATACAATGCATATATATCAGTTACTATGAACTACTAATGAAGTAATACGTCCCATGGTAGTAATAATAATAATAATAATAATAGTAATAATAATAATAATAATAATAATAATAATAATGGTACTCATTCACCAGGTATTTATGAACAGGTCATATTCTAAGTGTGAGAGATAATGATACTACCCAAATGTCCAAAAGAAAGTAGGCAGAATGGGGTTTGAACATGAGTCTTGGTAGCTAAACATCCAATGCCTTAACCACTAACCTACCGGCTTCACTTTTCTAGCATACTTCTATCTCTAATATTATCTTCAAGCACTATCTGTCAACCCGTATTGAAAGATTTGTATCATAGCGTAGCGAACGAGAACTAAATGGATCTTAATACAGCAACTACACAATATCCTGTTAAAATCTGAGAACCATACAGTAAATACTTCATTTGCAAAATATCCATCAATGGTCTCAGACTTTGTTGTTTCTTCGTTTTTATACCAATTACTTTCTGTTTTCGTTCTCTTCGGTTTTCTCAACGTTCTGCCGCCAGGCATTCCATCTTTGATCGGTGATACATACTACTTATATCTGTCGACATCAGTAGCACACACCACAATAGTACGTAAAAACTGAGTATTATAAACAGCTAATAGTAAGGATTTAAGTTATCCCGTTGTTGATATTTATGAATGGATTTTGATCGGTGTTTGTTGGGACACGTGCATCATATGCAAATTGCTTCGATATAGCCGTCATGACAAAATTTAAAACAGATGGATAATGCATTAAGCGTTTGAAGATAAATGTACAGGATTTACAATAAATTAAACCAAACAATAAAATTGATTTCCGAACGAAATACATGAATGTGAAAGAAGGATAGATAGTAATTATTAGTTACAAAGGTTCATATATGAAGTGTTGTTAAAGATGAGATTTGAATCTAATCAGTGTCCTTTCGAAAATGGATACACTCTGAACATATGCTTTGATGTTGTATAACACTGAAATTCAGGAATCGCATTCAGTTGTGTCTGAGACTTATCAATTGTACTTACCAGTAATCCAGTGTTCATCTACATATTGAGGTATCTAGTACCGTATACGTCAGTTATTCACTTAAACAATGAATACTCAATAACTTCGTTAAAGGATGTGATACTTAATATGAATTGTACAGATACGTATTTTTCTCTTGTTGATATCCAGGACTAAATTTGATTATTTTCTAATGGGTAAATGGATTTTATAAAACTTTACAACAAAAATTAATATCATGCTTTTTAGACGAATCAGCAGTCTAGCCAATAGTAATTCGGTGAGCTTTGAGCGGTGGAAAGTCGGTTCCAGCCTTAACGTGAACATTGTTGCGTGACGCTCTCAAAAGTCTTCAGAGGCTCGCGAAAAATTAAGAATACTTCATTGAATTAGAGTTTAACAGGAACTTCTCAAATAGTTCTGGAGAAACAGTAAATTACGCACCACATTGTAATTGAATAACTAATTTTGCTACTAACTTAAGCTAGTTTCCAAAAAATCCTAAGAAATTATCAAGTTCACGAATAAACCTATAAATATTCTCGTGAAAGTTTTGAGGTTACCAGCGTTTTGTCTCTCGTTAGGGATTCAAGTGTAGAAGATTTCTGGGCAACCGAACAGTGACTAGAAACCAGAGTTGAGGATTCACGCACCAAACTTAACAAATATCACCACAGGGACCAAACATGCGTCACAGATTTCACTGCTAATCATCATAAAATATGTGAACAAGGATGCTATGTATTTGTTACGTCTGGCCGATTGTGAACGCTATATTCGCTTCCCTAAGCTAGTTCCGTATCCCCGAGCTAGAACTACTCCGCGACTTGAAGACCAGAGAAAAAGCACAAAGTGTATGGGAAGCACTTTACTACAGGGTTCAATCTTGTTACAGAAAATCATAGGTATTTATAGATGTTAGCCGATCCATTAACGACATATTATGATACCGATCAATAGTATCACGCCACGTTGGAACTCTAGAATGTTCCATCGTATTCTGATTGGCTGGGGCTCTTTATGAGCCTCTGGAGGCTCTGTTAGAGTTCTCCGCAGGCCGACTCAACAGTATTCATAACTTGATTTAAACAAAATTAAGCTTTAGCGTAAATATTTTTCTGTGATGATTAATTAGATCACCTGGATGCTAATGAAAACGAATTAGATGGTCAGAGTGTTCCTTAATTTTCAAATGGTTGTCTTTCCAGATGATATCTTTCAATTACATGAATCTTTACAATACACCAAATGTTATATAAGATACGGATACCTTGTATTTTGACTAATTTTTAAATAATCACTATCGATGATGGTGGAGAAGATTTGTAGCTCATGTAGATGATTTCGAACAAAACTCAACCAAAAATCATTCTCACAGACACTGTGAATTTTATTTTTATTATTTAAACACATAAATATTGATACAAGGAAGCACCAGATACATATGCACCACACAAATCTAATTTGATATGTGTGAGGACTGTGATACTAAACAGGTGCCCAAAATGAAGCAGATGGTTTTCTTAGAGGGCCACAATCGGAGCCTTCGGCCTAAAGGTATGATCCACAAGGCAGTGGAGCATCGTGAGGAGATGCAGTCCCATGGTAGTCGGTGACCAACGATTGATTCATACGCTATTTGTTCCCTCAGGATACTGGAACCAGCCCATGTGCACCATTGGTTTGGAATGAGGGTTTTCCAACTCCCCTAGGTGGAGTTTCCGTATCCACCAACCCAGTTAAAGCGCCTGACATTCGCTTTTCGTCCTCTCAATTTCGTAAACAACACCTGTGGTGCGAGAAGGCAGTGAGTAGGACTTTTGTATCAGAGGCTATATACGCGTGGCCATGTGAGAACATTTTTCGAGGGAGAGCAGACTCTCCCCACTCCCGGCCGTACCAGGGCATTTGGGAGCTAGATGATTTTGAACAAAACTCAACCAAGAATCATTCTTATAGACACTGTGAATACAAAATGCAAAGTGCATATGAAAATATGTAAACAATGAAACAAATATATTGAATAAATAAACATTTAGAAGAAAAAGAAAATACTAACTTGTACGAATAATTTTCGCCTAAATAAGCAGAATCTCTTGGTAACATAGAGAATACTCCAGAATTGGTTAATGGATGTCCACCATATGAATATTCTATGACAACAAAATAATAGTAATAATAAAACACATTTAGCACACATTTATATGAATAGCAAAATCGATAGAAAATAATGTCTCAGAAATGATAGTGAGAAGGAATAAGCACTGGGAATCTGGTTTGAAAAGATATGGTTTAAAGGTATGTACGAAGGAATGCCGAGATTCCAGATGGAGGAGATAAAGTGTGAATGCATCTATGTCATTGTTTGAACCATATAATCTAAAATATTCAGTCATTGATCACCATTATCACGCGAACTCCAACCAGGTGCTCGTCATGAACCAACATAGCTCAGAACAAGAGTCAGTGACTTCATGAACCGCATCTAACTTTCATTCAACCTACTTCTACACCAACAAATGTCGCTCGTCAATTTATTTATTATTTATTTAAACACATATATATTGGTACAAAAGGGCACCAGGTACATATGCGCCACACAAAATAATGAAAGTAGGTAGATAAAGGATGAAAAGATAAGGCGGGCTGAAATGTACAACCAGAAGATTCTTTCAGTTAGGAAAGTTAGAACCATTCTTTATGTAGAAAGTAAAAGAAGGTTGCAGCAGGATCGCCACTGGCTTCTATTCTGAGCCATATCCGATAACGTCTCTAGCCACTGTGTTGCACTATCTCTCGGACCCCAACCAGGGAGTCGTGAAGGACCAACGGAAGCTAGCCCTTTGCAGCTCTCTTTCATGCCACGACACCATGTCATACACTGACCTCCTCTCCGCTTTCTCCAACCAGTCCCAGGGTCGGCAAATAATGCACGACGCGGAAGTCTCTGGGACGACATTCGTAAAACATGTCCGAGCCACCGAAGTCGGTGTTTCAAGATGGTGACACCAATTGAATTATCGTCTCTGCGCCCGAACACACGATGCCGAACCTCTGCATTACTAACATGGTGTTGCCACTGGATGTCAGCAATCCTTCGGAGACAACGATGATCGAACACAGAGAGACGTCTAACATCCTCAACTCGGAGAGGCCAGGTTTCACAAGCATAGAGCAAAACTGCTCTCACCGACGCGTTGTAGATCCGACCTTTTACAGCCAGACTAACATCACGAAGGCGCCAACGATGGCCCAGATTGGCATAAGCCGCTCTGGCTTTCATTATACGTGCATCAATCTCATCACTCACGCCACCACCAGCACTTATATAGCTACCTAGATACACGAACTTCTCAACTACTTCGATCTCCTCACCATCCAGGGTGAGTACAGGATGAGAATCCTGCCAGTCTTGTAGGAGTACTTTGCACTTGGAGGGTGCAAAGCACATGCCGTACCTGCGGACACTGATTGCCAACTGATTAAGTGCTGATTGCATGCCTTGGGCATTATCGCACAGTAAGACAATATCATCCGCATACTCAAGGTCGAGAAGTCGTTCTCCAGGCAACATATCCACACCGCCATTACTTACATCCATCAGAGCTGCTTCTAGGATGTCGTCGATGGCAAAGTTGAAGAGGAATGGGGAGATCGGGCAACCCTGTCTAACCCCACTGCTCGAATGGAACAAGGGAGAAAGGTGGTTGTATGCCCTCACTCTGCCTGAGGTGTTCGTATACAGGGCCTTTAAGATGTTAATGAACTTCTCAGGCACACCCTTCTTCAATAGACAATCCCAGAGAACAGTCTTGTCCAACGAATCGAAGGCAGCCCTGATATCAAGAAACACTACGATTGTTGGCCTGCGATAAGTATGACGGTGTTCTAACATTTGGCGGAGGGTGAAGATGTGATCAATGCATCCTCGACCAGAACGAAAACCAGCCTGCTCCTCGCGAGTCAATCGTTCTCGGGTTTTAAACAACCTACGAAGAATGATAGAAGCCAATAGTTTGGACGCGATCGAAAGTAGACTTATCCCCCGGTAGTTATTGCAGGAACAACGTGAACCCTTTTTAAAGATAGGGACGACTATTGACTCATTCCAAGATGTTGGAACACTTTCTTGCTCCCAAACCTTTCCAAACAACGCAGTCAGTTCCTTAGCCAGAAAGTCACCACCATCTTTAAAAAGAGCCGGAGGTAAGTCATCTGGGCCAGGTGATTTATAACGTTTCAAGAGTTGGAGTTCCTTGCGGACTTCCGCCTCGTTTGGTGGATCAGTCGTCACCGGCCATGGGGAGCAGGACAAGCTGGTTGATGTTGCCGGAGCAGCAGGCCAGTTGAACTGCCCTTCGAAAAATTCCGCCCATCGTCCAAGACGTCGACAGATGTTAGTGATTGGCAACCCGTCATCCTCGTAGGTTGTTTCACTCACACCAGACTTCTTGCTGCCAGTGGCTCGGATGAGTTGGAAGAGCTTCCGGCAGTTACCAGATGCAGCTGCTGCTTCCATCTCATTAGCACGCTCCGACCACCAGGCTTCCCGGTCCTTACACAAGCTTTGCCCGATTTCATTACGTAACAGCCTTCGTTTGTGGTCAAACTCACGGTCACCCGGAGTAGACCGACGGGCTTCCATCAGTTGTAAGGAGCCAGAAGAAACCCAGTGCTTGTAAGCGGGACGTTTCGCGAAGCCGCAAGCGGCTTTACTCGCCATTTTCATGGCGTCGTGAAGATGCAACCAATGCTCGTCTATACTTTTCGATGGGGTGGTAGCTAGCCTAGAGGCTAGCTCAGCTCGATACTTACTTGCAACAGAAGTTGCAGCCAGTTTACTAATATCAATCCGTTGGTGGTGGTCAATCCTTCGGCCACTGAAAAGTAAGGTGAGATTGGCGCAGACCAGGGCATGATCAGACTCCAGATAGGTACTCCAAAAGGAGCGGCAGTCTTGTACACAACCACGCCAGCGGTAGCTGATCGCAATGTGATCAATCTGAGTCCAGGCTTGGGATGCAGAGGGAGGACGCCAGGTGGCACACCGGCGATGACTGTGCCGGAAGTTAGTGCTGGCCAGAAACAGGTTGTGGTCTGTGCACAGTTGCAGCAAACGGTCCCCGTTATCTGTCCGGCGACCAACAAGTCCCCATCGGCCACCTAGACGACTCTCTTCTGTGCCTAGACGCCCGACCTGTGCATTCAAGTCTCCGGCTAGTACTACAATATCTGTCGAACGCGCTTTCTGGAGAAGAACTGTTAACTGATGGTAAAACTCATCCTTGATTGCATCCAGGCTGCAATCTGTCGGGGCATAGGCGGAGATGACGAAAAGACACCGTTTCTCACGCCGATTTCTTCTCACTTTGATGGAACTTTCTAATCTAACAGCACATAACCGACTGTTAATGGAGATCCAATCGATTAGTGCTGCCTCAGCTCTAGCGCTTAGTGCGACACCAACGCCAGCAAGACCAGACGAAGATGCCACAGGGTCCCCGGATAAGCGCACGTGAAACAAGCTTTTCGAGGCGACAGATGGAGAGCGGATTTGTAGTACTTCACTAGAGTCTTGAATACGGGTCTCGGATAGACAACAAACGTCAACATTAAGACCTTCCAAAGACATAGCCAGCCCTATCTGTTGTCTGATCTGCATTAGTGTGCGAACGTTGAAGGAAGCCAGCTTGAACGTCGCTCGTCAAAGTAGACAATAGTTATGCATGAATAACACAAGTTCTAACCACTTGTACCAATAAATATGTACAAGCTCATCAAGTGATTTGGCATCTTGCCCACAAGATAATCCATCCCTAACCTCAATGTTGCTCAATCAATCGAAGTTAAGAACAACGTACTAGACAAAGATGTCAAATCAGTCGATTAAGTTATAAATGTTCATAAAAGAGGTGGTTAAGACATGTGTTAAGTATGTGTAATCACCTGCTGCTATGTGAGAACTGAGTCAGAAATTCAGGAACTATATCCTCTCTCGTATGGAATGCTTTATTTTAAAACTTTAAAAGTTTGTAAAGGGTTAAATTTCAAAATGACTTAAACGCAAGAAGATAATGTTTCAATAACGAGCATAATGGTATGCAGGAAAAAATATAGAAGTGTCTAAATGAGATATACTGGCTTTTGAAGTTTACGATTGAAAAGCATCGAGACTTCACAGATCCTTTAGATTCAGATTTAGTATTCTTAGATAACTTATCTCGCAAATACCAATGTCTTTAATTATCTCATATGACTAAAAAATGTGATAGATTTAGTGACTTCATTTTTTGGTCACATTCTCAGTTGTATTTACTAGTTTATTGCAGTATATAATCCTACAAATATGAACTACTTCCCACTATAACACAAGAAAACATCCCTTGAAGTCAGTCACTAGTGAGCAAATGATTATAGATCAGAAGGGGTTTTGTGGAGTTTCCAGTATTTTTCATAGTTGAAATCATGAGTACATTGAAGCTAGACCACCATGGAAAACATGGAAGCACTGGACGGCCGTTTCGTCCTATTATGACACTCCTCAGCAGTGCGCACCCACGATCCCGCACTCACGAGATTCGAACCCAGGAGCTACCAGTCTCGCTCCAGAGCACTTAACCGATAGACCACTGAGCCAGCATCCAACGGTGTTAGCGTCTAACTTCAACAAATCCACGATGTTTGAGCAACCGTTCACCAATTGTCTTCAGTAAGTTGATATCTCTACTTGGTTGAACTCCACTGGTCACTGCTTCCCACTAGAATTCAAGGAAACATCCCGTTCAGTGCTTCCAGGTTTTCCATGGTGGTCTAGCTTCAATTGACTCATGGTTTCAACTGTGAAAATACTGAGATCTCCACAAAACCCCTTCTGATCTATAAATATGAACTAGATGAACATTACAAATTATAAGAGAATGGAAAACAAACAAGTTAACACTTACCAGTTCCATGAACTACAACCCCTGTATGATAAACTCCAATACCAAGAGAACTGACGTAATCATTTATCCACAACTACGAATTGAATATGGATACATAGCAATAAATTAATGTCCATTAGAGTGAGAAGACAAGAAAGTTATGTAACAGTTTAACATTGGTTATGTAAACTAATGAAAACAATAACTGATAAGAAAAGTATGGGACGATAGAAGATAAGGCTTCGCATAAGTGAAAATCATAACCCAAGGACAGAATAGGGTTTATTTCACCAAAGGATAACATGCTTACAGTATACACTGATGAACATAAAAGTTATAATCCTAACAAATGATCCTAGAGATATTCCGAAATCGAGTAAATGACATGTGGGTCTAATCGAATTAATTACGAAAGAAAATTATTTTTTAACTTATCGAAATTTGCGAAAGATATTGATTAGTTGGAAAATCTTTTGAACGATTACTTTGTAGAAATTTAAAAACTTTTGTAACGGTATTGATGACCAAAAATGCCCTGGTACGGTCGAGAGTAGAGAGAGTTCGCTCTCTCAGAATGCTTTCACATGGCCACGCGTATATAGCCTCTACCAGGGAAATCCTACTAACTGCATTCTCGTGACTTTACTATTGTTTACGAAATTGAGAGGACGAAAAGCGAATGTCCAGATTTTTAACCGGGTTGATGGACACGGAAAGTTCACCTGAGTTTAAAAACCCTCATTCCAAACGAATGGTGCACATGGACTGGTTCCAGTATCCTGAGGGAACAAATGGTGTATGAATCAATCGTTGGTCACCGGCTACCATGGGACTGCATCACCTTACGATGCTTCACTGCCTTGTGAGCCAGACCTTTAGGTTAAAGGCTCCGATTGTGGCCTCCTAAAAAAACCACCTGCTTCAGTTTGGACACCTGGGCAGTACCAGAGTCCTCACACAAACCAAATGAGATTTGTGCGGCGTATATATATCTGGTGCCCCTTTGTACCAATATTTATGGGAACAAGGTATTGAATTTATGAAATTATAAAAATGAAAATAATTCTACTGCTTATAAATTACAAAAGGCACATATTCAACTATAAACAAATTACTCGATTAGATAGTATATTGAAACAAGAAGTTTTAAGAATGAATACCATAACAATTTAATATCATTTTATATAGTTGATATCATGAGTCAATTGAAACTAGACCATCACGGAAAACTTATAAGCACTGGACGGTCGTTTCGTCCTATTGTGAGACTCCTCAGCCGTGTGCATCCACGATCCCGCCTCGCGAGATTCAACTATATAAAATTACTAAAATCTCCACAAAACCCCCTTCTGATAATTTAATATCAGTCAAAAACTCATTGAAACGAATCAACATATTTAGTATACATTTTAGTTTATTTGAAAAATTCTCAAAAAAATATAAACGCTCATCTATTTATTTATTTGAACACATAAATATTGATACAAAGGGGCACCGAATACATATGCACCGCACAAATCTCATTTGATTTGTATGAGGGCTGTGATACTGCACAGGTGCCCAAACTGAGGCAGGTGGTTTTCTTAAGGGGCCACACCCAGAGCCTTTGACCTAAAGGTTTGATTCATACGCCATTTGTTGGATACTGGAACCAGCCCATGTGTTCCATTGGTTTTTTAATCAGGGTTTTCCAACTCCCGTAGGTGGACTTTCTGTGTCCACCAACCCGGTTAAAGCGCCGGACATTAGGTTTTTGTCCTCTCAATTTTTCAAACAACACCTGTGGTACGAGAAAGCAGTGAGTAGGACTTCCCTGACAGAGGCTATATAAGCCTGGCCATGTGAGAGTATTTCGAGAGGAAGGGCGGACTCTAGTCACTCTCGGACGTACCAGGAGGTTTTGTGAAGATTTTTAGTAATTTAATAGTTGAATTCTTGAGTCAATTAAAGATAGACCAGCATTGAAAACTTAGAAGCACTGGACGGTCGTTTCGTCCTAGCATGGAACTCCTCAGTACTGCACATTCACGATTCCACGTTTCCCATAATGGTCTAGCCTTAAAAATGACTTATAAATTCAACCAATGATCAAAATGAAACTAATCATCAATGTTCAATTAATAAACTAAATGATTTAAATAATCAACCCAAAATAGACAAATCGAATTATGTAACAAGGGTTTAAAAAAATGTCACAAAACTTAAAGAAAGACAAACAATAAAAGATAAGAAGCTATTAAGTTTAATCATAAAACAATTTTCTCTTTTCTTTAATGAAGTAAATAGGATGAAACAATAGCCTACTTCAGTGTAATGAATGTACACTAGAAAACGTAATAATCACACCCTTAATTTATCACAAATCGACGATCGATTCGATATAAATTTTTAAGGATATTTCTTATTGTTAAGTGACATAATCTAGTGAATTCTTTAAAATTGAGAAACATTTTGAACAAATGCTTCTTTTGAGTATAAAACTGTTTAAGATGGTGGAAAAGATTTGTAGCTCATGTGGGTGATTTTGATGTAGGTTTGTTCCCTAAGCTGGATGGTTTGGTTGTAGAGCTTTCATCGTCCTTCTGAACGACATCATCAGCACAAATTTCGGGTAGAAGTGAAGTGTTTGAATTTCTCCATATATGATTCACAGCTTATCCTGTGCACCTCAATGTTGATTGGTTCTTATTGACCTTAAATTTGTCAATGTTTATTCCTTTGTTTTGATTGTATCTCCCATTGGTTTGAGATGGTGGAGAAGATTTGTAGCTCAGGTGGGTGATTTTTTTAAAACTGTTTAAAAGTGGAAATCTACGGAAGCAAACTCATAACTTATAAGGTAAGTATTAATATTACATACCATTAGGTCTTTTTAGATGAGGAATCGTGTTAATATTACAAATCAATGGGTGTGAGAAAAACATAATGTATTAGGCTGAGATTTGATTATCCAAGAGAAGGTGAAGTGTACACCACAAAAGAATTTCAAACTAAGGTTCTTCATATTTCAATTATTCCTCACCAAATGGTGCTAGTTAACGACTAAAACTAACTGAAAACTATTCAGAATTATTGGAAAAGCAACTTAACATGGATAGATTGATTTGAACTTGCTCTAATAAACTAAATATTATAAGCTAACTGTTATAATTTTCATATACAGGTAGGGTTTCTTCGTTCATTATAAGAAAATAGAAGTGTACATGCTCTTTTTTCCAAAGTTTATTTTTTTAAAAACTGATGACTGAATTAAGAAATACAAAAGGAAATAAACAGAAGCATGAGGGTCATAATATTTTGCTCAATTTCAAGAAAACACTGACATCTTAATTAAGATGACGAACAGCGTGACCTCCACATCTAATGATCGAAAGTTACACGAGTATGAATATTATATATATATATATATATATATATATATATATATATATATATCAGTTAAGTGCTCTGGAGCGAGACTGGTAGGTCCTGGGTTCGAATCTCGTGAGTGCGAGATCGTGGATGCGCACTGCTGAAGAGTCCCATAACAGGACGAAACGGCAGTCCAGTGCTTCCCTGTTTTCCATGGTGGTCTAGCTTCAATGTACTCATGATTTCAACTATGAAAAATACTGAAATCTCCACAAAACCCCTTTTGAATATTACTAGGTAAATAAATCTATAGTTATCATTATTTTCATTATTATTATCCTATTACTGTTATTATTATTACCTAACTCATAATAGTTGAAGAATTAAACAATATAAAACATGAATAACTTAATTTACACCGTTACTATTGTCACGGAGTTGAAAGGGTATAGAAAAAAAAGCTAGAAGCAGTTGCTATGTGTTTAAAAATTAATAAAAATACAACTACTGGGTTGTAGAACCATTTGGAATTGTTTGTTTGAATCTTCCCATCGATTTGTTAGGACTGCAACTGCAACTCGCACAAGCAAGTGGCTATCAGGACTCAGTGGCCGAGTGGATAACGCGATGGCGTTTGAAGCGAAAGGTACTGAGTTCGAGTCCCAGAGTGAACATCAACTCTGAGATGCAGGTACATCCAGCTGACGAGTTCCAAATAGGACGAAACGCGCATTCTGGATTCCACTGCTAGCCACTATCCATCTCTGCTTACCATGCTTGTGAATTAAGGCTATATTGAGGCAATACGCACAGTATGCACATATGCCAATTAGAGACTGACCGGTTGCAGTCCTAACAAATCGATGGGAAGATTCAAACAAACAATACTGAATGAATTTCACTCGGTATTGTTTACTTGAATCTTCTCAATAGGACGAAACGTGCGTCCTGGACTTCACTCCTGGCCACTATGCATCTTTGCTTACTGGGTTGTAGTTTCTAACTCTGTTCCATCTAATTCAGCTTGCACAGCCAAATAGTACAATCGAGCCTATAAACACGGTGTTACTTTAAGCCTGGTACACCAGAAACTGTAATAAGTTATTTCAAGTTACATAATAATAAAAAACTAGAAAATTCATGTGAGAATCGGTATAATATGAGACAACTCTACATGCTACGAGCTTAAAAATAACATATTGTAGAAACTTTTGTTACTTATTAAGTTCAGACTGAAATCATTCTACCCTACTATTCAAGTAATAACTGAACCAAACATCCAATATAAAATGATACATATAATCAATGAAAATAATCCGTTCCTCCACAAGGTGTATACTAATTGCGAACCTATTAATTCTCCCATTTTCGTGGTGTAGCGGTGAGCACTTCGGACTCTGAATCCGGCAACCTGAGTTCGAATCTCGGAGAGGCCTCATAATGTGGGAACCTATTAATGTTCAACGAGATCTGCGAATCAAATAAGATGATTTCTCGTTGATAATCTGACTAATATTGAAATATCTTGACCTTATCCGAGTATAATCAACACAAACTCTGAGGTTACAGTTTGGTCCTAAACAACAAGACGAAACGATAATCTCCAACAAAAAAACAGAGATTCTGTTACACAGTTAAGTGGTTTTTGGTTACATATGCAACATCACTCATATTTCCAGATTAAGCTATACGTTTGCTGTAAGTGGATATGGTTTTTCTGACAAACGAAAAATGTTGTTGAATGATGCTAGTTACTACACATTACATGTTGGCATTTTAATGAACTAAAGATGTCATAAATAAAATGTTCCGACTACTTAATTGACTGATTTAAATCTTCCTTAATGTACCATTGATGAAACCATATCTGGTGTACTAAAGCAGTGCTTCACAGCTTCAAATTATTTTCAACAAGGCTCTATGAAGCTAGTGACACATATGTACATCTTACGGGCAGATTAGGTTGTTTTAGTGTAGATATAGACATCCCGATTACAATGCTAAAATTAATCTTGATATGTGGACACATTGAGCACAGAATGTTTCTTATCTTTCTCTTAATTTTAAGTTTAGCATTATCCATGTTTTGTAATCTTTCGCTTACACTACAATTAATAATATTCCACATTACTTGTTTCCGAACATGTTAAGCTTATCAATTCGCTGAATTACATGTGACAACCTTAAACGTATAGACTAGTGTTAGGTCTTACATTATCAATACTTAGCTAATAGAAACCTAACTACCAAAGTAAGTCAGTAGTATTGTTAAGGCTTGTTATATATACTCACAATACGATGAGTGTTGGTAATTTAAGAAAATAAACGAATATGGATAATGAACATGAATAAAATCAAATTCCGATCTTTATTATCATTATTTTACTATCGAAATCAACTCTTTAGATAACTTCAGGTACATTTATGCAGTTAGAAAAAAATGTGTAATATATAACATAAAACTAAAGTAATATTTCATTAACAATATCAATACATGTTATTTTACATATAATCGAAAACCTGTACTGATGCAATTCAATGATTAGACACATCATGAGAATGTGTTCAAGAACAAGCATTACATACATCACGTATTCCGTGTTGAACAGGTTTGATGTAGTATAGTTTAAAAACACAGTGGAGATTTTAAAATTGTCCAACTGATGACCATCTCCTGAAGGACAATAAAAGCTTTGCAATCAAGACACTCAACATAACACAGTGTTACTGAGTTATTTATTTAGTGATCCTTCAAATTCAACTGATAGTTTGTACCCAAATTATTCGTATCACTGATTTCCATCAAACTAATTCTTTGAACAAGCCCCCATATTTTCGGATGTGACAATACAATATTTATGGACGACTTGTTAATATTTGATCTCCGACTCTAATTCTTCCATTATAAATGTCTTGATGCCAAGTTTTGCATCAACATACGTAGACAAAGAGAGATAATTCAGTTTTGCATAGGCATTTTCAGTCAGAAACTACAATCTTGACTAGGATGAATTAACTTCCTATCATATAATTATTAACTGTGAACACTTTGCATTCTATTGACTGATTCAATAAACTTCAAAGGTCAATCATACCTTTTCTGAGACTAGATTTATTGAGCATAATTGTTTCGCTTAAAATTAAGCAGGTCATTCCAACTGAGTAAGTCGACTAAATGTGTTTTAAACGAGACAACTAAACCATTTACGTTTAATTGGATTCTGAAGTTAATTATACTAAAAAATTATCAAGACACACCCATTTAATTAACCTATAAGGAGGTAAGCTAAGGGCGAGTTCGTGAACATAAGATGAAGGAATCCATACATCAAGTGAAAAAATGACCTTTAAAGTTCGAATGCCCGATTAAAACTGTGTGCAGAATATAACAGTGAATTCTCAAATGAGCTCTTAAAAATAAAGACAAAACAGAACAACTTGAGTCTAGTACACAACTTTACAGTATATGCTTGCATTTAAAAAAGTCACTGGGTCTTAATTCCCTTGTGAACGTAGATTGATTTTCAGCTGTGTAAACTCATCCTTTGTGTTGGGGATGATACGTTGATTGATTTTCAGTGAATTTTCATTTATATTGATTTAGTCAGTATAAGATGAGCCATTTGATTTGAATGTATCTTTCATTATATTTATGAATCCATTATGATTTTGTGTTCAATTAATGATTGCTTATTCAAACAATTTTTGTAATTAATAGTTATTCATCAAATACCAATAACCTACGAATAATAAGAATAGCAGATATTAATGCGTTTCTAAATTGATCATAGGTGTCTTTGAAGCTAAAAGAAAAGGCTGAAAATAATTTGGAGTGGCCAAACCAAGGTGTAGCGTCATTTTCTGGAATCATTGCCCATTGGTCTGAGTCACATAGATAGGTTCAGACCACCTAGTTGGTGTCCAGATGATTATTGTATCCAGAAGTTGGAGATGTTAGACGACGTGGATTACAATCGTTTGTAGTGATGCAGATATATTCATTCTACATCTTGTCTTAGATCCTGTGTCCTGAAATTCCTTCTTACTTTGCTTTTCTTTTTTCATGCCTAATGTTGCTGAGAATGTCACTATTTCTACCATCTAGAAATGTAACTCGGTAATTTCACTTCTCTGTGCTAATGTTATGTGGTAACTTGGAATAATACACATGTGCTATGTTCTACACTGCATAAAACTAACTGAATCATTGAATAATAGAAATATAATTGAATTAGTTTGAATTTAAATCGATTCTAGAGTCTTTATTAAGAAAAGCATGTGTCGCATATGAATCTGGTGCCTTTGTACCAATATTTATGTGTTCAAATAAATAAATGTTAAGAAATGTTCTATAAAAAATTGGACATTTTTACTCAAGTTATTAGCAAGGAGACGATAGAATCTATCTGGTTCATTGTACTGAAGTTGGAGTTGTGAATAATTAGCTCAGTGAACAGACGTACTACAATGATTCCATAACTAACTTTTATTATACGACAATGAACTTAATTTTAGTGCATTTTGATTCTGAAACCGTATGTGTACTCTTAGTGTATCTGAAAACCAAGAGATGGTTCAAAATTTTAAAAACACTTAACTTATAATCACTAAGCCGCATATTTGAAACTGAATCGACATTTTTCGATTCGACTAGTAAAAATACCTTTATAAAACAGTCTTCAAAAGCTAAATGTGCGAATCAGTAGTTGGTCAATGAATGGCGCTAAACTTGTAAACAATTTTTTGCATAAAGTTATGTTTTTTTACTCTGATCTTCTGCATAGCGACACCTCAACTTTATCTCATAAGACGTAAGAAACGTTTATTTTGTTTTGAAACGATATTAAACACTTGTGGCTAGGAAAATGAAACTGAAAACGGAAGCACACTTAGTTTTAAAATGGAAGGAAGCCTTTGTTTCTCTAGAAAAATGTTGGTAGAACATAGACAAGATCTGATTATTGTATAATACTTGTCTTCTAACAGACAACCTAGTTCTTAAACAGGGGTGGATGGACTTGAGAAACCCATAGTATAAGAGATCAAAAACAAGCAGGGTTGGTGATTTCTCGGTCACTATGTGGTCTGATTAATGTAGTTTTAGGTCAAAATGGCGATAAGAATATTTATCTTGTGGCGATTTAAACAGATTAACTAAGCAGTGAAGCCAATTTTGCAGCAGATTATATCGGGCAAAAAGCCTATAAAAAGAGGTTTGAGATCATTTGATCTAAAAAACTGAACATAAATTAGAGATTCGAAATAGTTTCTCAATGTACATTAATTACGATCTTCAGATGTTTAAAATCTATTGAATACCATTTACTGAAATGTGAGTATACCCACCTCTTGAAGTAAAATGTTTGTGTAAAAACTGTTTCCTTTTATGACTTCTGGAAACATCAATCTATCATTTTCTTTACGACTAAATAAACACTGAATTTTTGTCCAATCACATTTGTGTCTGCTACACAAAATAATGATATGAGTTAGTCAGTTAGCTGTACGTTTAGGTAATACAATCACACAACTAACGATAAAGAGATAATAAATATAGAAATTAATAGATACATTTCTCTTACCATATCATAGACATTCACAGTCACTGGCGTTGCAACGGAATTATTTGTCGAATGAGTTGTCGTACAGTTAGGTATAGTTGTGTTGGTTTCTGTTTCATGATTCTCTGATGTTGATGTTTGAGTTGATGAAACACGATCTAATTTCATCCGCAATTTCTCCCAAAACCCCATAAGTGGACTCATTTTTTCCATTAACTCATCTTTTTGGAGAACTATCCAAACAGTAAGACCTAAAATGATTCCGTGTCAACGAATACACAAAAGTGAAGAACATTATCTCTGTAATATATAATAAATCTGAAGGTTCCTGAAGTCCTTAGTAACGTTATAGTTCAGTAATCAAAAACTCTGATCTATGTAAAAAAAAGTGCAACCTCACTGGAGCCAAACTTGCTACCGATTCCATCCACAATTTCATCAGTAGAGAAGCGTGACGGAAACATTACCCTCGTGATCTTAAATTCTAGTCATGAGTTCATTGATTCCGATGCACAATACCTAAAACTTAAACTACTCTAGGCAGAACTAGTAAATTATTTGTTTCTTGAGATCTGCGTCTGGGTGATGAGCGCAATTTTGGCTGCAAAATTCTTGCTACATTCTTCCTAGGGAACTGAGAGAAACAACTCAATTATTAACAGAGTGATTGAGGAGTAACACTTGAAGTAATCCCTCTTAGTATTTATAGGACTAAAGTAATCGTCAACCCCTGACTTGAAAGATTAGGTAGAGTGACATCACTATAGCTTCCACCACTGATCCGGACCGCTAAAATTTAAAGTGATAGGTCTAGTAAACAAAACTGTTACTAAAATAGGTGGATGGTTAAGATATTTTGGTGATTCTACGAGGCATTTATTCAACTGTAGTCCACACGCGCAAGGCGATGATATAAGCATTACCATTTTGTTTCTTTTATATCCATCTGGAACTAATCATTTGAGAGGGTATTCTAAGAAAGTTCAAAAACCGAGATCAAATAGTTTACGCCTAAAGTTCCGTTTCTTACATTAAATAGTGAATGCCTGGAATTCTTCACCAGAACAGGCAGTATCATCACCTTTTGCTGATGCGTTCAAAGCAATGCCTGATCTTGACACTACCAGAGATTGAAAAGATTAATATGGCTTGACTGACAACTGGAGACTGAAGTATTGGCTACTTAGCACAAATAATGTAAGATTATGAACTCCAAACCACTTTGATATTCTAGGATAAACAAAGAATTCTCAAACCCAATACGACTTAGGGACAACGCGCAAATGTAGATCCCATTAGTAGGACAAGATCTGCACCATATTCATGCGAAAAGACAACACAGAACGCTGTAAAAATGGATATGCGTCATTTCCTAGAAGTACACACAATCTTTAGTGCTCACACTATGTGAGCAACTAAATCGTGATGCCATTTTTACTTATCATAAATAGAGATGGAAATACTAAGGAAAAAATGGAATAATAGAACAACACAAAAGTTATGTGATGCTAACTTCGCTCTTTACTAAGTTCAACGTCATCGGATTTCAATTTTACACCATTATTTTGGTCATTATTAAGGAGGCATCCTTAATAACTACTTTTTCCAAATTCATTATGGAGAATCATTAAGTAATGTGCACATTGTTATACAATCAGATATTTTGCACCTCACCAATTACGGTAGCTATCTATCGAAACCTGACTTTCGAGAGTTTCTTTGAGACTTTGAAGTCTACTTACACACCAATTGGATGTTTCGATGAATACAACAAATATTTTACTTACTGGACGGAATCTTGTTTCATTCTCAAGGTCATTCGGATTTCAACTGTCGCGCAGAAGCTAAATTGTAAACGCAACTGTTAATCTATATACAATGTTTATTTGGCTCGAAGTGGGGCTTCTGATAACTAGACATCACATTTTGTAAATTATATCACCCAAACAACGTAAAAGGATGATCAGTTAACTCGTTTGATTAACGGTGTGCCGAAAATATTTGCTTCATATGTCAAGTATAAAATGCTCGACTTACATAATTTGAACACAATACGAAATACCATTTCTGATGTATTATGAAAATGAAAGCTGAAAGTCACAGGATTAAAGGTGTCCGAAAATCAGAAATGAGATCCAGTGATCTTTTCTCGAAGTAAAATGAAGAACTTAAGTAGAGCATTTATAAAACGTAAACAGGCAATCATACATTAAGTATGTTAATACCTAGATAGTGTGGGCCAGATAATTTCCCTGACCATCCATCTTGATAATACCTTAAGGTTGCCGAATCCGGATTGACTTAAATTTGGGTATTCTATTCACCGAAGTGCTCTATCCCTAATAAATTGGACAGTCGTTCGTGGAACAACAGCAATCAAGTTATCAGGGAGAGGACAGTTCCGTTGAATTATGAATACTGTAAGATTTAAGGCGTGAGGTAGATGCAAAGAGCTAAACATAAAGAACAGTTACTAAGTTAATTAGACAGTGAAATAAATAATTGAAAGTGCAAGGACGAACAAATAACGAACATTTTCTACAGGTGAAACAGGTAGGATAGATTGATAATAACAATAGAAACAAGAATAATAATATTTTATCGCTAAAGTGAGGATATTTAAGCTATGAGACATGCATCAAGCTTAAGAACAACTTCAAAATCATCCCTCTACGTCACTGGGTTCAACTATCATTTGTTTCGAGGGTTAGATGTTAAATCGTGAGTGAGTGATCAAGCCATGTTTTTAAAAATACCAACCGATGGAGCGATAGACACGTTAGCAAGGTGAGTGGACAAAATGAGACAAACACGTGGTGAGGACGAATTTTAACTAACCCTGGTGGTTGCTAGTGAAAATGCAGTCCCTAGCCAGTCACTTCGTGGAACACAGTGGTAGGCATAAGACAGTTTTTTGTTGGAATGACCTGACATGCCCTATATCGTGTACACATCAGGTGGTCTGCTTTTTGAATATATTCTAACTAGAATAGTGTCAAGTGGTAGTCACTTCTCTTAATATCCGTCATTTAGTCTGAACACATTCTTTGTTGTACTTGTTTTAGAAACTTCGCAATTCTTTTAAGGAGAGTTAGTACAACACTATCGAGATTTGCATATTAATGAATTCAGCTCAACAGACAAGTAAATGGAAGCACACAGTTGCCCCATCAAGTCTTTTAATTAATAAAAACTAAAGAAACGTTAGACAATAAATAATTAAACTGTCACATGAGATCAGTCATTAATACTGATTATTACAAACGCGAATGTAGACGTGCATAGAAGAACAGTGTAGTTATCAAACCAAAGTCTTACTGTTTATCTGCTGAATAACTTATTTGAGGGCTCTAATAAATCTCAACGAACACATCCTCGTGTGAGGGGTGGAGCACTGTAAGGCAATCTCTCACGGTCACGTAATTTTAACAGCTGTAAAACAGATGCGGAATATTCTTGACCCACTGTAGTACCCCGTAGCCAAATTATATGTGATTGTACCATGATCAATGATCCATACTGTTGATTAGGTTTCCAAGTTCCTCCCATGAAAAGTTGTTCGTCTGACAGTTAGTAGTATATTTTTGGTGATTGAACATCGGCTCACCATCTTCAATGATCATCACTCTGTCCAACAGGTCTCCCACATGTGTTTCCATTTCTAAATGAAAAGTACAATCTTAACCGAGACTTGGTTCACATACCAATTTTACAGAAAATCAATTAAGCATGCATATTATGACATGTCAGATGTCTCGGGAAACAAAAAGTAACAATCGCCCCGAGACATAATGTCCAATAGTTATGAGATGACTGATTACAGAGATCTGCCTGAGTCTATTCCTATGCGAATCATACTCGCTATGTGGTCACTCACTGCATTGCCCTCTCAAGGCAATATCATTCAGTAAGAATAGACAATGAATGTGCTATCAATATTACTATACCTTTAGTTTGAGGCTTCAACTAGAGGCTTCAACACCCCCTAAATCTCACAAAGTACTATTTAGAATCAGCTGAATGATTCAACGACTAATTAGCAATTACTATAAAAAATGTCTTGCTGATCAGTTGTATGGGTTGCAACATAAAACGAAAGATGGATGGAAAATCATCAAGACTACTTACTATCACATAATCACCATTTATTACCGGTCGACTATGCCCATAAACCCATAACTAGTAGTGATCACGCTGCAATCCAACTTGGTACGGTTACGAAAAATGCCCCGACATTCCTGGGCAGTAAAAGCTTGAGAACATCGTGAATAATACGGAACATTAACGACTCCATTGAGAGAAGTCTAGAAGAGAGAGTAGATCTCGGTAAAAGACCCATACCATGCGTGTGTATGATACTAACAAATACTGTGTAACTGTTTTTTCCAGAACAAACCTTGTTGAAAACTTCAGTCAGATTCAAAACTGTTATATCTTGAAGAAGACATAAGTACGGGTAACTCCCACGATCTATTATTGGACTATTATTCTATGTATATTCCTATTGTATAACTATTCAGTAACTAGATTATCTATATCTAAATTTATCTTATTACAAGCTTCATTCTGACCTATTGATTATTATTATATGATTTACTGTTCCTAAGTTATACTCAGTTTATTAATTATTGTCTCCCATGCTTACAGCCACATTTGGCTTGATTTTGTACAAATATTATTTTCTATTTTATGGTGTGGTCTGCCTGTCTGGTATGTAAACAAAGCATGCTTGAAATAAACGATTCGCATTACAGCAGCTGCTATTCGTGTTCTGAACTCAAGTGGACGGGCTAGGCGGATTAAGGACCAATAGGGACGCGAGATTACTCATACTAATCGAACGTCATTGTCACAGTGTTAAGGTCGAAGAAGTCGTAGTCTATTGGCAAATAATTCACGCGAGTTACGTCCTTGTTTAATTTGTAAGGTCATAACAAATTAGCCACAACCTTGAGCAAGACATAACAATTGGCGACGGTCAGGTCAATACATAACAAAAACAACCATATCGACTCATGTCACAGAGGAAAAGAAGAGCAAGCTTACTTTTCTCATCGTTGGACTTAAAAATAAAAGTAACCAAAAGTTTGGTAGACAACCGAATCTGGGAATACATAAGCGTTTATAAACTATTTTATGAAGCATAAAGTGGACTCATAAAAATTTGGGACCTATGGCTTAGGTACATCTTAGGAGTGAAACAGATCAACATACTGTAGAAGTCGGGAAATATGTGTGCACATATTATTCCTGAACATCCCCAAATCAATTTTGACACCATGCTTTACACTATCTTACTGTCTAGGTAACACCAATGGGGCTTACTGATTTATTCCATCTCTAATCAGGAAGCCATTTGAGACACTGAGTATTCTACGCCGAACTCAATACAGTAAGTCTGAACAGGAGGGTGTAAATGTTTGCGTAAACCATCAGCTGTTCCTATTATTCATCATAGACTCACAAAACCTTGGTCCACATAAATAATATGTACGTAAATCACTTCATATAAACTGCGACGCATACACTTAATACCACTTCCATGTTTTAATCAAAGATGGATGACGACTAGTAGTTAAATCTAGAATGTACGTTTCGTTATTTTAAAAACTCGTCATCTGGAAGCTCCCGCATCCAGAGTTGGTGTTCATTCTGTGACGGGGGCATCCAGCTGACGAGTCCTGAATAAGATGAAATGAGCATCCTGGATTTCACGGCTAGCTACCAACCATCTCTGATATAAACGTCAGTGACTTTCTGGAAATATCGAGGTTATCCGCAAACGGTGCATATATGTAAAAGCGGGCTAATTAGATGGGGTCCTAAAAATCAATTGAAATATCCAAACAACCAATATATTTGAATTAAAAGTGCTCCCAGGCTTGCCCAAGTCAGCATCAAACAGATGTTAACATGTGATTTCTCAGACAGGGAACTGCTCATAGTTTTTATGTAGAAACTTGGAGACATCCTGCTGAGGTCCTCAATAGTAGAAAGATCATTTTTCACGTCATGTACCAAGTCATTAATATCGTCTTCATAAATTCGATTAGTCATACCATGTAGACATTACAAGGCAAATCTATTAGACACTGATATGAAGGCCCATATGCTTCTTATTTAGCTCACTAATTTAGGGCTAATGCCGTCAAATAAAATGGTACGAACTAGTGCAACAAATATACAGCTAGTTTAGCTGCATATAAGAGAAATGTGACAATATTTGATATACCTTCACTCATAGGTGACTTACTATCATTGTCTATAAAAGATTTTACGTCTCGTCCCAATATATGCAAGACAGATACAAAAGCGATTAACCCCATACCCTCTTTTTGAGAATTGAGAATAGACGTGGAAATAGATACGAGGTCGATTTAGGGAGATGTGAAAAGTTGTTACGCTGTTCTCCATACTTCGAAGAATTCTTTGAAAAACAGAACTTGAAATAAGTCGTGAGATTCGACTCAGACAAAAGTTAGATTACTTGTTACATAATGCACAACACAGCTTCAAGAGGTTTGCCATGTTTAGTGGAGCTCCTAGCAATGATAAGGAGATTAGGGTAATCGTCTGACGATGATATTGTTTAAGTAATGCTCAACAAGGCATTTGAAAAATTTAGAAACGTATGAACCTCTGCTAAACTGCACCAGATACCGTAGAAAAAGTAGGAATAGATTAAGAAGTTTCAACTTAGGGGCCAGCAATAATTGGAGTACATCACGGCTCGCTTCCATATTTTTTACTGATTATACTTTACGTAGATAAATTTATCATAACCCAAACCTTCCGATAGACATTTCTGCTGACAATGTCAAAATCTGGAGAATCTAGTGTTATTACTCACATCACAAGGTAAGCGTTAGTGATTTTAGTCCTAACTCATAGAGGATCTGTTAAGACATGTGAGACATGACCTTATAACCGTGACCAACTCGTGTCTACTTGTAGCTAATGACTGTAGAAATTCATAAGCGCTTAGAAGAACATTTAAGGAATTGAAAAATTTTGATGCATCCCTTCTTTTTCTTCCAGCTAGGTCAGAATTTCTCAGGGAGAACAAAGGTCTAGTCTCCGTAATTTCCAACCTAGATATCGACTCTTGGAACCTAGGTGTTCGTAAAGTCAACCAATTCATTCAATGATCGACACAAACCATCAGCCTTCCTTCCTCGGCTTGGAGGCCTTGATCCAAATGCAAATGTCATCCTCTATAGAAATCCACCCCGATTATCTCTTTAGAGTGTGACCTCAAGCTTGTAATCTCAGAGAGCCTAGATATCAGTCCAAATCACACAAGGGATTCAGCCAAGACGAATGTAACTCTACACTTTTGCTAAGGCGGTCTCAAGAATAGTCAGATTTTATTAGGAGGGATGAGGTCACTTCCGGAGCGATAACCGCTCGCATACTTCCTACCAATTCGAATTTCTGCACGACCTTCGCTCTCTGATTGGTTGCCATGCCTTGTTAGTAAGCTAAGTTGCTGGATGCTTGGTCATATTCTGCTACTATAGTAACAAATTTCATGCCAATGTCGTTTGAGTCATTTGTTTTATCAAGTTACTTGCAATTCCGTCTTCCTGTCTCAGCCGTTCAGATATGGTGCGTTAGACATAATTGACTGATGTTACTTAAGAAGAGAACCGATCTTATTAGAGAAGTTCAATCGTTTCCATTCATAAATCAGTAACACCGTAAGACGTAATGAACCTTGATAATATGACACAACAACTTTATGAGAAGACAACTTTGTGTAATCACCTCAGTATTGTTCATCATACTATTTGTAACCCTCGTACGGCCCGACTTGAAGCCCACAGTCGTTGCACCCTCTTTCTTCAGAAATGATATAAATCGCTTAGATAGGATACAGCTACAGGATGATAGGTCTAAAGTATAAATCTTACGAGGACGGATTCATACACACGGAATTATTTTTGTCGGATTACAGGAAAATAAGAGTTGGCGTGATGGCGACACAGTTTATTAAGTACACCAAACAGCCAAAACCCAATTATGTTACCAGAAAATTCTCATCGAGCCCTTGACGCAACCTTCAGATGATTGTGCACCTAAGAGCGAAGATACAGTTGTTCAAATGATTTTTCTCACCAAGAGGTGCCCCATCGCACCTACCCAAACTGCATGATATACAAAACCACAAACAACTACCACACTTGCCAGAATCGGTGCAGTCGATTTGCTAGAACAGCAGCCACTCAACATCACGAAATAACTGGAACAGTGTAAAATCAAGAAAAATCCAGCGCAAAGAAATCAGTCTGCTTATACAAGATCATGACAACGATATTGGATGTTGAATCAGCTCGTGTTTGTATATAAACCGAAGAACTAAAAGAAAACAAAATATTTCAACACTATGGGGAGACAGTAATGCTTCACCATTGGTGTAGGGTGGCTATGGCAAAGCTCAAGTTTTATCAAACTACTTTAGCAATGTATAAATCACAGAGACACCTTTGCCATCAGCTCACACAAATCCCCCATATACATTGGACAATGTGACCATTAAAGAACTCGATGTCTTTGGCCTGCCAAATAAGCTTGATATAGGCAAATTCAAGTAACCCAATGAAATTTGCTCTAGGTTACTAAAGGAACTAACTAATTTCGTTGCGAACGACCTAAGTATATGTTTATTCTATCCGTAACGCAGGATCGACTACCAAATGACTGGAAGAACGCTATAGTAAATTCTGTCTTGAAAACAGGTGCGAAACACACTCGATGGCATAACCAGTGTGATTGTTAAAATTTTAGAAAAGATTATTCGTAAGGCGCTGTTTACGTATCTCGATGCAAACCGCATTATTTTGGGAAAAGCAGCATGGCTTTAGAATAGGTTATTCCTGTCTCACTGACTTATCAGTGGCTCGCGAAAGTTGGTGCGCTCTTAACGACCAAACGTTACCCGTAGACGTAGCATACGTTAACTTCAGAGAAGCTCTTTAAAAAGTTTTGCACGACCGACTATTATATTAATTAGGAAATGTCGGGATCCGAGACAATTTATTATTGTGGATAAAAAACTTCCTAGTTGGGCTTCTAACAAAGAGTGTGGGTGAATTCCAAGTTGTATAGCTGGGGGTGCCTCAAGGTACAGTTTCGGAGCCGGTGTTTCTCCTTTTGTATGTAAATGACCTTCATCGTCTCCTATCATCATCGGTGTTGCTATGTGCTGACGACGCCAAGGTATGGAGAGCGATTAAAATTAAAGGTAATAGCTTGGAGCTTCAAAATGACCTGGAAAAATTATCTCAATGGTACCAAGCTTGGTAGTCGCTAATAAATACTTCCACATGCATTATGATGCATATTAGTCATCAAGGTACGGATACATACACGATGAATGACATTGAGCTACCCGTTACAAAGACACGCAACGGCTTAAGAATCATCGTAAGTCAATACTTAAAACTACTGCATACTGCCGTGAAATAGTCATTAAGGGTTTTAGAACCCTATGGCCAATACATCAAACCTCTAAACATGCCGACCCTAAGAATTTTTGATTTTTTTGTACAGTATTCTCGGGTCCTAAACTTGATTACTACATACAAACGGATAGCCTCTGCTTAAAAAGAGACAGTGAGTTTTCGGAAAAGGTTCAGAGAACAGTAACTAAGCTGATCCCCGGAATAGAGAAGCTCCAGTATGATGCTCGACTGGTTAAACTAAAACTATTCCCATTGTTATATCGATGAACCAGAGGTGACCTAATTACAGATTTCAAATCACTTGGTGATAAATTTGCACCTGATATGCCCTCATTTTTCTTGTCTTTCGAAACAGAGATAAATTACTTGTCAGGTGACTACTGACTTTCCCATCAAATCATCATCATCCCCTAATACATGATTGAAGTCCCATCTGTCGATTATTTCAAAAGAAAGGTGGATCAACTGAGAGACTATAATTGCCAAGACTAGCACAGGCCACATAGCCTGCTGTCCTTTATAACTGAACTTGAAACGAATTTCGAAAATGAGGCTGACCTTGAGCTTGTGGAGGCTTTTTCCCAGTCGGGTTCATTTAGTACCAGTGAGTTACTGATTACAATTATCTTCACGCGCCTTAGATTTGATTTCATATATATACTAATACATATGCATTAATTACCTACTTTTGAATCTACGTTATAGTCCTCATATAAATTGGCAACCACATGTGCTTGCAGACATACATTGTCCCACTTGGTGTCGTTCTGATACCACTTTTATTGGGATATTTTAATTTTTTTGAACTTTCTTTTGTCCTTACCTCAGCCTAAGCTAGCAAACTTGTTTATTTGTTTTCTCGGTGGAATGGGAAGACAATTGGATCAGTACCCCAATCTCCTTATATTGGAGAAACTTTGGGGAATTTCGGGTAAATTTCATGGTCTTCCCCAATGTTTAGAGAAAAAAACCCGAAGTGTTATAAAAGTGGGGAAATATGGGTGAAAACCCAAAATTTCCCCAAACATTTTGGAGAATTCCACATAGAACTTCGGGGACTTTCCCCGGACCTGGGGAGATTTTGGGGGTTTTGTGCCATTTCCTCAAAATATCCTTAGTCTTCTATTGTGGATTTCTAAAAATTAAGGAGATGGAGAACTTCATAAAGTTTTTTGGTCAGCAAACATTTTCTTGCTTAAAATATTATAGGCATACATTTGTTTCAGTTCCACATGACTGTATAGATTATAAATATTTTATACTGGTTTGGATAAGCAAATGTACCGTCCATAGGTGTTTTTTTGAGGCCTAGAATAGTCTTAGTGCTTATCGACATTTCGAACTTATCATGTGGTTCTGTGTATATTGTTGGTCTATTTAGAAGTTCTAAGTTCAAGACACCTATTTGAACCTTATTTTAAAAATGTCGTGCGAACTTTTCATTATATTACAGCATGGCAGCAAATTCTGATTATGGTTTACAAGCTAACAATGATTAAACGCTAAAGATCAACTTACAAGACCACATTTCCCCCGATTAAGTGTATAGAGTAGTCTTGTGGTTTATCTGTGTTAATTAGCCGGTGGTTATTATCAATCGTTTAATGTGGAAGCACAGTGAACAGTATTTGCGTCAGTGTAGTGAGACTATAATTTATGGACGGCTTCCGGGCGACGCTAGTGACCTTGAGAGTGGACACCTGCCGATTAGAATTAAATGAGGATTATAAACCATTTAGAATTATGATTTACAGTTGAAGGTTAGGGTTAGAAATTAGATTAAGGGTTTTCATCACGAACCGACACCAGACATAATGTCAGAACTATAGCTAAATGTATGAATAGATTTCGCGCTATATTCAAGGTTTGTTATTTTATATCTGATTGGTTTGTCCATACATTATAGTCTCGCCGCCCCGTTTTCGGTGAAACAGAAATATAGAGTCACGACTTACCTCATTGTCTTCAAGGATATCGTATGTCGATACCACACCATATACTCCTTCAATATATTGAAAATCATTTCTATTTCTTTTTTTTTGGAATCAATGTTTTATAATCATGTTAAACAAACTTATAAAGTCACAAGCTAGGTCCCATCACTAATGAACTGTTTCTATCGATTTTTATGGTCTTAAATACTCTCACAACTTGGATGGGGGTGATGGAGTTCTATGATAAAAACTACACTCTTATTGTCTCTACAGAACACTTGTAAGATATTATAATTTCCTCGAACACATACTAGGATATTGAAGAGCTAATTTGTGTATTTCATGCACGGGCTTCATTTATACATGGTGTTAGAAACTCATCATTATTTTTTATTCAACCGATATAAACGTAAAACAATATATTTAACCTGTTTTTAAAAGTTATGTAAGCCTTTTGGTGAATATCATACTTGTTAAAATTTATAAAACAAGAGTACACGGAGACTAGTGATTGATGTTATTTTACCAGTTTGCATGTAACGAGTTACGGCTACTACTAAGATGTAGTTGATATTCAACTATTTTATTGCATTTGCCACAACCTCAAGTAAACAGTAATTTTATGTAAAATAACATGGCTCTCAACTTTCCATTTTAAGTCCTTTGGAATACCTGGGAATATCAGAACTTTCTCCAGTACTACTAATGTGATTACAAATGCCAATTTGGAAGCTCCTGCTGGATCAAAACACTTTCTAGGCCTAGGGTTTCATAAAGAACTCCCAAAGGCTTGTTATGGTGGCCGCCATACTGTTGCGATGCTTCTTGGAGATGGTGTTGGACCCGAACTTCTATCATACGTCAAAGAAGTTTTTCAAGTTATTGGGGCTCCGATAGATTTTGAAGAAGTTGCCGTAAATCAAGAATCTGAAGATGCTACGTTTACTGATGCTCTACTTGCTATGAAACGCAATGGTGTTGGAATCAAAGGAAATTTTGCCACAGAACCAGGTATTATGAAGTTTTGTATGTAGCTCTTTATATATTATTATTTTAAAAGATTCATTTGCTAATCTGTCTGTTGATTACCAACTGGTTTGTTTGGTGGATTTCGCTCTGATAATACTTCGTTTTAAGTTCCTGTTAATCTTTAGTTACACGGATAAAATCAGAGTATATTGTATGGATCGCTAAACGGACTTATTAACGGAATAAAACCTGGAGGCTATTTCTAAGGATAAAATAGTACTAAGAAATGTTGGTTTTCAGAGGTAATCATTGTTTTGTAGGGAAGCAGTTGTATTGAAAAACAGGATAAGCAATTAATGACTTAATATAACAAATCGGACTAAACATTTTTACTTGGTAGGATTCCTACTGAAGAATTTCAATAAATGTAAACGTTTCAATAAACACAAAGCCCAGAAAACAAAGTCTTATGTTAAAGTGAACTTATTGAGAGTTCAAAAGCTTTTCATATTTCATTCCGCTCTCTTTTATAATATAGAAAGTAAATTAGTGGTCTCAACGGTCGTTAGGTACCCTGACTTATCACATGGTTACACTCAACCGCTCGTACGATGTAATAAGATGGACAAAAGTATAGTATCCCCTCAGACTAAAAAGTCATTGAATTATTTGTAAGACAACTAGTTTTCTATCCGTTTCCTTGGGTTAGTTCCATCTTCACTTTGTAATTAACAGAATTCATCGTTTTAGTCCTATCTATTTATTTAGTTTTGTTTCGTTTTCTATAAATAATCATGGTGGATAAGCTGGTTTGCATTTTTTCCCTGTTCTACAATGCTGTTACTGCTTTGGACTAACTAGATTCGTATCATAGTTGCAAAAGTTTAGGTATAGTGTTCCGAAAAGTATGATTATTTTCTTTCTTGAATGTATGTTAACGGGATATAGACTGGATTAAAACACGTTCAGTGCAGGATTGTTGGGGCACGCTAATTGGTTATTTCTTATCCAATCAGCGCTAGTGGATACTTGGGAAAGACTCTAGAATCTTCTCATGCAAAGGCTATGAATAGACCAACGTTTTTCTTACTGTGATTGCTACTCCCATCAACCCTTGTTATTTGAAATATAATTTCCTTCCTGTTCAACCGTGTTCTGATTTGGTGACTTGTCTAGTGAAGTAGTGTTCAAGATTACTAAGCAATATTATTTATTTATTTATTTATTTAAACACATATATTGGTACAAAAGGGCACCAGATACATATGCGCAATAAGAGTAGCTAGGTCGTTATAAGAGAAATTATAACAACATAACACTTATTTAATGTAGATACGCAATTTCTTAACATACGCTCTACTGTGAAAATTAACAGTAACATGAACCTTTGACGTTTTATATGAGTACCGGTGATAAAATATCTCTCATCAACTCCGTTATTTAGAAATAAGAGTGTAGGGATATTCCAGTCATTTCATCATTACGAGAAATCATCCAAAATATAGTCAGTACGTGGTAATTGAGTTGTGCTCCACTTTATTCTTATAAAAGTTTTGTGTGAGTAATACCGTCGCTTTTAGGAGCATGGTCTTACTTGTGACTAGAATTTACAATACAAGAATATACTGTTTTTTCGATATTGTAATAAGAAAACGAAGATTATTAGAACTATGTTATGTATTAGCGCAACACATTTAGAACAATCTGATCACACACATACTTGTTAAGAGCATTCATATGTCAAAATAAAAAGTCAACTAGACTGGAAATGGTGGGTAAGAGGAGACAAGTATAATAATAATAATAATAATCATAATCATAATAATAATAATAATAATAATAATAATAATAATGTGAAGGGACTAATTGCTTTAAATGTGGAAACAATTTGAAACCTAATCACTTTGGATAATAAGCTAATATTACCAGGGTAGGTTTAAGGTGAGAACAAACTGTTTTGGAATACACAAAGGGAGTTTGAATTTTCGTATGGATGAGGCTTCAATAAACCTTAGCATGCGCTCTTGTCACTTTATAAGAGATATATGAACGATATCTTGGTTGTCTGTGAAAGAAAGGATGATATGAACTGTTTATTTAATAAACTTAACACTATTCAAAACCACATCAGTCTCTCATGCGAAGAGGAGAAGAACGACCAGCTTCCCATACAGGATATACTTCTAGGTAGACGAGAAGATGGCTCAATAAAACGATCCATTTTTCGAAAACCAACGTGGAGAGGCAAATATCTTAGTTATTATAGTTATTGCCTTGTGCAATACAAACGGGTTTTGATAAGGTGCTTATTTAAAAGTCTCGATCGTATTTGCACAAATGACGCTATTGATGATGTCAAGTTGTTAAACAAGACATTAATAGGGAATGGTTATCCACTTAAACTCATAAATAGATGGAAAGTTCATGGCACAGTGAGACCTATTGTAGCCTTGGTGGAAAAAAGTCTGTCTACATCACTTAACCATTTAGAGGTGATTCAAATAGCCTTTTCTTGAAACAATGGTTTAAATCAGTCATCAACAAAACGTATTGTGCAGCGAAGGTCATTATCAAAGAAGGAACGAAGTTCACGCTTCATCCAAAACGTAAAAGACATAAAAACGACTGTGTCACATCCCACTGCGTTTACCAATTTAAATGTGTGTGTGGTCACACATACACAGGGAGTAGCATTCGTGATCTGAAAATTAGGGTGGGTGAACATATACCGAAATGGTTGCAGAAACAAATAGATTCGAACGACCCAATAAGAGTAGAGGATAAACATCCATCATCCTCTATTGCCGTACACATAATCGAAACAGGCCATAAGATTGATCTTAACTTGGCTTTTGTGGTGTTGTATAAAAGTGTAAAAGGGTGTATACTAAGGTTCATTGAAGCCTCATCCATACGAAAATTCAAACTCCCTTTGCGTATTCCAAAACAGTTTGTTCTCACCTTAAACCTACCCTGGTAATATTAGCTTATTATCCAAAGTGATTAGGTTTCAAATTGTTTCCACATTTAAAGCAATTAGTCCCTTCACATTATTATTATTATTATTATTATTATTATTATTATTATTATTATTATACTTGTCTCCTCTTACCCACCATTTCCAGTCTAGTTGACCTTTTATTTTGATATATGAATGTTCTTAACAAGTATGTTCTAAATGTATTGTGCTAATACATCACATAGTTCTGATAATCTTCGTCTTCTTGTTACACTATCGAAATTTATCAAAGGGACTAAGTGCTTTAAATTTCTTAAGAGAAGACTCCCTGCACATACTGTTTTTTATTGTAAAAAGTAACCTAAAATGAAATATGTTAGTGTGGAATAATGTGGTATTCACAGTAGTAATGAAGTATAGAAAATATGTACTTACACTGTTCTCTACGATTAAAAGCCACATTACTAATCAGTTTAGTCCTCTACATCTCACAGATGCATAGATAACAACTATCCTGTAGACTGAAGTTGATAGTTTTAACAAAACTAAGATTTTATTTAAAATTTGACTTTTTCAGGTCAATCGTCAAGAAATGTAGCTCTTCGTTTAAACCTGAATTTATATGCCTTTGTCCAACGATGTCGAAACTTTCCAGGTGTGGTTACACGTCATCAAAATGTTGATATCGTTATAATACGAGAGAATACAGAGGGTGAATATAGTCGGGTAAATAAATAAATGTGCTATTTTAATGACTTTGTTTATGTTATTTTCTGCAGCTGTCTGGCCAGCTTATTTATTTATTTGAACACATAAATATTGGTACAAGGGGGCACCAGATATATATGCGCTACATAAAACAATGAGAATGGGATGAGAGAAAGAGAGTAAAGTGCATATAAGAAAAAAGAAGAAAGAGAACGATAACAACCACAGATTAGTGTATGTTAGTATAATAATAAGAACAGGATTAGAATCCTGCCAATCTTGTAGAAGTACTTTGCACTTCAAAGGTGCAAAGCACATACCGTACCTATGGACACTGATTTCCAACTGATTAAATGCGAATTTCATCGCTTGGGCATTATCGCACAGTTCGACCAGGTATATATATATATATATATATATATATATATATATATGCCTCGCATACTTAAGTTCAAAGTGTTACGGGATTGAGAATTCCAAGAATAAATAGGAAGCTGTAACAGGTGACCAAAAATAATGTAAATAAATAATTGGTATATATGTAGGTATATGTCGTTCAGGATTCTGGACCCCAAGGACCTTGACAAAGGACGTAATCAGCTCCATTTATTAGTGTGCTTTCTCTAATCGTTTCTTGTCTTTGAGATGCATGTGACCACAGGCATGTGAAATATCTGGTTTCACCCAGCCTATCAATCTAGTATGTGGGATACAATCAAGTTGTTCTTATATCAGTGCTATGTTACATTTGATTTTATCACGAATTGAAAATATGAGACGGTGTCAAAACGTTTTTTCCATTGAACCCACCTAACATCGAAGCGCCCACGGACCTCCCAATCGATTTTGGCCCACCAGCAATTGAAGAAATCAGCATGGCCATCAGACAAATCAAGAGCGGCAAAGCAACAAGACCAGACAACGTTCCGGCAGAGGCACTGAAAGCAGATTTAGCAGCAACTGCAAAGATACTCCACATTCTCTTCAGTAAGATTTGGGATGAAGAACAAGTACCAAGAGACTGGAAAGAAGGACTTCTGATCAAAATACCAAAGAAAGGCGATCTCAGTAAGTGTGATAACTACAAAGGCACCACTCTTCTCTCAATACCAGGAAAAGTCTTCAACAGGTTATTGTTACACAGAATAAAGGACTCCGTGGACGCCCAACCAATAGGCTGGATTTCGTAAGGATCGATCGTGTACAGACCGAATCGCAACTCTATGGATCGTTGTGGAACAATCAATTGAATGGAACAGGACAACACTAAGGAGGCTTCTTCGACACTACGGCATGTCATACGGAATTCCTATGATGGATTAAACTGCCAAATCGTGCATGGAGGACAACTCACTGACTCTTTGAGGTAGAGACGGGTTTCAGGCAAGGTTGCTTACTCTCACCCTTTCTCTTTCTCCTGGTGATTGACTGAATCATGAAGACGTCAACATCTGGAGAGAAGCACGGGATACAATGGACAGCTAGGATGCAACTGGATGTTTTAGACTTCGCAGATGATCTGGCTCTTTTATCACACACGCAAAACAAATACAGGAGAAGACGACCAGTGTAGAAGCAGCCTCAGCAGCAGTAGGTCTCAATATACACCAAGGGAAAAGCAAGACTCTCCGATACAATACAGCATTCACCAATCGAGTTACACTTGACGGAGAAGCTCTGAAGGATGTGAAGACCGTAACATATCTGGGCAGCATCATTGATGAACACGGTGGATCAGATGAAGATGTGAGGGCGCGGATCGGCAAAGCAAGAGCAGCATATTTACAACTGAAGAACATCTAGAACTCAAAACAATTGTCAACCAACACCAAGATAAGAATTTTCAATACAAATGTCAAGACAGTTCTACTGTATGGGGCGGAAACCTGGAGAACTATGAAGGCCATCATCCAGAAGATATAGGTGTTTATTAACAGTTGTCTACGCAAGATACTTCGGATCCGTTAGCCAGACACTATCAGCAACATTCTACTGTGGGAGAGAACAAACCAGATTTCAGTTGAGGAAGAAATCAGGAAGAAGCGATGGAAGTGGATAGAGGACACACATTGGGGATATCACACTAATGCGTCACAAGACAAGCCCTTAAATGGAATCCTGGAGGCGAGAGGAGAAGAGGAAGACCAAAGAACACATTACGCCGAGAAATGGAGACAGACATGAGAAGAATGAATAAAAATTGGATAGAACTAGAAAGGAAGGCACAGGACAGAGTGGGTGGGAGAAAGCTGGTCGGTGGCCTATGCTCCATTGGGAGTAACAGGCGTAAGTAAGTAAGTAATACTGATAGTCCCTGATTGCTCATGTATTTAAAACGAGGGTCTTCATATATATCTACATTCACATTACTTTTGGATAAGCATAAAAATCAAGTTATCGCAGTAAACAAACCACACAAAATAGCTATGTGCTTCGATCCAAATTTTGCTTCCTTTAGTAACCGAATTTGTTAAAATCGGGTTTCCATTCAGCTTACTTTCTTTCATCTAATGTTCCATTCTCTACATATTCCTGAATTTAATTGGATTTCCATACACACTTCTTGTTTTGATATTGCCTTCATTTCAATTAGTTGGAGCACGAAAATGTTCCTGGAGTGGTAGAATCTTTGAAGATTATAACTAGAGAAAAATCCACTAGGTAAGTGTCTTTATGCCTAAAACTATTTGGTTTCATTTTAATATCAGGTTTGAATTTACGTTGATTTCAGTTGCTAAGTTTTTAACGGCTAACATATCTGAAAGTGAAAAGTAATGGTAATCATAAGATGAGCTTATTTAGAAAAACAGTGTAATACTAATGATATTGACAGTGTGTGTGGGTTTTTTTTGTGGACATTATTGAATGTTGCTAAGTTCACGAACCGACATAGGTTAGACAAACAGTGAGAACCAAAAAGAACAGGACAACTATTTTCTCGTAGTATGGGACTTTCCGACAGTACTCATTTCTGAACCTTCCGGAGATCGAACTGGAGAACTCCGGTCTCATATAGAGCTCTCAACCTTTGGACTGCTAAGCAGAAATCCAGTGGCACATATATCTAACTGATATGATAATAATTATTGTTATTATCATTATTATTATTATTAGCTTTATTCAGTATCATATTTTCGGTACAATATGGAATTCTCAGCTTTAAGTATTTCAAAAAGTTTCCATTTCTTATTTCTTGGTCGATCCTAACTATAAAAATTGAGTGATCGCTAGTTAGATGTTAGCAGTTCAGGAATTGGCATCTGAATGATGTTCATTCTTTTCAATGCATATTGCCAGCCACCAATATGTCTCTGATTGTACTTTTTGCAACTTGTACAGCGAAAGGTTGTACACTTTTCATAAACCCGTCTGGATAATTTATTCATTTAATAGACATAATGATATGTTAAAGCAAAAAAAGAAAACAAAACAGATAACTTGTTGAAATTTTTAGATAACAGGAACAGGTAACCCAGATATTTAAGCAGACCGCCTGTTAAATGAAATCTGATTAGACCAAAGGTTCTGAGTCCGATCCCCAGTGGGGCTTTGGATGCACATTTCTGAGTAGTTCCGTATTAGGACATATCAGCTATCCAGTGCTTCTAGGTTTCCAGTGGTTGTCTAAATTATGTCAGTTCGTGATTTCAATGATAAGATATTAATTTTACGAATGATTATCCTGATTTTCAAAACGCATATTCTTCAAAGGAACTTCCATAAACACTTTAGATTTACAATATTACTCAGTAAGCAGTATTGCTTAATCTGAGTACTTTGTTTATGACTGCTACTGAGGACACACTACATACCACTAATTTGCAAAATGCTAATATTCACACTAGTTCAGACTTCTCTATTTTTGTTGCCTTTATGCTGTAAGTTTCAAAGCATTAGTGAAATAACGTCACCAACAACTTATTAAGGCTCTTTGCTTGCCGAAAAATGGGTTTATTGATAAGACATGGCATTCCAGTTTATCGATTTGTCTTTACATAATAAGTCTGATGACATTCTTACTTTCAGTGAGAAAGTCAAAGCTTTCTTTCATTTATTCTATAATCATCGGTTCAGTTATGGTGTTATCTTTGTATTGGCCGTGACTCATTCCTTAGGTTTGTACTATATATTCATCACTGATAATCAGTAATTTTCTCCTCTCACACAGACTTCTTTACGATCTTCTGCCTTGTCATAAATAAAATAATACGAGTTTACTGTTCTTTTTTTTATGTTATTTTAAAAATAAATAGAATTGCTCAATTCGCATTTGATTATGCCGTTCGACATAACCGAAAAAAAGTCACAGCAGTACACAAAGCCAATATCATGAAATTGGGTGATGGTCTATTTTTGGATGTATGCTCTTCAATCGCTAAAAATTATCCACAGGTTAGCGGTAGCCTTCAATAAATTGATTAATATGCGACTTTTCTTCCTATTATACAAATTAAGTATTGTTTCCAATGAGCGTATAACGTTGCAATAAAAGCTGTTCGAATACAATCAAGTACAAATCCCATCTTAATTTGTTTGTGGCATCCTTCTATCACTAGCACTTGCAAAAATAGTCTGGATTATAGCACAGTACATAAAAACCTCTATTCAGTAATTAAGTTACACTGGAAAAAGGCAAGTGTTGTAACGTCCAAAATGAAGTACACGAAAACACACTCACCTCGAGAAGGCAGTAAGTAGGACTTCCCTGGCAGAGGCTATATTCGCGTGGCCATGTGAGAGCACTTGGAGAGGGAGAGCGGACTCTCCCCACTCTCGGCCGTACCAGGACATTTGGGGGCGATATAAGCATTAATGTGTATCCACCCTTTGTGTTCTGCCAAATTTTAATCTTCTGAACTCTTCATGTTTCTATCTTTTTTCTCTTTCGGAATTTATTTCACTGGATTATACTCCTTGAATGACATCTTCAAACTCTAATCTTTCACATGTGAATTCAGAAGATTAAAATTTGGCAGAACACAAAGAGTGGATGCACCTTCGCCATTGCAAACGATTTTGAGCCATCTCATTCAAGGTCTCTAACCATCGATTGCTGTCATCTCGCGGATCCCAACCAGGTAGTATACTTACCAACATGGCTCAGTCCAATTGTCAGTGACTTCATGGATTTGTGGGAATAAAGGAAGTAGCGATTTCATTCTGTTGTCGCAGACAATTCTGTGTTCCAGACTACAAGAGATTTTTATACCTAAATACTAACGTTATAATTAGCTTTTTAGAAAAAAAAGTAGTTCGAGTGGGATTTCCACTGACTATTTCTTAGTTTGACTAACCAATTGCGAATATTGTTTCGAGTTTCACCCTATTTGTAGCATAAATAGTGATAAGTCAATTATTTTCATCCTAATAAGTGATAAAACACAAATAAATCAAACAGTCATGTAAATTTCGTTGTTTGAATCACGAAACGATCTTAGACCATCATTAAAAACCCGGAAGTAATAGATGACTGTTTCGTTTTAGTATGGAACTCCTCAGCAGTGCACACCACTGACCTCGCGTCCAGCAATCGAACACAGAAACTTTCATCTCACTCACAGACGCTTAGACTAATAAGCCGGCATTCAATAATGTTAATGTTTAACTTCAATTAGTTCGTGATATTGTGCAACCCTTTTACATAGCCTGCAGTGGATAACTGTTTCACACGGGAAATGGCTGAAACCAACTGGTCAAGGCTTTTCGCTAGAACTTCAGAAATTACATTCTATAGCTAATTACCAGCCTGTACAGTATTCTTGTGAAAACTAGAATTGTCATAGTGGTCAATTTGTAATCTGAACTATTGGAAATTCTACAATTTTTATAAATCCTACGATACTAATGATTAGCCATAATCGTTAGTTATATCTGATATATCCAGAGAAAGTTCATAACTGCTCCTTATGATTATTATCCCGTAACTGTTGGGTCTATTAAAGATTCCGAGACTATCGTATATATATTTTTGTGCAGATAGGTTATTCGTCCATATTTCGTTTAATTTATTCAAAATTCTAGACAGTCTCACGATTATAGGATGGTGGAGACCTATAGCTTAGGTGAGTGGTTTTGTTGGAGTTCCGTTTTTTGAATTAGATGGTTAGGTTGTGCAGCTTTCATTGTTTTCTTGAACATCATCAGCACAAATTTTGAGAAGTGAAATACTTGAATTCCTCCAAATATGACTAATAGCATTTCCTGTATACCTCGATCCTGACTGGTTATTGTTGACGTTTAACTTGTCAAGGTGCGTCAGTATTGTTTGGAACAATGAAAGTCCCGCGCTCAAACCATTCAGGCTAGAAAACTAGATTTCATCAAATTTCCAGGATTTACAAGTTTTATTGTGAACATCTAATTATCACATCAATCTTAATATTTCTTTTCTTTTCTTTATAATCCTATTGGGGAAGCATAGATTGAATTCAATCATATGATCATTGATAATACATGTATGCAGTTAGTTACTAAACCTCAACAATTCGATGTGATTGTTTTACCAAATTTATACGGAAATATAGTTGGTAATGTAGCAGCTGGCTTAGTCGGTGGAGCTGGTCTAACAACAGGCATAAATTTAGGTCCACAAAATGCTTTGTTTGAAATGGGCACACGAAATTCCGGACGTTCATTAGCTGGAAAAAATATTGCTAATCCATGTGGTATGTTGCTAACATCAGCAGATATGTTAGAATATTTAGGTAAGTTTATTAATTTTCTTTTAAATTTGCAAGATTTTGATAATTTGTTACTGAATAATATTTAAAAAGTATTAGTTAAGGATTATTCGATACTAATAATACCATTCCAAGGCAGTGTATTGAATTTGCTTGAATAATAATTACTGCGCCGTACAAATCTCATTCGATTTGTGTGAGAGCTGTGGTACTGCACGGTTGCTCGAACCGAAGCAGGTGATTTTCTTAAGGAGACACACCCCGAGCCTATGACTTAAAGGTCTGCATCACAAGGAAGTGGAGCGACGTCTGGTGATGCAGTCCCATGATAGCCGGTGACCAAAAATTGATTCATACGCCATTTGTTCCTTCAGGATACTGGAGCCCATGTGCACCATTGGTTTGGAATCAGGGTTTTCCAACTCCGCTAGGTGAACTTTCCGTGTCCACCAACCCGGTTGAAGCGCCAGACATTCGCTTTCCGCCCTTTCAATTTCGTAAACAACAGTAATACCACGAAAAGGCAGTGAGTAGGACATCCCTGGCAGAGGCTATATACGCTTGGCCATGTGAGAGTATTTCGAGAGGGAGAGCGGACTCTCCACACTCTTGACTGTACCAGGGCATTTGGGGGCTTGTAAAAATTTATATATTAAATGGACCAAATAAATAAAATGGTATATTTGTATATTATCATTTTCAATCATAAGTCTGTTAAATTTATGGTTGTTTTCTGTACTTTTTCAAGGTCATATTAAAGAAGCTAATCTTATTCGTGATTCAGTTGTTGATGTTATTGGTGAACAAAAAATACGTACAGCTGATTTGGGTGGTAGTTTTAAAACGAGTAAAGTGATTGAAGCAGTTTTGAAAAGTTTAAGAAATCAATTGGCATCGTGATACTGCAAATAATTGGAAACTACTGCGTTTTTACTTAGCACATATATTTAAATTATCCATATAGTTTTCAGCACTGTACGCGGTAATTTGGTCTTTCTTCACTCCTGTCCTATCTTCAGGTTAACACATTTAGTGAAACGAATTCATATCCATGTTATCGTATAAATTATATACGTTCACTTTGAAATATGCTTTAAATATATATATTTCAAGAATAGTGGGATGCACCTGTCTTCTAATCTCTAGTAAAAGAATGTTGTTAGCAGGTAACTAATTATAAATCCCGTCGCCTATCAATTATCTCAGTCAAAAAGTCCACATTCTCCACTTTTCTTAAATCGACTCAGTTACTTTGTGAATTGGCGGAATGTATACAATCAACCACCTTGATGCTGCCTTCATAACAGCTTTCTTTTTAGCTATTGCTGTAATTAACATTGTGCCTGATTATCTTTCTAAGAGAACCACTTGATAGAGCAATAATCGCATTTTTCTCATTAATAATAATAATCAATACACGGATAGAAATTTCATAAATATCGGGAGTAGTATTAGTTCAAAAATAAAAGTTGACTTTAAAACCGTCATTGAAAGTTACCATCCAGGGCAGACCACTAACAAATAGACGTGTACGACGTCATCATATTTAAGTAACTAAATATGACATACCAACTTGTAATGTATTGTAGTGATCAAAGACTTTGCGGGTAAAATCAATTTATTGTTTAATGCAAAATTACAGGGTTCTTTGGTAAGTGAAATGAAAATCATACATTAAATACTTCATTTGTAAATCTCCCACCAGTTATGTATTACATCCTGTATGCTTCTTCCAATTCTTCAGTTCAATCTTCTCAACTTTCCTTTGACAAGTATTGCACTCCTGATTGGTGTTACATACTACTAATGTCGACAGACATAAGTAGTATACACCACAGTACGCTCAGATTCTTACACCTGTTTTTGGTAGTAATAGTAAACACAACATACTCGTTAGTGGAGTTTTGTAAGCTGAACTAAACAACCCTGTTCAAACTAACATCATTCGATCAGATAAATACTACTTACTGTCCTACGTTAGGACAACATGTTTGCCAATAATAAAAATTGTTACGTCATAAACAAATATTACTTAAGAATAAGAATTTCATATGATAAAGTTCAAGTATATTAGTAATATGGTGCTTATACTTGTAGCCTTAAGCGACGCCAAAAATGAGTGTGGAATTTTGATGACTTATAAAATAAGAGTCTTTCGCCAAAAACTTAGTTTTCCATTTATCTTCGATGATAAAGGTTTATCATCAATTCGAGAGGCATAATCAATTTTCCGATTCATCAAATATCAAGTAAATAAGTTCCGATACGTCCGTCTCTTTTTTTCAAGAAACAGATAAGAAAGAGAATATTCCAACAAGTGCTCCAGTTAGGGATTTCCATTTATTTATCATCATGGTAGGTTGTAAACATTTCATAGTCCCACGTGAGGACATACATTTAGAAAATAAGTGACCCAAGCATTTGAACAGACGCTGGCCTTTTTCGATTCCGTACACAAAAGAATAACGGATTGTAAGTTAATCCTAATTGAATTGGTAGTAAAATGTAGTTCTGTCAGTATGTTTATTGTAACTCCAAGAATCATTTATAAAAATTACTGTATTTGCATAAAAAAAGGAGATGAACAATAGAGAAATAAAGTATCTCGAAATAACATTACAAGTTAGTTAAGGTAAAGTGTATTTAATCATTATCATGAGTAAGGCGGATTTACAGTATGCGGAAAGCGGGATAAAAAAGATAGAGAATTTTAATCATATCTACAACGATGACCACAACCAGTTGGACATTCTGATCTCCTCATAAGCCAAGCCTAGAATTGTGGATGATATATAATAGACAAAAAGAAAGAAAAAAAAGTGATTCGAATGTTTACTATGAATACTCATGAACTTACATAACAATAACGTGTAAATGGATGTATGTTATTCGACTGATTAGTTCCAAGATTTGTTTTCTTCAGAATGGAAGTGAGAAACTTATATACAGCAGAGGTTATTGCTATCCACCAGTGTAAACGTAGTTTTTGTGTACAAAAAATAGTTTGCTTAGACCCTCATTCTTTTATGACCTTAACCTCCCTTTCTATCTTACGTAATCTATTGTTTTTTATTTATTTTATCATTCCTACTCCTTTCCAACTTATTTATTATTATTAGCTTTATTTAATATTATATTTTTGGTACAACATAGAATTCTTAGCATAAAGTATTTCAAAAAAGTTTCCGTTTCTTATTTCTTGATCGATCATGATGATAAGTACTGAGTGATCACCAGTTAGATGTTAGTAGTTCAGGAATCGAAATCTGAACAATGTACATTCTTTTCGAAGTATATTACCAGCAACCACGATGTCTCTGAATGTGCTCTCTCCTAACTTGTACAGCGAAAGATTGTGAACTTTTCACAAACCCACTTAAATAGGTTATGCAATTAATTCACATAATGATCTGTTGAAACAAACAAGGAAACAGATAACTTGTTGACATATATAGATGACAGGGACCGGTAGCTCAGATATTTAAGCAGGCCACTATGCACATCATTTCCTTACTTACGCCTATTAACCCTCATGAAGGAGCATAAGCCGCCAACAAGCACTGCTAGCCACAACTTAATTAGAAATTACTACAACTATCATTAATTCTCAAGCATGGTAAGCAAAGATGGATAGTGGCTAGTAGTGGAATCCAGGACGCGCGTTTCGTCTTATTCAGGACTCGTCACCTGGATGTTGCAGTCATGAAACAAACAATACTAAGTGAATTTATTATTAATTCTGTTCTTAATTGCTATCATCAAGTGGACAATTATTTCACCGTACCACTGTTTCATTAGCCGATTATATTAAATAACTTCCTTTCAACATCTGATTTTCAAGTCTTGACAAAATGTCACTTCAAGTTTTTTTCAATTAATTAGCACCTTTCTATTATACTATAGAACATTATTTTAGCAAATAGAACTGGCTGTAAATGCAATTGTACAGCCTAAGTAAATGAAATCGTAGTAAAGAAAATTGCCTTCGCTGAATTCCCCTTCTTCCATAGAAAAAAGTTCTCATCAAGTGACATGGATTGTAGGTAGTTGACATGACAGACTGAAGTAAGATATACACAATCATTTGATGAAGATTTAAAGCTTTGGGTTCTGATTTAATAGTTTAAACATAGTGTGGTGAAAGTTTTAAGCTCAACTCTTCGATTTATACTTTTGGATTGTAGCGTAATAACTGTTTAGTGCTCCTTAGTTTTCAATAGTTGTTCATTGAATCTATATCTCTCAGTAGCGTAAACAATTTTGAGATTGGACAATTACCACAAAAACCCCTGTCCTAGTAATTGGAAATGTTTATGAGACTTAAATCAGACTCCAGAACAAGTTAAATCACATATTGAGAAATGTTGAATTTAACAACAATACAATGTCTTGGTGACAATATCCACTGGAAGTGAAGTAGGTAAAAGGCGATGGTACACAATAGATGCAACTATAGTGTAATAATGTAGTGGTCCTATGGTTGTCTAGAAATCATTACGATTCCAAGTAAAATCTTAATACTGACGGTTTTAAGGACCCACAGAATTATTTCGTTAGCTGTGTAAATTATTGAGAATTATTTGAAGTTTACCTTTCTTCCAATATATAATTTACACAGTAAAACAATTGACTCAGAATTTTCTGTATTGAAGTTTGGTTATTAAAAAGTATAATCAAGTTCAAACTTACTTAGTATTGTTTGTTTGGATCTTCCCATTGATGTTTTTAGAACTGAGACTGGTCAGTCTCTAATTGGCATATGTGCATACTGTGCGTATTGCCTCGATATAGCCTAAATTCACAAGCATGGCAAGCAAAGATGGATAGTGGTTAGCAGTGTATGCACATATGCCAATTAGAGACTGACCAGTTATAGTCCTAAAAAAATCAATGGGAAGATTCAAACAAACAATACTAAGTAAATTTCAACTTCACCCCACTGCATAAGCAAGTGGCTATCAGGGCTCAGTGGCCGAGTGGATAACGCGATGGCGTTTGAAGCGAAAAGTACTGGGTTCGAGTCCCAGAGTGAACATCAACTCTGAGATGCAGGTACATCGAGCTCACGAATCCCAAATAGGACGAAACGCGCGTCAAACTGGATTCCACTGCTAGCCACTATCCATCTTTGCTTATAACCCTTGTAACTCAAGGTAATATCAAAGCCCTCTACACAGAATGCACATATTCCAAAAAGAGACTAATCAATTCCAGTCCTAAACAGCAAGAGGAAGATTCAAACAACCAGCACAAATGGATTAAGAAGCAATTTGTTTAGGTTGCCGAAAAATTGGATATAGAGCTTATGAACAATGTGTTACTTAAATCTTTCTTAAAATAACTAGTGGCCAAGTCTCTATAATCTGAACATTTGTACGGTGTATACGATCATTTGACAGGATTATTTCAAGGAGCAACTAAACTATTGCTATATTTCCATCGATATTTGAGTCATTCAGTTATATAATTCTAGATAGAAATTTACACTTCACAAAAGTACCAATCTTACCTGCATATGATCCAAATGACCACCATGACTACAACCTCTACAACATACAAATAAACCACGAACAACTAGATGACATAATGCACAAGTTATAGTAGCTGGATCAAAAGATGTTGCATGACGTGAACAAGCCCAACCAGTATGTCCAGTTAATTGTTGAGTTGTTTCACTAGCACATAATGGTTTTGTGCATAAACCACATCGTATTGATAATGTTGTGGAAGCTTGATTTAAGGCTGCTACACCCGGTGCTAATGCTAAAGACATGTTACTTAAACGTGAGATAAACGGATTGTCAATACTTGTTAAACCTCCACTTTTCCAGCGAGTTCGCGTATTTGCATCTGACCGAGTATCTCCAGTATTTCCAGGAGTTTTTGAATCAGATTCTATAAGAAATTCGAACAAGTGAAAAAAGTGTAGACAGATAAAAGTGAATTAGCGTTAGTATAATTATTCAATGCTGCTGACACTACGGTTTGAAGAAAGTGTAACATTATGGTCAGTGGAGGGTATCTTAAAAACTATGTAGTGCTTGAATCTACTCCATCTCGCAGTACAATATATAGTATGTAATTAACTGGTTGGAACACAACTCTTAAAGGAATCAAACATTAAGTTGTATTTTTTTAAATGCATACAATTATCATCTCTATCCAAATAATACAATGACAAGTTATCTAAAATACAAATTGAAGATCAAACTTCACGGTATTAGTATTTGCAATTGATTTTCTGACTAAAGCGTACAATTTCCTAGATGTATCAGAAGCCATGATAAAAGTCAGAAAGTAGACAAACAGTTTTTGAATTCATGTAAATTATGTTATTTCTTAGTTTTGATTTTCCTTGACTTCTTTCAACCTGTTTATCATCGCAGTACTTGCGGTTATGCGAAGCACATAGTCTAATCACCTAAAACGATGAATGTCCACAGATTCATCAGGTGATTCATTATTCCTACCTGGTGATCTATTCCTAACTTAAGTACGTGGATGATACTTCGAAGACCTATGATCGAATCTTATCAAGAAATGAATGTTCCTAACCTACAAAAACTATACTACAATATTTAGATAATAATAGGAAGGAATTACTATCTACAAATAAACAGTAACCTCAGTTCATTATATTTTCGTATATATTACTGACTCATGAACCCAATATAAATCACTAAAAGAAGCTATCTACTGAACTGTGAAGTTACGGATCAATATTTTTATCGGAACAAGAATTAACCGTCACTAATGGGTTGTATAATGTTTCCATATTTAACATACAGAAACTAATAGGTTAGTACTCAACGACTAACTCTATTAGCAGATACCTGGGTCGAGGAATAATAGAATGTGGTTGTTAACTAACAGACTTGTTTGTTTACATTCACAAATACAGTAATATAAGAAAAAGTAACCTTATTATTACCTGGTTGTTTCATAACAATCGGTCTAAAAACATAGTGATGATTAATACTTCTAAGACGTTCCCGTAAATACGTTTGATTATCGGCACCAGCAAAAGGATTGCCGCATTGCTTTATAATACGTGCACAGACAGTCCATAATCGGAAACGAGATAATAATTCTATGTAGTGGGAAAACGAAATTTGGAACTGATTAAGTTTTAGAAAAAATACATCGTTGATTTTTAATTCAATTATACAGAAATTAGAAAAGTAAGTAAAAGATATTCGACATCAATCAAATGAGTCGTCAAACCACCTCCGACTCAAACGGGCGATGGTTGATAGGGTAGGGGTAGATTGGAAAAAAGCTAGGCCAAACTATGACATAGTATTAGTTCATGAAATCATTGAAAGCTAAACTGAGCCATGCAAGTAGATGCGAAATGCCTGGTTGAGGTTCGCGCGATTATCCTTATCAATGTTTGGGGACTTTGAATGCCACAGCTCAGAGATACCACCTTTCAAAGTATATTTCCTTTTTATGTCTCATTCAAATGCATATCGAAATTATATTATCCATTGAGTTTTGAATAAATATTCTCAACATGAAAATGAACAGTAAACAGATGACAACATTTGAATTATTAAATAACTCATCCTTATTATAAAACGATAAAGCATCTCATTGTAGTTACCTTATGATATTAATCTTTATTCATGAATAATCTATTTGTTTTCTCTACAGTTGAATTCATGAGTCGATCTAAGCTAGACTATCATTGAAAACATGTAAGTATTAGATGGTCGTTTCATCCGAGTATGGGATGATCGCCCAGTGCTTCCAGATTTCCAGTGGTGGTCTAGCTTAGATCGACTCATGAATTCCACTG